CATGCATGCATGTTTGAGGTGGAGAGAGAGGAGAGAGAGCAGGGAGATGTAGTTTCACGAAATTTGTGAAACATGCCGAAGAGATATATTGAAACATATCACTATCGTGTGTGAAACAAAGAGTGTTAATGGATTGAAACATATAATTATTTTTAATCAGAATATAATCATGCGACATCTTGTTGTAAAGATTTAATTAGAACGAATACAACAGTGTGATCGGATTGTAGATTGGATAAGTAATTTACAAGAAAAATGTTTTTAATATCGTTAAAGGTACATGTGTGTAGGCTTGAAAAGGATGTGTCAGAGTCAGCCCGTCCGATTTTTCTCCTTCCGTCCGGACGTCCGAGTTGAAGCATTTTCCAGAGAGTTTAGTTGAAGATTAGGTCATTAATGAAAACGAGTGGCTGAGATTTGTTTAGCCAAAGGAAAGGAGGAATTTCCTCCTAATTACTACCCCTACCTAGGTATTAAACAGGAGAGAGTTCCTTTCTCAATTCCGCATCTCCATCCCACCAAAATTCTTATGTCTGCCAATCAAACAAAACAGTTAATAGCCTCATCCCTCTAAACTCTCAATCCCTCGTGAACACTCCCCTAACCAAACGGGCCAAACTTCTACTTGCTGTTTGGTACTGCAGAAAGAAGATACCAGGTAATTAAAGTGAATGTACATAATGAAGGAAATTTTAGCTTCACTGTCACTGAATCTAGCATATGCTTCCCTTCGAGTTCATCTTATACGCAAATAGGATAAGTGATTATGTGGCCTGCAGATGTTACTCGTGCAACTAATCCATTTGAAAACCGGAGATTCAAGTACAAGAAACTCAAGTTCATCACAGATGGCTTCAAAACCACAATTGGGAAGGGTGGGTTTGGGCCTGTATACATTGGTTATCTGGAGAATGGAACTCCCGTTGCCGTGAAGATGAGATCACAAACATCCTCTCAAGGGAATACAGAGTTTTTGGCTGAGGTACACATACATTACTCTGTCAGTACAACGGACTAGTAACAGTTACTGCTTATTGGATCATGCAAGTGCGTATACTCAAAACTTAGTAGATGAATTAACAGCATATAAATTTATCAATCTTCGAAGTTTCTTGGAATTTTCATGTATGTATTGCAGGCTAGGGTCCACCACAGAAACCGGGTATCATTAATAGGCTATTGCAAGGATAAGAAACATCTGGCCCTTGTGTATGAGTACATGGATGGGGGAAGCCTAGCGGACCACTTGAAGGTTTGCAACCGTTTCCCTCAGAAGCTTATTCTTCATGGTTGCAAATATAAACCTCATTTGGTGAAGCATACCTGAAAATAGTTGCATGTGACATCAGGCTATCAGTTCAATCCTCTTAAATAGTGAACAGCTTGCAGATTCCATCTTTTTCTTCTTCACAGGTCAGAAAGCTTTGAAGTTTTTCTCTTATGATAATATGTGCTGATGTCTGCATGCTCATCCGAACGTGTCCCTCTTACTGTTTCAAATATTCAGCATTATGATCATTTATCTATGTCTGATGTTCGTTCTTAAATTATTCATGTATGTAGGACTGGAGTACATGCACAGGTCCTGCAGCCCACCATTGATCTCTATCACCATTGATCCATAGAGATGTGAAGACGGAAACTATTTTAATCCCTCGAGAAGATATCTTCTCGTTCTTTGCATGTCACTCAAATGGTTATGAAAAAATTTAAAATAAATGAGAAGGTGTATTAACCTGTGATATAACGCTCCACAAACATACAAGTTAAAATTCAACTTCTACATCTTGTAACGAAAAAAAACAAATTAAACCGCAGCTAGTTAACGTATATTCAAAGTCAAATTTGTTTTTTTCGTTGCAAGATGTAGAAGTTGAATTTTTACTTGCATGTTTGTGGAGTGATATATCACATGTTAATACATCGTCTCTTAATTTTTTAAATTTTTTCATAACCATTTGAGTTGCATATAAAAAATGAGGGGATATCCCCTCGAGGGATCAAGATTCTCTTCCATGTGAAGACCCACGACATCCTCCTTACTGCAAATCTCAATGCAAAGATAGCAGATTTTGGACTGACAAGGCCTTTCAGCAGTGAAACGAAAAGGAAAAAGTATACTTGGACTCCCTCAACTATCGTCCGAGTATGATTCATATCCTCCAACCACAAAACCGGGTATATCAACTCCTCCATCTATCAAAACCGGTGCAAACAATGTCCCTCGGTGGTTTTGGAGGTGGTTTTGGTTGACGTGGCGCCTACGTGGCGGTTTTGACTGAGTCTTTGTCCTATGTGGTGCTTACGTGGCATGAGAATGAAAACAAAAATAAAAATATATGTGGGACCCATACGTCATTCACACACAAAAAAAGTATTGTGGGACCCACATGTCATCCTCCCTCTCCTTCCCTTCTTCCTCCCCCCCTCTCTCTCTCTCCCTTATCTCTCTCTCTTCCTTATCGTTCTCGGGAGTGGCGGCGGGCCGGCGGCTGTGGCGGTGGGGACGAGGCGGAGGGGAGTGGTGGTGGCGATGGCAGTGGCGAGCGGCGGCGATTGCGGTAGGGTCGAGGCGGAGGGGAGTGGTGGTGGCGATGGCAGTGGCGAGCGGCGGCGATTGCGGTGGGGTCGAGGCGGAGGTCGAGGAGCGGCGGCGGCTGTAGCGGTGGGGAGCGGCGGCGATGGGTGCGGCGGCGGCGGAGGTCGGGGAGCAGCAGTGGCTATGACGGTGGGGAGCGGTGGTGGGGACGAGGCGGTGTGGAGCGGCGGCAGCGGCGGTCTGGGAGCGGCGACGGCGGCGGTAGGAGGAGGAGAAGGCGGAACAGGTGGTTTGCGGGGAGAATGCGGTGGAGGAGAGCGGAAGAGGAGGAGCACGGGCATGGCGTCCTTCGGGGAGGAGCTCGTGCTTGCGCCACCACCGGTCCACCGCCATGCTCGTGCTTGCTCCACCGCCGCCGCTGCACTCCCCTTCTCCTCATCCCCACCGCTGCGTCCCGACCATCGCCGTCGCTGCTTCGTGCCGCCCCCGCTGCCGCGCTAGCCAGCCGCCGTCCCCACCGCCACCGGCACCGCCGCCGCCGCCGCTCCCCACCGCCTCGTCCCGACCACGGCCGCCGCTCCTTCGTGCCACCCACGCCGGCGTGCTAGCCAGCCGCCGTCCCAACCACCACCGGCACCGCCGCCGCCACCGCTCCCCACCGCCGCCGCCGTTGCTCCCCGCCGCCACCGCTCCCCTCCTCCTCGTCCCCATCGGCCACTGCCACCGCCGCCGCTCCTGAGGGAGAGAGAGATAAGGGAGAGAGGGGGAGGATGACATGTGGGTCCCACATGGGTTAGTGGGTCCCACTTTTTGTGTGTATGACATATGGGTCCCACATATTTTTGTATTTTTGTTTTTATTCTAATGACACGTAAGCGCCACGTAGGACAAAGACTCGGTGAAGACTGCCACGTGAGCGCCACGTCAGCCAAAACCACCTCCAAAACCACCGAGGGACATTGTTTGCACTGGTTTTGATAGTTGAAGGAGTTGATATACCCGGTTTTGTGGTTGGAGGTCATGAATCATACTCGGACGATAGTTAAGGGAGTCTAAGTATACTTTTTCCAAACGAAAACGCACACCACCACCCAACCGGCGTGTACTCTTGGATACTTGGACCCTGAGTATGCATGACCCACTGGGCCTTTCACGAACGCACTGTGGGGGTATTTTGGCCCAGCAAAAAAGGTTGGCGTGAGGCCCAGTACAGTAACTTCAGGCTTGGCCCATGGAGCTGATTCGTGTTCAACGAGCCATCTGCCTGTCATGCTGGATAAATAATTACAGTATACTATCTCCCTCCCAAAATATAAGAACCTAGTACAAAATAGGACACATTCTATTACTACGAATCTGGACTGAGGGTTTGTTTAGATTCGTAGTACTAGAATGTATTCCATTCTATACTAGGTTCTTATATTTTGAGACGGAGGGAGTAGCATGGAAGACAGCTCACTGGCAAGCTAAATTCCACGAAAACGACATCCATTTTTCTTATGCATGGATCACATCGGATCGGTTAGGGGTAGGAAGTGAAATTAAGGGTTTAGGATTTAGTTCCCAATATTTTTTTTCCAAAAATATCACATCAAATGTTTAAACATATACATAGAATATTAAATGTGGAAAAAATCCAATTACACAGTTTGCGTGTAAATTGCGAGACGAATCTTTTGAGGCTAATTGCGTCATAATTTGACAATGTTGTGCTACAGTAAACATTTGCTAATGATGGATTAATTAGACGAAATCTATAATTTATTTTATTATTAATCTACGTTTAATACTTCAAATGTGTATCCGCCCTCTAACTAAACAACACCCCCTAAGGAAAGTATATATGCGATGGATTTAGTGAAGTGACGTGTTGCTACATCCTGCACCTGCACGCACAAATGGCCGCAGCACAATGTTGACGATGCGACATGCCCATCCGTCTACGAATGTCTTGTTCACATCCTTCTCCTGCGGCTAGCCGGCTGCGATTAAAATCAATCATATATATATATATGAAATCAATCGCTATTAAATTTAATTTTTAGAGTTTATTTTAAAACCTTTTTAAAGTAGTTTTTTTTAGTATTTACGGTTGAGACACTTTAAAACACATACTATATCGTATGACTTATAAATTATTTTTTAATTTATAAACCGTTTTGAGCTCATCCGATTGTGGGCGAGACTCTTTTGGCTACTGCAGTTCCTGTCTACTGACTCGTCAAAGCTGGCCGGTCAAAATTGTATTCTCTCACCATTAGTTTTGTTGTTTTCTATTGCTCTATTGGCCCCATCCGAATGATCGTTTTTAAAATTAAGTCTGATAGTGTTTTCTTAAATTTCTTTGTGGAATTATATTGGCGTGCACACAAACTAATATTACTCAGCTAGCCTTAATAACTTTATTTTTTCATCATTTTTGCATGGAATAACTACTACCATAGATTGCAAAAAAAAAGACTAATTAAGGACACATCGATCACACATGCATTTATGACAAATTAAAAATGTAATTAACACTAGCTTTCGCTAGCAAGCTAGGTCAAAAGAAAAACAACATCCCAACCCAAAACATGATTTTCATAAACTCCACATCATCAAGAAACTAGTACTAGACGCCACTCTTCCAATGCAAACACTACTATTCCATACTTAAATTTAATACTCATTATCTCACATGATGTCTTGGATGTTGTGTAGAAACCATGTCTCATGCAAGACATGATTTCCTTCTCTTTCCTCATTTATTTACTTGTCACATCATTTTTCATTCTAGGTGGCACCTTATTTAATGCTATAGACACCATCTTAGTCATTGGGTTGAGAATGGCCTACGTAGGGATTACTTTCCTATATCAAACACATGACGCCGTAATTACTGAGATAGTGATTGAGCTGCATGCATGCATGCACGGGCTCAAGTAATTATTGGTTGATTTGAGTTTAATTAATTATATCAAGCCAAGTCCTTGACGTATCGGCCGTAGTGAGTGAGCGAGTCGTAGTAGCTGTTCCAGAGCATCACTCCTCCGTACGTATCCGTGTTCTGCACCGCCGGCAGCAGCTTGTCGCGGAGCTCGCCGACGGCGACCATGTCGTTCTTCCCCGTCAAGTTGGCCGCGACGACCCCCAGGAAGATCTGCCCGTCGGGGTACGTCGCCGACCACTTGTTCCACTGCGCCATGACGCCGGCGAGCCCGGCGTGGTTATAGGAGCAGCTCGGGTCGTCGTAGAAGCGAACGTGGATGCGCCGGAACAGCTTGGTGTCCAGCGCCGCCTTCATCCTCGGGTCAGGGTAGGAGCACCTCACCGTCGCCGTGAGCATGATGCCGATGGGGTCGCGGATGTTCTGGTTGTAGTCGTTGATGCGGTTGGCGAGGTCGTCGTAGTGGTCGGCTGGGCCGTTGTCGATGAAGAAGTCGACGCCGTTGACGATGGTGTCGTCGCCGAAGGGGTGGAAGGCGCCGGGGCGGTCGCCGCCGAGGACGGAGTAGTAGAGGTTTTCGGCGACGTCGGCGGCGGACTTGGAGGAAGGGAGGGAGTATTGGTAGCCGTCGCCGCCGATGGAGAGGAGCATGTAGACGCCCTTGGACTGGCAGTGGCGGATGTCGGCGCCGACGTCGCGAAGGTCGTGGCCGGAGAGGTCGAGCCAGTATTTGCCGTGGCCGAAGACGCTGAGGAAGGAGATGATGACGATGTTGTAGTCGCCGGTGTCGCAGGTTTGCCGGAGCGAGCCCTCGGCCTTGTTGCGGCCCCAGAAGACGGCGACGTTCTGCCTCTTTCCTTGAGGATAGGCGGCGGCCAACTGGAGGAGCAGTAGCAAGGAGAGGAGGACGGCGGTGGCAGATGATCGCCGGCGTTGGGACGCCATCGTGTGTATGCTGATGATTCGATGGTGATGAGATTAATTAGGTGCAGATGAGCTTGCATATATATACATGTAGTAGTAGCTCTAGCTAAGCTAGCAAAATTTGCAACAACTAGCTAGCATTTGGACAGATCGATTGATCGTTAGGTAGTAGCAATTCGCAATCCACGGCGGGTGGGTGTAATCCGGAGCTTAGCTAGCACGCATGAGCTCTCTGTTCAGTTTGACTAGTTTGTTTTAGTTCTAGTACATACATATATGCTCTGTCTGTGTTTCCTGCTTTTACAATACAGCCAGCGGCGGCACACAGGAAAAGACTATGCTGCAATGCTATGCTTCTCCTGTCCATCAGGTTATTACCACAAAAACAGGGAAAGTGAAATCACAACACAAATAAAATTTCCTTTCCTGACTCATGAGTACGTACCCAGAGCCAGAAGAAGGAAGAATGCTGCAAGTGCTGAGTGGGGGCCTATTTCCCTGGCCTTTACGCAAACGACCGGCCGGATCGGATAAGAGAATTTTAGACCAACGCTTTCGATCTAGCTGTCTCTGCTTCTTCAAGCTACTCCTATCAACTATATCATACACGACAATATCTATATATATATGTGATCTGGATGGTCATATCTCAACAACAAATTTCTTCAATCCTTTTTCTAGTAGTGTGCATGAATCCATTAACTTACACGCACCATAGGAGAGGGGCCTGCGACACCAACGGCTAGTCATCACCTTCTATAACGTCTTCGTTATCCATAGTTGGGCTATTTTCCGCTATATTATAAGTATATAGGCAAAGAAGGTACCTTGAGCTAATAAGGAAGGACTATGTGGTTCCACTTGGGGTGCAAAATATCTTGCCTGCCCTTATCTCCTATCCGAGTCTTCTAGATCTCCTGGTTCTTATTCCCGAAAAAAGATCTCCTGGTTCTATTTGAAGAATAGATTATATTTTGATATAAATATAGAGCCACCAAGAGAGGAGAGTATTGAATCATGTAAAGAGAGAACATTGTGCAGGGTGTGCGAGAGGTTCTTAGAAGAAGACATCAAGAGCATCGTTGACAAACGCCTAGCGGAGATGTTGCCTTAGTGCCTTTTTGGTCTTTGTAAATATTACTACCTCCATATTTTAATGTTTGACGCCGTTGATTTTTTATCCAACGTTTGACCATTCATCTTATTCAAAAAAATTATGTAATTATCATTTATTTTATTGTGACTTGATTCATCATCAAATGTTCTTTAAGCATGACATAAATATTTTCATATTTACACAAAAAATTTGAATAAGATGAATGGTCAAACGTTGGATAAAAAGTCAACGGCGTCATACATTAAAATATGGAGGTAGTACTTTTATTCCTTACATGTAAATATTGCTCCCTGCTTATTCAATGAATGGCAAGTTGTGCCGTCGTTCAAAAAAAAGAGCGTCATTGACCCGAGGACAAGATCGAGCAAATTGTGGTCTCAACTCTGTACCGTTGAAGGTGGTCAATCTCGCCATGCATTGCACAAGGCGTTACAGGGGCGTGATCGACAAACGATAGCGCAGGTGATGGAGGAGGGTATAAGGGAGAGCTTGCAACTCGAGAGCTCTTTGCATTCTATGAGGTGCAGCTCCACTAGGGATACTCGCCGATGCCGAGTCCATTGGCTTGCTGAGTCGGAACATCGGAGAAACATCAGCTCGATCACTTGCATTGTAGTCTTTAAATTTCTCGGTCCACAAGTATATACGGATTTCATCACTATATTAGATTGTGTTGACACCCAAATTTAACATCTATACGAAAGTATAGAAAGTTTTGGTCAAAATTAAAAAAGACCCAAACATTTCATACAGGACCAGTCTGACCTGTGGCATACGACCATACCGACCGGCGGCATGGGGTTGGACAGATTCCAACGGTCGGTCTGACTGAGGCTGACTCCGAGTCCAACTACGATGTTTCATGTATTTCTTTGTTTGGACCTGGGGTTTTCTGAATCCTATTTGATTTATAGCTAATAGGACGTGGAAAAGGCTCTGTGGAGGTAAGACCAATCTCTTTATAATGGCTATGATCAGTTTAATTGAGAACACACAATCTATAATTAACACATTAGCCAATAAAAATGTTCTTTTAATATTGTCGTCTATTCTTTTACCTAGTTTTTAGCCTAGCTCATCCATTTTGGGTCGGTTCGCGTTGTAAGCCATCTGTCCTCACTGCGAGAGTGCGATTCTTCTTTGTAGGCTTATCTAGAAAGCCTTCCATTTCGTCCACGAGAGGAGTGTTTATCATAATTAGTCTAAATCAGCTCTGCTAACTGATTTTTATTTCTAAACCCACCTTAGATCAGGATCTTCTCAAGGAAAGGTGGTTGGTGACTCCCTCCTGGCTACTTTTTTATGTTCTTTTTTTCCTTGTCAATTAGCTAGAATAATTTTTTTGATACATTTGTAACCATTATTTTATTCTAGTTAATTTACTAAAGTTAATTTAGGGCTTAAGCATTTTCTTGGAAAATCTATTGTTATTAATTCTTTTACATGGCAGGCCTTATTACTTTGTATATCAGTGGCCAAAAGTTTCTGTACCCATTTTGAAAGGTTGCTTTGTTTCAGTTTGAGAGCTATACAAGTACTCCCTCCGTTTTTTAATAGATGACGCCGTTAATTTTTTCTTACATATTTGACCATTCGTCTTATTCAATTTTTTTTTACAAATATATAAGATATAAATCACACTTAAAGTACTATGAGTGATAAAACAACTCATATCAAAATAAATTACAATTACGTAAATTTTTGGAATAAGACGAATGGTCAAACATGTGAGAAAAAGTCAACGGTGTCATCAATTAAAGAACGAAGGTAGTACTATATATGTAGTTAAACTTTCTAAAATTGGACCATTAGTAACGTTAACGACGGACTTATTTCCCTCATGATTTTAATGCTATTCATTAGGGACTATCTATGTGGCTTTTGACAAGGAGAAAAAGCCCAAATTGTACAAATTTTGAACCATTGGATCACTTTGGGATTCGTGTAACATATCTAAACTTAGCATTTTCTCCTTCCCTCCTCAATTCACCCGCTGCCACCACTTCCACGCACTCGCGCTCTTCCTCCACTGGATCCTCCACCACCGCGCGCAGCCTCCTAAATAGTCTTGCATTTTGCCCATGCGACCAATGTTGGCCCACCGCGCCACTGGTCCTCTGCCGCCCACGGCCATCACTTTAAGCCCCGAGAAAACCCCCCTCTTCCCCCTCCCCAACCGCCTCCTATCTTACCCTAACCACAAACCTTAATTCGTATGTCCCCTACCGGAGTTGTAGATGTCGCCAGTGCCGGAAAAGGGGGGAGCTTGCCGGAGTCTAAGAAGAAGAAGCCCATGCACAAATCTTGATGTGGATCCAATGGTCCAAAACCTATAAAATTTCATTCCTAAATTTCGGTCTAATAACATTTAGCAAATCCGTATTCATTAAACATCATGTACAACTTCATTATACATCAATACATACACAGTTGCAAAAAGGAAAAAAGGGAAAAAGAAAAGTACAGATACATCGATCACACATGCATATATGACACACTAGAGTTGTGCAAATAAAAAAAACACTTGCTCTCGAGACCAAGATCAAAAAACAACAAACAACATGTAATTAAGTGGGGGTAGTTTACTACATTAAACCCATGACACCGTGATTACTGCGATAGTGATTGAGCTGCATGCACTGTAGTAGATTATTATAGCTGGTTGATCTGAGCTTAAATTAATTGATTAAATTAAGCCCAGTGCTTGACATATCTTCCGTAGTGAGTCTTGGAGTCGTAGTAGCTGTTCCAGAGCGTCACTCCCGCGTAGCTCTCCGTCTTCTGCACCGCCGGCAGCAGCTTCCGGCTGAGCTCCCCGACGCCGACCATGTCGTTCTTCCCCGTCACGTTCGCCGCCGCGAGCCCCAGGAAGATCCGGCTGTTTGGGTACCTCGCCGACCACCTGTTCCACTGCGCCATGACGCCGGCGAGCCCCGCGTGGTTGTACGAGCACCTCGGGTCGTCGTAGAACCTCACGTGGATCTGCGTGAACAGCTTGGTGTCCAGCGCCTTCTTCATCCTCGGGTCAGGGTACGAGCACCTCACCGTCGCCGTCAGCATGATGCCGATGGGGTCGTGGATGTTCTGGTTGTAGTCGTTGATGCGGTTGGCGAGGTCGTCGTAGTGGTCGCCGGGGCCGTGGTCGATGAAGAAGTTGACGCCGTTGACGATGGTGTCGTCGCCGAAGGGGCGGAAGATGCCGGCGCGTGGGCGGCCGAGGAAGGAGTGGTAGAGGTTGTAGGCGACGTCGGCGGCGGACTTGGAGGAAGGGAGGGAGTAGCCGTCGCCGTCGCCGCCGATGGAGAGGAGCATGTAGACGCCCTTGGACTGGCAGTGGCGGATGTCGGCGCCGACGTCTCGGAGGTCGTGGCCGGAGAGGTCGAGCCAGTACTTGCCATGGCCGAAGACGCTGAGGAAGGAGATGATGACGATGTTGTAGTCGCCGGTGTCGCAGGTTTGCCGGAGCGAGCCCTCGGCCTTGTTGCGTCCCCAGAAGACGGCGACGGTCTGCCTCTTCCCCTGAGGGTGGTAGTAGGCGGCGGCCGGCTGGAAGAACACCGCTAACAAGGAGAGGAGGAAGAAGAAGACGGCGATGGTGGCGGCGGATGATCGCCGGCGTTGGGACGCCATTGTTGTGTTCTGGTGTAGTATGGTTGATGGTTGGATTGTGTTGTTGTTGGGTGTAATCAGTGATGAGATTAGGTCGCATATATATGCATAGATGCATGCATGTAGGTAGGCTTGTTATTGAATGAAAATTTGCAACTAGGGTAGGGAAGCTTTTGGACCAATGGATGATCCTGCGTGCTTGCAGCTGCATCAATCCTCTGTTTCTGAAGCTAAAGCCGTCTCCGGCGCCGATCGAGATCTATCGATGAATGATGGATGAAGATGAATGGCCCCTTCCTCTGCCACTTTTTGAATGCATATATGTGCACGTGTTAAATAACGGTTGGATCACTATCAGTGTGTCTTGATTAATTAATCAACCATGCATGACCCATGAAGAGCCATGCTCTGTTTTTTACGTCCTCTGTTTCGAGCGATCTGTTGAAGAGAGAGCACTGCTCTGTTTTTACATGTTCTGTTTTCCTGTGAAGTGTTCAACTTGAGTACTCTGCATTTACATGATCTGTTTCTATGTCTATAAACATTTGCACATGTTATTTGCATACAACCTTAATAATCGTAGAGAAATTTGAAACAGTCTAATTAGATTGGTGATTACGATATGCCCTTGGAGGAGAAGAATAACAAAATTTAGTACTGCAAAATATAGACAAGATATGTTATTTGTATTTTTCTTAGTGTGTAGCTGCATGTTTATGTACTAACTTATATTATCACAAATTAAAATACTTTACTAATTGTTTTGATATTTTTATTTAACTATTTACACCACATACATAGACTAGGTGTAATTTTATCGGTGTTAATAAAGTAATCACAAAAAGGATATCGAGATACGGAGTAGCACTATATTTTCTAATGTAAAACTTAGTACATTTATACTAGATAAAAATTAATGTCAACTTTTAGTACTACTTTATCAAGGACAGTAAAATTTATAAAAAAATAAATATTTCCTTGCACCTGTTTTTCCTGGGAATTAACTGTTGAAAAACAATCAGTTGTCTGTTAGTACGATACAGGCAGCGGCACACAGCAAAAGATTAGCTAGCTTCTCCTGTGTCCACCAGGTTATTATCCCACACAACAAAAAAGAAAAGCAGATATACTCATCAAAGTACCCTTTCCTTAGACCATAGTGGCCTAATTCCCTGACTTTTACGCAAACGACCTGAGATGATTGCCATCCAGCTCTTCTCCTTCAAGCCCTATCAACAATTAAGCTCTGGATCGAGCAGCACCGACGAAGTAGCCGCCGATCATCGAGTCAAATGCTCACATCTCATAACCTTCAATCCACGTGGAAGAATCAATCCATTAAACTTATATCCTCATGCACATCACGCACACCACAAGAGGACATGAAGCTTCACCTGAAAATCTCTCTATAAATTCATCACAAAACCATCAACCTAGCACACAGCAACTTGCTTTACATTGCTGCAAACATGGGCCTCGTGCACGCACTCCTCCCCTTCGCAGCAGCAGCAGCATTGCTGCTCCTCGCCGCGCCGCCGCCGGCGACGGCCGACGACCCGGGCCTCGCCGTCTACTGGGGCCGCCACAAGGAGGAGGGCTCACTGAGAGAGGCCTGCGACACCGGCCGCTACACCACCGTCATCATCACCTTCTACAACGCCTTCGGCCACGGCCGCTACTCCCTCGACATCTCCGGCCACCCGCTCGCCGCCGTCGGCGCCGACATCAAGCACTGCCAGTCCAGGGGCATCACCGTGCTCCTCTCAATCGGCGGCCAGGGCGGCGCCTACTCCCTCCCCACCAACGCCTCCGCCGCCGACGTCGCCGACAACCTCTGGAACGCCTACCTCGGCGGCCACCGCGCCGGGGTGGCGCGCCCCTTCGGCGACGACGCGGCGGTGGACGGCATCGACTTCTTCATCGACCAGGGCGGCGCCGACCACTACGACGACCTCGCCCGGCGGCTCGACGGCTACAACAAGTACTACCGGGGCAGGGTCGGCGTGCTCTTGACGGCGACGACGAGGTGCTCGTACCCGGACCACCGGCTGGAGAAGGCGCTGGCGACGGGGGTGTTCGCGCGCATCCATGTGAGGATGTTCGGTGACGAGCAGTGCACCATGTCGCCGAGGTACTCGTGGGAGAAGTGGGCGGCGGCGTTCCCCGGCAGCAAGGTGTACATCGGGCTGGTGGCGTCGCCGGAGCAGGACAGCGCGTGGATGTTTCAGAAGGATCTCTACTACGAGATGCTGCAGTTCGTCAGGTCGCTGCCCAACTATGGTGGCTTGGCCATCTATGACAGGTACTTCGACAAGAAGGCCAACTACACTGGTGAGGGTTAATTAGCTAGTGATCATCGTCTTTGCTGTCTGAAGTGAAGACTAGATTTTTACCATTATGTAAAAGATCTGAATAAAGACACCTCTTTTTTCTGTAACATTGTGATTTTGATGTACTTCAATAATGGACGAATAAAATGAGGTCTCAAAAGCTATGTTGGCATCCCTCCAAAAAAAAAAAGGAAAGAAGGTTATGTATGGATCAGATCTCAAATAATGCTTAATAAATTAATCATCACTGGCTGTAATACATCACTGTGTCAGTTTATGTTTCACTGCTATTTTAATGTGCGAAATATATAAATTGTAGGGAGATAAAATGCCGCTTTTCGCATATTTCGATTAGCTGCCTTGGAAATAAACTCGGCGCAACGAGAGTTTAACCGACAATCACATTTCTTTAACCTGGTAGCATGTGAGCTGCAAATTAATTAATTACTCTCTCGAGGTTAAAAATAACTATCATTCGGTACCAGATTAATGTTAAACTTATTGAGATAATATGTATACGTTAATCTTAAAGAAATTACTTCAATAATACAATATATTTATCGATATTTTTATATGTATTGTAATGAAAATAGTGTCAAAGTATTTTTTTTACATTGTCTGATCCTATCCAAAACATTTTTTTTCCAACCTGGAGGGAGTATTTTATACCCAGTAAAAAAATGACACTTGACAGAACGTTTGATTATTAACAAATTCCAAATTGTTTTGTATGAAAACATAATTAAAATGGTATATTTGGATTTGTATGGATAAGTACTTCCATGATCTCATAAAATTATTACTCCCTTCGTTCCTGAGTAGTTTTCACCATTTGCTAGCACAGTTTCAACTTTGACCCCCTAATAGCTTTTAAAAGGTTAGTCTATCATCACAATAGAAAGCTTAATGTGTATGTTTAGGATGTAAAAATTTGAATGTGAACACTGTCCGGTGATAAATATTTAGGTAAAGAGGGAGTATATATAGTTTACAAATTTCCAACAGAAAATTACTTGAAAATAAAAAAAAAAGATACAAATGTTATGTATTTATCACCGGAGGTCCTATTAAACGAAAGAGTCGCCATACACAACGAAGAATCACCCAGAGTGTGTGAGCTGATGAGGATCAACGAGAGCATGTGAACATGTGAAGTGAAGCAGATCAGCAGAGATTTGTCGAGATTTATTATGTGTAGCTCATCCCTTAAAAAAAAAGTGTAGCTCACAAGTAAAACGAGGTCAGAACGTCTCCTATATAATAACTGTGCATCAATCGTATCTGAATAATATCTTTCTGCGAATAATCAAACATGTACAGCGCGTTGTGTACGTATTTCACTCATAGCATCCATTGAATTGGATTCGTCGTTCGATCGTTGACCACCGACATCAGTAGAATCCGGAGGGCTTGGTATAATAGGGGTTGTAAATGGCCTATGTATTCTTTCTCAACTCATCTCACCACTTAAATATGGTAAGAAAAAAAGAAAAAAAAAGAAAAAAGAATATGGTAAATTTTATCCAGTTCTATTATTTACGGTGTTTTCCTCTCAAAAAAAATATTTACGATGTTTATGTTATTGGACTTGTTGGAATGTGATAAATCTGAACAACGTAAGATAAACCTTGCTCCATTCTCGATCTTGTCCAAGGCGTCATTAGTTATGAGAGGGTTTTTTATGAACCGTTTCAAACGGATTGAGAGACTCTATAACTTACTTTCCTCTGACATAGATCGATATCTAGACCCTCTACCTGTAGTAACCGATCGAAGGGTACACCATTTGTGAGGCTGGTCTGAGCTGGGTGACAGTAGTAGAACAGGATTTAAATCAGGAGCCTCTGCCATTGGTTTGTGAAGCTACATCGTTTGGCTAGAGTAATTAAACAATACAAAATGGTAGGGTGTATCATATCTGTCGGTCAAGCATGCATGGCGTCCAACCCCACCAGTCGTCGGTCAACCATGTCTGCTTGCTGCAGGATTTTTATAATTATATTGGATATGCATGCATGCATTCATCTGACCTTGATCCCGTCGTCGTCAGCTTAATCATGCATAAAGATGAACATTACATGCATGCATGGTAACTATATAAACTACTATACCTTCACAGCTAATGTATCTACTACATCTAAAAACAGCTAGCTAATTAACTCACCATCATGGCGTTCGGACGCCGTTCACTCTTCTTGCCGGTGGTGGGCGTCGCGGCCATCCTGCTGCTCGCCGCCGGCCACGCGACCGCCGTCAACACCGGCGAGACCGTCGTGTTCTGGGGCCGGAACAAGGACGAGGGCTCTCTCCGTGAGGCCTGCGACACCGGCCTCTACACCTCCGTCATCATCTCCTTCCTCGCCGTCTTCGGCCACGGCCGCTACTCCCTCGACCTCTCCGGCCACGACGTCTCCGCCGTCGGCGCCGACATCAAGCACTGCCAGTCCAAGTACATCCCCGTGCTCCTCTCCATCGGCGGCCAGGGCGGCGCCTACTCCCTCCCCACCAACGCCTCCGCCGCCGACGTCGCCGACCACCTCTGGGACTCCTTCCTCGGCGGCGGCCGAGCCGGCGTGCCCCGCCCCTTCGGCGACGCGGTGGTGGACGGCGTCGACCTCTTCATCGACCAGGGCGGCGCCGAGCACTACGACGAGCTTGCCCGGCGGCTGTTCAGCCACTACAAGTTCGAGATGCTGCTGACGGCGACGACGAGGTGCTCGTACCCGGACCACCGCCTCGACATGGCGCTGGCGACGGGGCTGTTCACGCACATCCACGTCCGGGTGTTCGGCGGCGGCGGCGACGCCGGCTGCACGACGCGCCACAGGGCGTCGTGGGAGAGGTGGGCGGCGGCGTACCCCGGCAGCCTGGTGTACCTCGGCGTGGTGGCCTCGCCGGAGCAGGACGCCAACGCCTACCTGCCGCGTAAGGTTCTCTTCTCCGACGTGCTCAGCCACATCGTCGAGAAGCCCAACTATGGTGGATTGATGATCTGGGATAGGTACTACGACAAGAAGACCGGCTACTCCGCTGGAAAAGTTTTTTAATTAACTTCCAATAGACTGGAAATTAGTTAACCATGGTGACCAATACTAATGAATAAGGATTTGTAGAAAACAAGGATGTGGTTTTGTCAATGATGTGCTTCTATGCTCATAAATAAATACACGGACTTAATAAGAGGATCAGAAGAATGGATTTTAATCTCTTGAGAGAAATTCCGTTTGTTCTTCATGTCATCGAAATAGTTACGTTAAAAACTTGACTAGATAAGAATTTGATACATCAATCAATAAACATATAATTACAAGTTCGACTTGTAAAAAATAACAAATTAAACTCCAAGTGGTATCACTACTACCCAAATCGTTTTTACATGCAGGTAAAAGCGAATTTTGCATGTGGCCAAAGCAACCGCATGCACCAAAAGGTATGCAAAAATCAGGATTTTCGCATGCGGGTAACGCAAACTCATGCAAAAATCCGTTTTTCGCATGCGGTCACCTATACCGGCCACATGCGAAAATAAATTCAGCGAAAATGAATAAAAATAAAAAAAAAACCCCAAACCCTAGACTGCCGCCGTCGTCGCCCAGATCCGTGCTGGACCCACGCCGCTCGCGCAGTCATCATCCGCTGCCCCCATCGCCCGCCATCATCGCCAACAACGGATCCATGCGAGGGAGGCCCCCGGTGCCGGCGGCTCAGAGGAGGAGAGGAGAGAAAGAGAGAGGGGAAAGGAAATGAGAGGAGAGAAAGAGAAGATAGAGAGGTAAATATCTGTAGAGGGAGAGAGAGAGGAGGGGAGGTGAAAAAAATTGAAGTGGTGAGAAGGGAAAGAGAGAGGAGGAAAATAAAATTGTGAATAAGTGGGAAATATTTTCACATGCAGACCACTCAAGAGACTCACATGTAAAAATATATTTTCGGTCCCTTATGAGACCCGTATGCGAAAATAGATTTTTGTATGTTGACCACTTAAGAAGCTGCATGCAAAAAGGAGGTCGATTTTTGCAGACATGACCAGTTACGGTCCTTCTGTAATCTATTGGGGTTCTCGTATAGAAAAAAAGTCATTTTTATAGTTTATGTGTATATTTAGTTATATATAATATATTTGTAGAAGTTAAATTTGAACTTGTATTTCATGAAACGATATATCATATATCAATCTATCTTAAAAAGAAATTGATATCTATTTCTTGGGATTAAAATATTTTTCTCAAGGATAAATCGGCAGGAGTAAATAAAAGAATCCACACCGTTAATAAATGTGAAGTAGTATGATGTATACTTTACAAACAATCCAACGGGAGCAATCCAGAGCAGCTATTGGTTTCTGAACCTGCAGAGGTGATCGAAATGGTCGGTACGTCCGTACGAGTCGTCGGTCCATGTTTGCAGGCGACCGTACGTACGTGGATAATATGCAATGCATATGCATTACTGATCCATATCACGCGGTGTCGCGATCAGCTAATTAGCTTAGCTGCTAGCAGATGAATAAATATGTGATGAGATGAACAACATTGATTAATATTGGTCAAAATATTTTCAACTCTAAAACTTATTAGTTGTACTCCTACGTACGTATGACTGTCGGAAGAGAGTAGTACGTAATTAAATCATTTTCATTATTAAAAAAGAAAGAAGATGATGAACAACTTCACCGGCCGCGCGCTGTCTGTAGAACTCCCATACATGAACAGCTAGGCATTGCAAGGTATACGTACACGTACCAACTGTTTGCTGGCAACCTGCATTCTGCACGCGATCGAGCGGCACACAGCAATTTATATTGAAGAACAAATCAAAGAGCTTAATTGGTCAACAAGATGAGCTGCCAATAAGTACAGCTGCTACGCATATACTCCTATGCTGTGTACTATATATATCATGCGTATGCCTTTTGCATTCCAAATCATAGCCACTCATCACTGGCTCACCGCAATTAAACGCCATCTCGATCGAAAGCTAGACTAACCAAGTATATATACGATCGATGGCGTTCCGGCGCCGTTCATGCATCCCGGCGGCTCTGGCCGTCTTCTTCCTGCTGCTCGCCGGCCAGTCAACCGCCGGCGAAGACCAGACCGCCGTAATCTGGGGCCGCCACGGCGACGAGGGCACCCTCCGTGAGGCCTGCGACACCGGCCACTACAACACCGTCATCATCTCCTTCCTCAGCGTCTTCGGCCACGGCCGCTACTCCCTCGACCTCTCCGGCCACGACCTCCGCCGCGTCGGCAACGACATCAAGCACTGCCAGCGCAAGGGCATCGTCGTGCTCCTCTCCATCGGCGGCCAGGGCGGCGACTATTCCCTCCCCTCCTCCCGCTCCGCCGCCGACGTCGCCGACAACCTCTGGAACGCGTTCCTCGCCGGCCGCCGCAAGGGCGTGCTCCGGCCATTCGGCAACGCGGCGGTCGACGGCATCGACTTCTTCATCGACCGGGGCTCCGGCGACCACTACGACGAGCTGGCCAGGAAGCTCTACAGCTACAGAAACAACAAGGGGAAGGGGGTGATGCTGACGGCGACGCCGCGGTGCAGGTTCCCGGACCGGCGGCTGGAGAAGGCGCTGGCGACGGGGGTGTTCGCGCGCATCCACGTGAGGATGTTCGGCGACGACGTGAACTGCACGGCGGCGCCGAGGGAGTCGTGGGAGAAGTGGGCGGCGGCGTACCCGGCGAGCCAGGTGTACCTCGGGCTGGTGGCCTCGTCGGAGCAGGACCCGGGATACCTGTCGCCCAAGCCACTCTACTACACGCTGGTGATGTACATCAGAGACAGGCTCAACTACGGTGGCAAGATGATCTGGGACAGGTACTACGACAAGAAGACCGACTACTCCATTGGAAAACTTATTTAAAACCTATATATATACTCCTTTTTCCATTGGGAGCATGGAGATATATATATATATATATATATATACCAAGTATTGAATAGGGCTTAATTTCTAGCTATATGGAATAATGTAATCCCATGTCGCAATTAAATAAGGGTGATTATCTAAATTGTTGTTGTTTTTTGTAATCCTCCAAAATAATATCAATAAAGTTCACTGCATGTGAAAGTAAAATCTTTAGTCATATCTCCTGATAGCTGTTCAAACGCATGCTTACGCAGGATCGATGCAACGTCGTCATTTGTGTATTGAATAACCTTTCATCCTTACGTAGCGTTCTAAACAGCATGTTGACGTAAAATTCATCGCACACATAAATGTCTGAGAGATTTGCTCAACTCTAGCTAGTGCATGTCCTATCAACCGGGTTCAGAACGTGCCAGTTAGTTTGATCCTATAACTAATACGATAAAAATTAAAGATTATATCGTGGGGCCGATATAGTATCATACGATAGAAATTCGTATCAACGACTATAATCGATTGGATTTTAAGTATAAAGAATAAATTAAAAAAAAACATCGCCTAAGACCTAGGTGTAATATAATTGTAAACAATCTAACTCTTATTAAAATCAATCTTAATAGATCAAACACTGAGATAGTATAAAAATAAAAATAATAAAGGAAAGATATTAAACAATTATATATTCTGTGAATACAGACCAATGCTTCAAGTTGATTGGAAATTATCATTAACTTCTATAGGAAGAGATAGATTATCATCGGCTATAACCAGATAGAATATAATTGTTAATAGCCTTTTCTTATTGATCACAATCTTGATAGATCAGACCTAACCAATACAATAAAATTAGGAATTAGCCAATTATATTATCTCTGATAGTTAACTGATGAAACAATTTAGTTATTGATAATTTAGATAACTTATCGGTTGGAACTCCGATGAAACGATGAGTAATATCTATTGACTTGAGCATATCTAACTACCAAATACAATCCAATAGATCGGACTCAAACAAAACAGTACGAGATTAATAATAAACTTGATAGATTTAAACGAGCTGATAGATGTTAAGCAAAGTGGTTGATATATTGAGTCTAACTCATTCCAATACATTTTTCAACCAATTTTCGATAATCGCGGCATTAATTCCTTCCCTGACCCAGTCATGACTAACGGCAATTGCTAAATTTCACAGTTAACACGCCTATTAAAGCTTATTGATTGCTAACTTTATTATAGGAGAGAATTACATATTACACATGTATTATATACCTAAAGATTAGAAACACATGAATAGAAGTAGATAAAGAATTGGAATATTATGGTTTCTCAAATCCTAGAGAAAATATGGAGAGAAAAAGCACAACATAAGTTTATCATGAGGTTGGACTTATGTTAAAAATTTCTTATTAAAAAAACTACGAATTGAGGCAATCCATAAGAAGTTAATAAGATTTTAGAAGGGAGGCATTCTTATGTTCCAAAGGGACACATAGGATTACTAACTACTCCCTCCGTTTCATATTATAAGTCGTTTGACTTTTTTTTATAGTCAAAGTTCCCTAGGTTTAACTAAATTTATGGAAAAAAATAGCAACATTCACGACACCAAATTAGTTTCATTAGATTTAAAATTGAATATATTTTGATACAATGTTTGTTTTGTATTGAAAATATTATTATATTTTGCTATAAACTTGATCAAACTTTATTAAGTTTGACTATAAAAAAAAGTCAAACGACTTATAATATGAAATGGAGAGAGTAACCTTTTGCGAACTAGACTGCCCCGTTTGCATTCACTCTACAGTTTTGAACGATCTTTTGCACAGCACTGTCCTGTTTTTCTTAACTAGTTGCATGCCCGTGCATTGTAATGGGGATCAAGATATAAAAATATGCTTTAATTTTTTATATTCGACCTTTTGTGATGGGTTTTTTTGGGCTTTATGTTTGGAGCAGTTCATTTGAAAGGGGGAGCAGTTTTTTATAAGGCGGAAGGTTTTAAAGGATAAGAAGGAGAACGACCGTGCTTTTAAAATGAGTTAAGAAATACTCCAACTACTACTATGGTTTGCAATTTCGGTAATTTCGAACGCTACCGGCAAGCAGCACAAAGCTTCCCCCGAATTTTTTTTGTCTTTTAAAATATTTGTGAACTTGGTAAAAATTTGTTTAGATTCAATAAAAATATGTTAAATTTTCAAATAATTTCAGCCAAAACACCGAAATTCAATTTTTTAAAAAAAATTTGGGTGGTCACCAAAATTGCAAATCCTGGCTACTACGGCACATCAAACACAATTTTGTTTCTAACACCAGCTATGCATGCATGCATACCTCCTAACGGCACACAGGAAAAACTAACAATAGCTTTTGCTTTATCAGCATACTTATCGACCAAGCTAGTTTTACTTTGGACCGGGGCCAACCGGATAGGATCGACCATCACTAGACACCGTTATCATATGGAGTATAACAGGTCAATGGTCGTATCTCATCAACTAAAGATTCCACTTGACACACCTAGCAGTGGCACACAACAAAGATATTCGAGAGTTTAGAATAGTTTTCCAAGAGGCCCTACTGTTTTAGGCTTTAGCCATGCATCAGCTGCTGCTGCTGCATTCTTGTCTGCCTATATATACATCACAATAACTTACTTGCTTCAGATCATGCAAATCACATACACATAACGTGTGCGTTGCTGCAACATGAAGATGAAGGCTCTCCTCCCCGTAGCCGCCATGCTGCTCCTCGTCTCCGGCCAGCTCGCCGCCCCGGTCACCGCCGACGGCTACGTCGGCCAGCTCGCCGTGTTCTGGGGCCGCCACAAGGAGGAGGGCTCGTTGCGCGAGGCCTGCGACACCGGCCGTTACAACATCGTCGTCATCACCTTCTACAACGTCTTCGGCTACCAGCGCGGCAGGTACGGCCTCGACTTCTCCGGCCACCCGGTCGCCGCCGTCGGCGCCGACATCAAGCACTGCCAGTCCAAGGGCGTCCAGGTCCTCCTCTCCATCGGCGGCCAGGGCGGCGAGTACTCGCTCCCGTCCTCCCAGTCGGCCTCCGACGTCGCCGATAACCTCTGGAACGCCTACCTCGGCGGCCGCCGCGCCGGCGTGCCCCGCCCCTTCGGCGACGCCGTCGTGGACGGCATCGACTTCTTCATCGACCAGGGCGGCGCCGACCACTACGAGCAGCTTGCCCGGCAGCTGCACGGCCGCGGCGTGCTGCTGACGGCGACGGTGAGGTGCGCGTACCCGGACAGCCGGATGGAGGCGGCGCTGGCGACGGGGGTGTTCGCGCGCATCCATGTCCGGATCTTCGGCGACGACCAGTGCACCATGTTCCCCAAGGACGCGTGGGAGAAGTGGGCGGCGGCGTACCCGCGGTGCACGGTGTTCCTGACGGTGGTGGCGTCGCCGGAGCAGGACGAGGGGTACATGTTCCAGAAGGATCTCTACTACGGCGTGCAGCAGTTCATCGACAAGGAGCCCAACTACGGAGGGATCGCCATCTGGGACAGGTACTACGACAAGAAAGCCAACTACAGTGGTGAGGGCTAATGCATCATGATCAATCTCTACCTGCTATATATCTCTCTCAATATATGTAATGTAATGTAATGTAATAATATTCGAATAAAATGAGGTCACAAATTATATTATAAATATGGATCAGACCTCAGATGATTTTTTTTTTCGAACGACTCGCACGAGACGGTGCAAAGTTTTATTGATAGAGTAGGAATAAAATTACAAGATTACAATCCTGGAGGGTCATAACTAGGAAAAAAGAAAAAATATACCACCTCCTATACATCGACAGCGCCAACACACACGACCAGGAGAAGGCTAGCACCGGACCGGCCACCGCTAAACGTGGCCGGCCGACGCTAGACCAATAAAGGAACATAGACGAGATCGCCCTACAGCTAGGGGTGCCAAAACGACGTCTTCAAGAAGAGAAGCGACGGAAAACCGCCGCTGCCGTCCGTCGGGGCTCAAAGGAGCCAGGACTAGGCTTTCGCCCGGCAACCGCCCTTGTTGAGAGGTGAGACAGCACGACAATGCCATTAGGAAGGGGAATTAACCATCGTTGTCGACCCGGCCAAATTAGCCGGGCTAGGTTTTCACCCGCCGATCACCACCTACAAATCCACGGCTGATGCACCGATGCTCCACCACCACTCAACCTCTGCCGACATGTGGGACCCCTGACCTCAGATGATTATTAAATTAATAACTTGCTACTGATTGCGATATGTGAAAGCTTTAAATTTGAGACGGAATCTAGTAAGCATAAAAGTGCTTTACTATAGTATACAAGTGCTTTACGAGAAGAATTAAGCATATCAAACTCTTGCAACTGGCAGACTGGCTATAGCAATGATGTTCACAACCTAAACACAAAAGTCATATTTTGGCCGGTTGCTTCTAGGACAATAAAAATGAACACGCTTTGGGTGAAAATATTCTTAAGACCAAATTATAACTATCGTAACGTGCACACATTACGACAAAAGAAAATTTGTAGAACACCCTTTTTTTTTCTGACATGTCCTATTGCGCAAGACATCTTAATTAAATTACTTACCATTCAAGAAAACTGAACTTTCATGTCGATTGGGCTATTGATCGAAGAGTTGAAAAAACAGCTCATAATGTCATCTTTACAGGGAAATCGAATTTCAATCCCATGCGCAAATAACCTGTAGAAGTCGAATTTCAACGTGTATGTTTCATAAGTGATATATCTTATATCTATTATATACTAAAAGTCCATTAAACTTCCTACAAATGTTCCTAAACTGTCATGTGGCGCTCCTATAAACGCTTCTAGATTGCCACGTGGCGCTTTAATAAATCCTAGAAATTCTAAGAAAAAACAAAACATCTAGCCATCGATTTTCATTTAATCTGGTGGACCCACTATTTTAAACCATTGGATCTTTATTAAGAAAAAACCCAAATCAATCTATAAAAAAAATCCCACGTTACCCCCGTGGTGTCCCCGTGGACCTGTACGTATGTACGTTATGTACGTACGTATCCCGTGCAAGTCTTTTTCTTTTTTTTTCTTCTTATATTCTTAGATTAGATGAAAAACTAAAAAGTCCATGTTAAATTAAAGTTGTAAAAATATATGCTATTTCAAGTATTATTCTAAATAGCGCATCTCATCAAAACATCCACTAAAAATATTAATAAATTAAAATTGTAGATTATATTATTGTATATCTCTTAAGAACATAGTTAAATTGGACTTATATTTTCAAAAAACAAAAAGAATTTAAATTATGAGCAGCGTTCTAAAAATTTACTCACTCCCATAAAGGGAGTAGCCAATCCGATAAGATTTCACTCCCATAAAGGGAGTAGCCAATCCGATAAGATTTTAGAACTCAACCTTAAATTTACTATAAAATATATAGTATCAATCATATATCAATCACATATCAATTAGGAATAGAGCCAAATATATCAATCATATATCCCTACTAATTCCTATGTGTATAAGTTTCATATACAAATCACTATCCACCAATTATCAAGTCATATTAATTACTTATGAGGCATCCGTGCTTAATGCACCTAATAATTAGATGACATCTAATATGCAGTGTGTTATCGAGTACTGATAATGGACAATATTAAGTGAGAAACCATCAACAAATGATAGGTAAGTATTGATACCACCAAGCCACAACAAATAATAGTTGACTACAAATATATTGGAACTATTGGGTAATAGCGTTCTCACACACCTACATACATTCCTAGGATGCCACGTGACGCTCTAATAAATTAGGGTAAATCTAACAAAAGTTATAAGAAAAAGTAAAACATCTAGCCATTGATTTACACTTAAACTGGTGGATAAATTATTTTTAACCATTAGATTAGATCTCTTCAAGTAATCAATTACGACTATGACTAATAGCATTCTTGCACTTCCAAGATGCCGCCTAACGCTCTAATAAATTAGAGAACATATAAGAAAAAATATATTAAGAAAAGCAAAATATGACTGTTTATTTACACATAAACCAGTGGATATATTATTTTCAATCATTATATTATATCTATTCAAGTAATCCCTCACTATGTATATACACAAGAGATGTCATAAAGGAAAAAAAGAAGTGTGTATACGATCAGCCCCATCAAGTAGTTTTCTCTTTCTTTCTTTGCAGCTCTGAGATTTTCCACAAATTGTGCATATGAGTAGCGACCACTCCTGGCGAGGCTGTCGAAGAAGCCACGCTGCACAGCACCGCTTCACGCCATCTCGCCAATTTTCTTGAAAGCATTTTTTTTACTATTAATGTTAAAGGCAATCTCGAGCGCATATATAAACGTGTGCACACCCATCATAAAAATAGGCATACGCACACCTACCCTAAGAGAAAAAATATTTGTCAAAAAAGAGGAAAAAATATGTACTTAGTATTTGCAAGGAAAAACATAGATATATAGCATCAAAAATGTTGCATGTAACCACATTATATCTTTTTAATTATATCATTCCCATCTATATAATTATATGCTAATTATTAACATTATAGATTATTCCATCGTATATTACCCATGAACATGCATAGGTGAATCAAATATATAATAAAAGAAAAAACAAAACAAAAAATATATTAACTCATATGTTAACGAACGATGGTGATAGACGAGCTTAGATATAACCGGAACAATTCGCATTCGCACTGTCATTATAGTTTAAGGGTGTAATTCAGACTATTTCCTTGTAAAAAAAGTCACTTCCACATAATAAGGATTCATGATACAAATTTAATCAATACTAATTTAGTAAAGTGCCCGCGCATGTGCGCGGACCATCTTCCTAGTTAAATTAGAAAAATTGATGACTATTTAGTGGACATGCAAGAAAAAAGGGGAAGGATGAAAATCAATCTCCTCATCGTTACAATGAACTGGAGTATTTGAATTACAAGAAATAACAAGATATCACTACTGTAGATATGCACAAAAGGAACCGGCACGTATAGTGCTTTTGTCCTAGACGCGCGTCTGCGGGGTGCCATCGGCTAGGACCGACACCTTTGTGGAGAGATAGGTGCCGGTTCTAAACAAAAACTAGCACATATAGTCTTAATGCCGGTTTTTTCAGAAGAACTAATATCTATATATAATATATTATAGGTCTCTCCTCTCTCGGTCTCTCTCCGCCTCCTCCCCTCTCCCTCTCCCCCACGCCGCAGCCGGCCAGGGAGCAACGACGCTTTCGTCGCGCCGCCGCCGTCTCCTTCCAAAATTCGGTCGATCCTTTCCTTCTCCGGCCGAATTGATTGAGGGGAAACAATCTTTGAGATATCCTCTACCTTTTCTCTTTTGGAATCATCCTCTACTTCGGTTTGGAAATCGATGGATTCGAGTTTGTTTCGGATTCGTTCTTCCCGAAGTTTCCTTCGCCGTCGCCGGCCGCCGTGGGCCTTTGCCGCCGCCTCCGAGCCCCTTTAAAAGGACCCCCGGTGTCTCCTCTACCCGCCGCCACCCTCGCCTTCGCCTCTCGTCGTCGGAAACGCCCTAGCGTCGTGCGACCTTGCGCCGCCGTCGCCGCCGTCGCTCCAGCCGTCGCCGTCGCTCGGGAAGACCGTCGTCGTGGTCGCCAAGTCGTCGCCGTCCTCGTCCGCCGCTTCGCCACCGTCGGAGACCGCCGGAGCATCGTCGCCGTCGTCAAGCCGAAGACCGCCGCCGTTTCAACCTCGTCGCCGTCGCCGTCCGTTGGTCGTCCGCCGTCGCTTTGGTCGTCGGTGAGTTCGCCGTGCCGTCTGCTACCCGTTGGTGTCCTCCGTTCGTGCCGTAGCGCCGCCGTTCGCCGGTGAGCGTGCGTCGTCCGAGCCGCCGAGCCGCCGCCGCCGGTGGTGACGTCACCGCTGACGTCATCGGGGCCGTTCGTCGTAGTCCGGTCGTGGACCGATCGATCTCGACCGTCCGTTTTGGATCAAGTCGATCTCGGACGTCCGTTCGCGTGAACCGCCGCCGTGCGCCCAGTCCACCGCGAAACCCTAGCCCGCTGACGCAATAAATCTCTTTTTCCTTTTCAAAAATAATTCATTATTGCGTCATAATTCAATTAAAATCTATATAAGTGTTTTAATCCGATTTAATCTTTAAAAATTCATAACTAATTCATCTTAGCTCCGATTTAGTTGGTTCAAGTCTCTAAATTTTTCTAAAATTGAGATCTACATGTTAAAAATATCCACATGTACTGTTCATGCTTGTTTATGTGCTGTTTTGGTGATTTTGCTCTTTTCTGCTTAGATTCCGTCGTTTCCGGAGAGTCCGTTTTCGCCGGAGAAGAGTTTGAAGAGTTCCAAGGCCAGCAAGGCAAGTCACACAGATCCCAAACAACCCTTTGAGCATGTTGATCCCGTTTAAAGCTATTGTTTCTATTCAACTATTGCATTTATTTTTGAATGTCATTGGGTGGAATTAACCTATTGTTTGTTATAGCCCTTTTGTTCTTGTTTACCTTATTCCTTGATACCTTGGGTTATTATAACTTGACTAGTTGAGCTTTATTTATTGGTTCAACTAGATATTGGAAATAATTGCTTAGCCATGCTTAGAAACATCAGCTCACTATTGGGATAACTTATGACTCACTATTATTTAATGATGGCTTAATGATAGTTCATGATGGTCAATCGTGATTTGTTAATTAATTATTTGCCAACTAAAACCTGATAATGGTGGGTTGTGAGCACATGGTTTTGATGGTCGTGCTCATGACAATTAAGGACCGGTTCACGAGTTTCGGTTGTGAAACATTAACCGTGCCAACCACAAGCCAGCATGGGCAACGGCTTTATCTTTTGTATAGCATGGTTCATTGCGGGGCACTAGACTGAGAAGTGGCGGAGATAAGCCCACGGGGGTCGCTGGGGAGTCCATGCCTTGTTTATAAGGGGGTGATTATGATCCAGGAAGGTGCGCTGCAGTGGATTGTGTTATGCAAGGGGTATTGTCACAACTCCTTTCCGAGGTACCGTGGTGGTATTGAGGCACATGGTGACATGATGTGGGGTTGTGTCTTGTGGGTACAGTGGTACACCTCTGATCAGAGTAAAACTATTCGAATAGCCGTGCCCGCGGTTATGGGCGGGTCTAACAATGTCTTTCGTGATTAGTCTCACCCTTCTCATCATAATAAAAGGTGCTTTAACTGGTAATAATTTGATTAGCTCCTGGTTTGGAATGGTATATTCCTGGTTTGGAGATAGAACTGTGCAGTCGGGGTGGTTGTTCAGAATGGTTGGGCCTATGCAACAGGGTATGTTGTATAGTGTTGGTTTAATATTGTTTAATTATCACTTAACTGTTTTATAATTCTCAAATGTTTGCTAAATGCTGCTTTTGCAAATGAAACCCTACTATGCCATCCTTTGGTATCCTTGTGCACTTGCATATTTGCTGCGTGGCTTGCTGAGTATGTCATATACTCACCTTGCAATCATTCATCAGAGGAAGAGTTCTACAATGAGGCTGATGGTGTGGAGGATTAGGTGTAGCCTTGGTCAAGCTGCCTGTGGAGTGGAGCCGTCTGCGCCGTTTAATTTATTTTTCCGCTGCTTAGATCTTTATTGATTGAGAGGAACTATCTACCTCTGTAATGACATTTTATTCGCTTATTAATTAGAGTAATAATTGTACTCTATTATCAATTTGTTATTGTGTGCCTCGGCTGATTCCTGGACGAGGGTTCACACACATGTAAGCGTTTGGAATTTTGGATAGAAATTCCGGGCGTGACACTTTGCGGGGGGCATCCCACTTGAAGGCGCGCGGCGGCGGCTCTCCTTCTCTCCGTCCCTCTCCCCCCACTGGCAGCGCACAGCCGCCCCTCCTCCTCTCCGCCATCGCATCCAGCACCTCCACCTCCAGGCCAGTGGATCCACTGCCACGAGCTCGGGAGCAGCCTGATCTGGCCTCCATGAGCTCGGGGGCGGCCAAATCCGCACCTCCGTTGCTCCCTCGACTTCCACCTTGCCATGGGCTGCTGGTCACTGCGAGCTTGAGGCCGGATCTGACCACCTTGAGCTAGAGGGCAACCAGATCTACGCGGTTGCTAGGAAACCACCACGACAATGGTGGAGGCACCGATGGCCAGATCCATGCGCCACGATGATGAAGGCAACCACCACCAGTGTCACGGCTCCTTCCCCATGCTCTGGCAAGAGGATATTTTATGGATTTCTTTGTTGATTTTATTGGTTTTCTCCTAATCTTGCTTGTTGACATTGGTTATCCCTTCGATGCTGCAATGGATAGCTAATGCTTGGATAGTAGATGATCATTTGCGATAAACTTTGTGATTCACTCTGTGATTTTGATGTTGAAAAAAAATTGTGATTGATTGATAACAATTTAAGGCTCGAACGCGAGGTTTTTGTGCTACTCGATGCATCGGTTGATTCGAGCCGATACATTGAGCTGGTTTTTTTTTATTCCTGAAACCTTAAAGGTGTTCTTACCGAGTGTCGGTTAGAAAATCTAGCACCCATCAGTTTTTCAGTAGTAGTGTGTGCAGATAGCATTAATCATATATGAGTATATCCCAGGGTTTCATTTACCGCGGTAAACCGCGCGGTTACCGCGGTTACCGCGCTTACCGCGGGGGTACGGTAAGGGGTAAACCGCGGTAACCACGTCAAATTCAAATAAATTTGAAAAATAATTTGAATTTTTGATAAATTTTGTACGGTTTGTCGCGGTTTGTCACGGTTACCGCGGTTACCGTGCGGTAACCGTGCTTACCGCCGGGGCGCGGTAACCGCGGCCCCGGCGGTAAATGAAACCCTGGTATATCCTGCGGAAGGAACTTCTAATTAAAAGGGCTGCAGCAGTGTAGCTTCAAAAAGTGAATTTGCCATGCAAGGTTATCCTCATCATATCGATCCATAGGGCAAAAGCAATTACACCAGATCAATATAATGGTGTCGATCATCTCATCAACAGTAGATTCCGCGTGCATCACACCCACTTGTCCGCACACAAGAAGAGACCAGCTACCAAGCAATTTGCAGCGGATGCTAATTCAGCTGGCAAGCAATCCCTCCATCTATATATTGGCTGCAGATGATCAGATGATGCGCTAAATTAATCAATCATATACTACACAATATGATATGATGGGCCTCCTGAGCTTGCTGCTCGTCGTCGTGTCCTGCCTCGCCGCGCCGGCGACGGCCGACTGGTACGGCCCGCTCGCCGTCTACTGGGGTCGCCACAAGGACTACGAGGGCTCCCTGAGAGAGGCCTGCGACACCGGCCGCTACAACACCGTCATCATCACCTTCTACAGCGTCTTCGGCTACGTCAAGGGCAGGTACGGCCTCGACATCTCCGGCCACCCGGTCGCCGCCGTCGGCGCCGACATCAAGCACTGCCAGTCCAAGGGCGTCCAGGTCCTCCTCTCCATCGGCGGCCAGGGCGGCGGGTACTCGCTCCCGTCATCCCAGTCGGCCGCCGACGTCGCCGACAACCTCTGGAACGCCTACCTCGGCGGCCGCCGCGCCGGCGTGCCACGGCCCTTCGGCGACGCGGCGGTGGACGGCATCGACTTCTTCATCGACCAGGGCGGCGCCGACCACTACGACGAGCTCGCCCGGCAGCTGCACGGCCGCGGCGTGGCGCTGACGGCGACGGTGAGGTGCTCGTACCCGGACAGCCGGCTGCAGAAGGCGCTGGCGACGGGGCTGTTGGGGCGGATCCATGTCCGGATCTTCGGCGACAACCAGTGCACCATGTTGCCGTTGGACGCGTGGGAGAAGTGGGCGGCGGCGTACCCGCGGAGCAAGGTGTGGCTGGCGCTGGTGGCGTCGTGGGAGCAGGACGAGGTCGGGTACATGTTCCAAAAGGACCTCTACTACGGCGTGCTGCAGTTCATCCTCAACAAGCCCAACTATGGAGGGATCGCCATCTGGGACAGGTACTACGACAAGAAGGCCAATTACAGTGGTGAGGGCTAAATCATCGATCATACTGTAGCTAGTGTGTGTGTAATCAATCACAATAAATAAACATCCCCTCTATATATGTGTACGTATTGTACGTGTAATATAATGATCGATACAAGAAAAATAAAAGGATATCAGATCATTAGAACGTGTGTATATAAAAGGTACATTTTTGTACCGACCCCTATGATGTTTTTCCTATCCAAAACGCACATCCACGGGACACCTCGGCTAGAACCGGCACCTTTGTACAAAGAGATAGGTGTCGGTTTTGATTAAAAACCGGCATCTATAGTATCAGTGTCGGCTTTTTTTTTAAGAACCGATATCTATATTTTTATTATAGGTGTCGGTTTTATAAAAAACTGACACTATTCAGAAAACCGGCTTGAGCCGAACCCCTATCTCTCTCTTTTTATTAGCCCCTCTCTCTCTCCATTATACTCTCATCTCCCTTATCCTCTCTTCTCTCTGCCTCCTCTCTTCTCTTTGCTCCTCCCCTCTCTTAGCTCTCTCTCCCGTTCCCTCTCTCTCCACTGCACCACCCGACGGCGACCTAGCGGCGGGAGGGGAGGTGGTAGCGGCGCCCTCCCCTACGGTCCATCCAGCTGTCCAGCTGCGGCGGCGGCGGCCCAGCAGCGGGAGGGGAGATGGTGGCGGTGCCCTACCCTATGCTCCATCCGGCCGTCCAGCAGCTGCGGCGGCACCCTCACCTCTGCTAGATCTGGCGGGAAAGGGAGGTAGCGGGGCCCTCCCCTACGCTCCATCCGGCGTCCAACTGCTGCGGCGGCGGCCGGCCCGGCAGCGGGAACGGAGATGGTGGCAGCGTCCTCCCCTATGCTCCATCAGGCCGTCCAGCAGTTGCGGCAGCACCCTCATCTCCGCCAGATCTGGAGGGAAGGGAGGCGGTGGGGCCCTCCCCTCCGCTAGATCTGGCGGGAAGGGAGGCGGCGGTGGCCTGGTGATGACGGCTTCCCACGGCAACGACAGCGGTGGTGGTGGGGGGGGCAGCGGCACCCTCCTCCTCTCCATCCGACGGCAACGGCAATAATGGAGAAGGCGCGTGGGGCGAGGAGACAGTTATGTGTTCTTGAGTAATGTTCTTGATGTGTTCTTGATGAATGTGATTTTGATGTGTTCTTGATGAATGTGATGTTGATGTATTCTTGATGAATGATGAACGATGTTCTTGAAGTGCTCGGGTCCGGCTTGATTCGAGCCGAGCCGGTTTTTCTTTTTGGGCTCGTTCATCCTTACAGATGCCGGTTCTAAATCGACAACGAAACCGGCACCTATTTGATTTTCACATCAGTGCCGCCTTCGTGCTGCTGGTTAAAAAAACCGGCACCTTTGTGGGGTTGTCAACCGGCACTCATCTCTATTTCCGTGGTAGTGTATTTACAACACCATATTAGTTTAATTAAATATCACATGTCATATGTTTTGCTATTGTGTATATACTGGTATTTTTTCTATAAACTGACAAAGTTAGAAAATATGAAACGAACGGAGTAGCTACTTATTGGTGAGAAAAAAAACTACCTACACTCACAATGCATCCCATACTTACAGCAAGGATGGATTTATTGTCGTCGTCAACATCATCGTTGTTGTCATGCTTTCCAATCTCATAAAAAGTTTTATTTAAAAAGAAAAACTTTGTTCTGAACCAAGGTCATAAACAAAAACGTGGATAGGCTCCTATCCTTTCAAGAGTGTGAACACATCTTAAGATACATTATGCGCGAATGCGCGGGTTACCATTCTAGTTGATACTAAGGATGACACTAACCTATTAGTACTGATCAATAGAGATAGAACTATTATCTGTCTCAAATATCTAAACTTGTATAAAAATTATTGTCTCAATTATATATGTCACTTATATATGTCGATTCCTGTCTCCTCAAATACGCTCTTGTATATGTGCGAAACCTGTGGTCGGAGTGTTACCCAACGACAATGACAATCAAAGAACAAGTTGGGCAGCAGTAGATAATTATTGTAAGATTGAGATTGGCCCGGTTTGTATAACTAGAAAACATGCATGCTAATCACCTTGTTTAGAAAAAAAAGGACACGCTAATTAAGCTAGCTAGTTATACTATACCTAGCTTTATATAGCAAGCAAGTAAGAATTATTAGCCTAGCTAGCGTGTGGTTGAGTTGGGTTTGAAGTAATCCACCGGCGAGGCGGCGCCGGCCGGCCGGAGTAGTAGTTAGCCAACAGATCGATATAGACATATATATAGATCGAGAGTTTGTTTCAAATTAAACTTTCAGTGGCACTTTTTTTTTTCTTTTGCTTGGTGAGTTTCGTACGAGTTGCCGCGAGCACACGCTACGTACGCTAGCTAAGAGACATGATGGTGATAAATATATACTCCCTCCGTTTCAAAATATTTGACACCGTTGACTCTTTAGTACGTGTTTAACCATTCGTCTTGTTAAAAAATTTAAGTAATTATTTATTCTTTTCATATCATTTGATTCATTGTTAAATATACTTTCATGTACACATATAGTTTTACATCTTTTCTTTGAGTGTCATGTCGCTCAGTTTGTTTGGAGATGTGTGTTTTTTCTTTTAATATCCCCCCATCCCGTAATGCCAAAAACATTTTCGGTAATTGGCTTAGAGAGGTATCTAGGTCCATTAAGAAGATGATTCTAATTGGAGCTAGTGTTGTATGTTGGTCAATTTGGCGTTGTCGTAATGATAAAGTTTTTAATGGTAAACAATTATCTAACCCAATGCAGGTTATCTTCATGTCTTCCTACTGGCTCCACTTTTGGTCTACAATGCTACCACAGGAGAAGCAGGATACTGTGTGCAATGGTGCTACACTCTTGAAATCGGTAGCCAAGGGTCTCTTATTCCACTATGGGTGGCGTAGTTCCGTAAGAATTGCTAGCTAAAATATTTTATGTGGTTTAACGCTAGTCAATAATAAAGGGGAGTTGGGGATTTATCCCATCACCTTATTTCTCATTTTGATTTACTTTTATCTTACATTTTTATTACTATTAAACTTATGGTTGTGTGTCTTATGACAGAAGCCGGAGATGTAATCCATTTCCATTATCTAAAAAAATATAGTTTTACATATTTCACAAATTTTTTTAATAAGATGAACGGTCAAATATGTGCTATAAAAAGTTAACGGTGCCAAATATTTTGAAATGGAGGGAGTATTAAAGTATATATATATATATATATATGCGGTTTGACAATGGCACGTAAGATGGAATTAATATATGCTGATGCGGATGTGCATGGCGTATAGACGTCAATTGCTGGCCTGGCCGTCAACAAGACAAAAGTCGACGTGGATTGGTCAAAACTTCGAGACCTATCTACTTCAACCGGCCGTACGACGCAACTAGTAGTATTATATTTCGGTCATCGGCTCCATGCTTCTCGATCGTGTGATAATTTCTTTTGTTGGAGCTAATTAACGAGCATGGAATTATATTTCCGTGCTATAATTATATTTTTGTATATTTTTTAGCATGCATTACTCTTTCTTACAAGAATTATAGTAGCTAGTCGATCTGACTGCTAAATGGTACTTGTGTTTATATGTTCTTCCGTGCATAATCGATGAACTAAAAATAACGCTTACGTATTCCGAACTCCTAAGCAGTTCATCTTATATAAAAAATTTCTATATATGATTTTCTAATTTGCAAGTAAATTTATATTATATGTCGATATCACAAATCATTCATCAACCTTTTAGAAAAGAAAAACACGACTCAACCATTCAATTATATATCGATTGAATTGTTATATATGGAAACTATATAGTCAGATTCGTAGTTAAGGGTAATTTTTTTAATTGCAATTAAAAGGTATCTCCAGGATTGTGAAATGCCTGACCTTTTTTCTAGAGTAAAAGGTGCACATTATTGGTTACTCGCTTCACTTGAAAATATTAGTATTTTTAGAAACACGTCATAAAACGCGCACACTCACCTGTTTATATCACACTATAAACATTTTTCTTACTGATTTCAATACATGAAAATCCTAACATTTTCAAAAATATTATAGGTGCTCGGAGGAGGAAGTTAAGCAATTTTAAATTTGGCCATCAATATGATATATAGCTAAAAGGAAATCGTTTTTTACTTTAGTATCTTTAATTTGCTAAGCAATATAGAAATGTTTATATTTTGAGACAGCAGCATTAGTAACTTAATTTGCATTGATGATCACGTTGTCTTTTCTTTTTCTCTACCGTAAGATCTGGTTGACCCGCAGCAAATGGCGCCATTGCTCCCTCTTATTTTTATGCCCTCGCTCTTTGTTTTTTTTTTTTTACAGTACTTTATGGAAGGTTCGCGGTAAGATGCATATATTATTGGTCGCATAAAGAAGGCGTAGGCGCGCGCGTGGCCTTTGAATCATAGCCACCCTTAGCATGTGCGACTCGACTCATCACAACATGATATAGCTAGTTCTAGCTGTCATCCATCTTAGCTAGCTAACCTGCGGGTAGTTAGCAGCCATGGCGTCGATCGACGAGAGGTAGACGACGACGATATCCATATCCATATGCATGCATGGACAACGCATATACCATGGAATAGATGGGTTCGACCAACTTTAATTTGATGGCTACCTTCTGTTTCCATTAACCTTTCATCATTCCATTCGTGCACGCGCCCGCATGTACATGTTCCGCTGTTTTCCATCGATCCATCAACAGCATGCATATGCTGCAGCTGCACCCTGTTTCAGTTAATTCCAATCACCAATGCATTGCATATATTAATCCAGATCGAGGCACACAAGAACAGACTATAGCTACCTATATCTATCTTGTTATTTCTACCTAGACCTTAATTAACTCGTTCCGTTCATCCATGATCCATCTATATATAGACGTCACCCGTGCCTCCATTCTTCACACCAAAAATCATCCCCAATCTTACATCAACTACCTACTTCCTACGTAGCCCAGTAACTATACATTATTAAGGCTAACCAGTAACTAACTAAGGCACACGTACGCAATGGTGGCGCTCGGACGCCGTTCATGGCTGGTCCCGCTGGCCATGGTGCTCGCCGTCTCCAGCTGCCTCGCCGGCCCGGCGATGGCCGCCGGAAAGACCGGGCAGATGACCGTGTTCTGGGGCCGTAACAAGAACGAGGGAACCCTCAAGGAGACCTGCGACACCGGCCTCTACACCACCGTCGTCATCTCCTTCTACAGCGTGTTCGGCCACGGCCGCTACTGGGGCGACCTCTCCGGCCACGACCTCCGCGTCATCGGCGCCGACATCAAGCACTGCCAGTCCAAGAACATCTTCGTCTTCCTCTCCATCGGCGGCGCCGGCAAGGACTACTCCCTCCCGACCTCCAAGTCCGCCGCCGACGTCGCCGACAACATCTGGAACGCCCACATGGACGGCCGCCGCCCCGGCGTGTTCCGCCCCTTCGGCGACGCCGCCGTCGACGGCATCGACTTCTTCATCGACCAGGGCGCGCCCGACCACTACGACGACCTCGCCCGCAACCTCTACGCCTACAACAAGATGTACCGCGCCCGGACGCCGGTGAGGTTGACGGCGACGGTGCGCTGCGCGTTCCCGGACCCGAGGATGAAGAAGGCGCTGGACACCAAGCTGTTCGAGCGCATCCACGTCCGCTTCTACGACGACGCCACCTGCTCCTACAACCACGCGGGGCTCGCCGGCGTCATGGCGCAGTGGAACAAGTGGACGGCGAGGTACCCCGGCAGCCACGTCTACCTGGGCCTCGCGGCGGCGAACGTGCCGGGGAAGAACGACAACGTGTTCATCAAGCAGCTCTACTACGATCTGCTTCCCAATGTGCAGAAGGCGAAGAACTATGGCGGAATCATGCTCTGGGACAGGTTCTACGACAAGCAGACCGGTTACGGCAAAACCGTCAAGTACTGGGCTTAATTAATTAACCTACTACTACTATTTACTGCTACTATGCGTTAATTTGTGCGTGTGTGTTTGAGAATAAAATATGTTGGTGTGTGTTGGTTTTTTTATGTAGGTATATGAATAAAACGAGATCCATATGTAACGATGGAGATCTCGAGTTGTTTGTTTGTTGGTCATCAATCGAATAAAGTGTATGAACAATATATCAGAAATGGTTATTATGTAATTTTGTCTCTTGTTAACCTTCATTTGCTTGCCGCATTGCTTTCTTGGGATGGAATGAATACTGCATAGAGAAACTCTGTTATTGGTCTAGTTGAACAAGCTAACTGAGGAGACAGTGGTTTCGAAGAAAAGTGTGTGATTCGTTCTAAACCCAGGCTAATCCTGCTGTTTTAGGGTCTTTTATGTAGTAGTATCTGTTATCATTTCTGGTCAAAGTACGAAAGTATCTTTTGAATTTTCAGTTTTCTTGTGCGTGTTTCCTTGTCATTTAACGGCTCAATAACAGCATAGATGACGTGAGTGGAAAATCATTCTGAAAGTGACGGAAGGATAGTCAATTTTGTGACGCAAATTAATCAACAAATAATAGTCTTGTAGTAGGAATAAGTACGTGTAGCAGTGCTCTTTGAAAAAGTGTTTGAGCACCGAAAACCATTCCACAGAGGTTTGTCGATACCACAACAACCGAGCGGTTATCGATGAGAAGTAATCAATTTTATCAAAATTTTGAATTTAGTGTGGTTTTAATTGAACTTGGCCGATTTGTCAATTAATTTACAAATACAAACTGACTCAATAAAGCCAATAACTATAACTAAGCAGTTATCGATGTTTTTTTTTTGTAAGTTTAGTGGCATTCACATCCCATTTATACATTTTGTCTCAGAAAATTTTAGATATTGCTTGGAAATTTTTGAACAGTTTTTTAATTATTTCTTTCCTTGGGTAAAATGGTATTTAGCCCTCGTGTATCACTTGGTACAAACTCTGCATCCATAGCATTTTTTTTACGCAAAGGTGATGTACAGTGATTTTATCTCTTCACATGATACCAGGCATGCTCTGTGTTGCTCTGTTTCATGTCAAAAAAACTACTGTCAGCAATGTTCACGAGCGAAGCTGTATAAATTATCACTCATAGATTTTATTTCTTCACGTGATATGTGTGACATACTAACATGTTGGTGTACGCCAAAGTTTTTGCAAGGATTAAACATCTGGAAACGCAAATTTAACTTGGTGTATGAAACCACATAACAAAAGCAGTGCAGCTGATCCGAAATGAAACGGATCGATCAGAGTCAGAGCATGCCTTTGATGGTCTGACCGTAGCGGCTCCTCCTGTCGAAGTGTCGGTTCCAGAGCACGACGCCGCCGTAGTTGGGCGTCCCCCGCACCAGAGGCAGCGCGTCGAACACCAGCGCCGCCGGGTTGATCCACCCGTCGCTCGCCGCGTCCCACGCCGCCGGCAGCCCGACGTGGACGCTCGCGTTCGCGTACCTCGCCGTCCACCCCAGCCACGCCCCGTAGAACGGCCGCCGCTCCGACGAGTCGTACGAGCACCTCCTGTCGTCGTAGAACCGCACGTGGATCCGCCCGATCAGACCCGTCGCCACCGCCGCCTCGCCGCTCGTCTCCTGCCCGTCCATGCACCGCACCGTCGCCGTCAGCAGCACGCCGCCGTGTTCGCCGAGGCGCTTGGCCAGCTCGTCGTAGTTGGCCGACCCGCCGTGGTCGATGTAGAGGTCGATGCCGTCGACCACGGCGTCGCCGAAGGGGCGGAACACGCCATGGCGGCCGCCGCCGAGGTAGGCGTGCCAGAGGTGGTCGGCGACGTCCTTGGCCGACCTGGGCGTCGGGAGGGAGTACTGGTCGCCGTCGCCGCCGATGGAGAGGAGCACGGTGACGTTCTTGGCGTGCTGGCAGTGCTTGATGTCGGCGCCGACGCCGGCGACGGGGTGGCCGGAGAGGTCGGCCCAGTAGCGGCCGTGGCCGAAGACGGTGAGGAAGGAGATGATGACGGTGTTGTAGATGCCGGTGTCGCAGGCCTCCCGGAGAGAGCCCTCGTCCTTGTTCCGGCCCCAGAAGACGGTGAGCTCGCCGGTCTTGTCGCCGGCGACCGGCCCGGGGCCGGCGAGGATGAGGAGCACTATAACAACAAATGAGAGCGGCAATGCACGGCGCCGTTGTGACGACGACGCCATTTGGAAATTAATGGAATTAGAATTGGATTTGGATTTGGTTGATATTCTTTGATCTTTCTTATTGTTGTGAACGATTTGTGAAAATCTGTCGTGCATGTCCATGCTACTTATAGTGTGTTAAGTGAGCTACTGTCGATCGATTTTTCAGCTCGATTAATTGTTTTCAGTGGTCGAATTCCCGTCTTTTAATTCTGTGTATCGATCGTTATCTGCGCCGCTGCCATTTTTCATTGACTAAAGACGAATGTTGTGTGCGCCTAACTATACACAAGTTGCTTGTAATGACAAAACCAAAGGATGGCTCCTTATGAACAAATGGACTATTTTCAGTGTAGGGCGCACCTATAGGGACAGACCCTGATTAGATTATTCAATCTTAGCTAAATTATGCATGTGAGCTATATATGTATCAGTCAATAGTTAGATTATTAGTATATATTGGAACTCCCATAATTATTTTTGCGTTTGTCACTACTATGTATCTCTAGTCTATTCTTGTGTGCCGAAGTGTATATATACTGTTCATTTGATGATATGGCCGTACGTGCGACGACATCGTTGACTGATCGACGAACGCAAGTCTTTGAGATCTATATAGCTAAAAGAGAGTTGCATTAATTTGTCAAATGACCCGAATTCTAGATATACTTGTATAGTACTAGCACATGTTATCAGCTGTCTAGCACTGGTTAGTTTTCAGATGACGCACGTTGATGCATGATTGAGGAGATGCGTCTTTGACACGGGGAGATAGTTTGGTTTGTGCCGGACCTGTGTCTTAAGCCCTCTCGAACACGTGAATGGTTACCATTCATTTCAAAATTCCCTCTCTTTTTTTCTAATATACTGTAAAAAAATAAATTTCTTTTAAAAAATAGCATTCTTTTTTTTAACAATCTCGGCGAATTCCCGTTTTAACAAAGTAGTCATTACGTTTTATATTACAAAAGATGAAATTTAAGCTAAATCGAAATTGTATTGTGCATATTTATAGATTAATATATGAACTGCAACAAAATTTTCATTCATTCTCTTTTTTCTTTGCGATTACAAACAAGACACGCGCACACTCTACACGCCTGTGATTATGCTCCCCTAGCACGTACTCATTGTGACGGAGATTGGCGATGGGTATAACTTTATCACCACGCATGCTCTCTATGAAGCAACGTGTGAGTAATACTCCAGTGGGATTCAAATCCAGTGGATATAACTCAATCACCACATCACACTGTTTTACAGTAAAGTACAAAGTTTTGAATGAGCATTCGGTTTGATATCAAAATTTTGAATACAAACTAGACATGGATATATAGGATAGCAGATTCTAATATCTTGAGGGGATGTTCCCTTGTGTATATTTTTCTTTTAAATTTGGTACAAATAATTATGAAAAATTGTAAAAAAAAATATTAGTTATGTAGAATATAGTGATATATATCGGTCCACCAAAGTTCAAATCCAATAAACATATCGAAAAAAAGGACAAATTCATATTTGTGCTACTATTCTCACGTTGAATTTTTTACATATATATTTGGATGTGTGAGTTGGGTTTGGGCCTAAGATTTTATAGAGTTGTATAGATACGTTATATGAATATTGTCATTTATTTTTCAGATTTTTATAACCGTTAAATGGTTTTTAATCAAACGAGAGGACATCCCTCGAGGGATCAAAATAGTTTATTCCCGGTATATAGCTAGCCCAAGCCCCACTCTCCAACTCTTGAGAACAAATACAACTACTAGCAGATACGTAGTGCATACTTGAATTTATTGTTCATGTACCTTAATTCAAGCATACAGCACCCTGAGAGACACTCACAAATTACATACGCGCACACGTACACACGCTACGCAAACAAATTCAAAGCTGGCTCCATTATTATACACAATCATGCATATACTATTGGGAAGAAGAAGTTGATCGAATTGAAGCTCCGATGAAGCAGCAATGGCGGCCGGATTGAATGTGAGAATCGATCAAACGAAGTCCTTGAGCGCCCTGCCGTAGTAGTTATCGTAGGCTTTGTCGGCGCCTCGGTCCCACAGCATGGCGCCGCCGTAGTTGCTCGCTGTCTGCGCCCTCTGCATCACGGCGTAGTAGAGCGACTCCGGGTTTATCCAGTCCGCCGCCGTCTCCTCCGCCGGAAGCCCCACGTACACCTGGCTCGCCGGGAACCGCGACGTCCACGCGTCCCAGTCCTCCCAGTCGAACAGGCTCCTCCGCCCCTCGCCGTCGGTCTTGTTCGTGCACGCCGCGTCGCCGTAGAACCGCGGGTGGATGCGCCGCACCAGCCCCGTCCCCAGCGCCGCCGCCGCGTTCGCGTCCGGGTACACGCACCTCGGCGTCGCCGTCAGCAGCACCGGCTTGCCGCGGTAGCCGGCGAGGCGCCGGACCAGCACGTCGTAGTTCGCCGGCCCGCCGTGGTCGATGTAGAGGTCGACGCCGTCGAGCACGGCGTCGCCGAAGGGGCGGAACACGCCCCTGCGGCCGCCGCCGAGGTAGGCGTGCCAGAGGTGGTCCGCGACGTCCTTGGCCGAATTGGCGGTGGGGAGCGAGTACTGGTAGCCGTCGCCGCCGACGGAGAGGAGGACGGGGATGTTCTTGGACTGGCAGTGCTTGACGTCGGCGCCGACTCGGGAGACATCGTGGCCGGAGAGGTCGGTCCAGTAGCGGCCGTGGCCGAAGACGCTGAAGAAGGAGATGATGACGGTGGTGTAGAGGCCGGTGTCGCAGGCCTCCTTCAGTGAGCCCTCCGTCTTGTTGCGGCCCCAGAAGACGGCGATCTGGCCGGTCTTTCCGGTGGCGGTGGCGAGGCACGGGAGGAAGACGACGACGGCTACTAGCATCGTCGTCGTCAAGAGACATAGCTGGTGGCGCGCCATGGCTGATATGATACGATGGCTTAATTAGTACGTGATGTGAAGGCATCGCCGGCGACATGAGTAGGTATATATAAGCCGCCATGGCCATGGCCATGCAGAAGATAAGGGCCGGGGGAGCTGTGGTCGTCGTCAATGGCGTGCCGGTGCCGCCTGCAGACAAATCCTGGCGCGGCCGCCGCAGAAATCGACGACCAAACTACACATGGAGACGGACTGCAGGTTATTGTTTTGTTCCGAGACAAGTCAAATTTAAGTCAACAACTTGCAATCAGGACGAAACGTGAGGCTGGTTTAATGGTTTTTGTCATGACAACAATTTGTCATTCTCTGCATGAAGAATTTATACGCCTGGAAGAAGCATCACATTGACGGAATATATTCTTTTTCAAGTCTGACCCATATACGAACATGCATGTGCCAGTAGTAGCCTTATATATACATATAATCAACCAATAATGCAATGCAACTATGGTAAACAGCACAGTGAAACATGCTGGATTCTTTTATATTTCAAAACTAAATTAACATAATCATACTACTTTCAAGCCTGACCCATACGAACATGCATATGCCAGTAGACGGGTACAGATAGTAACAGATGACGCAATGCAGGTTGGTAAACAACACAGTGAACCATGTAGTATAAACACTGGAGTAACATTGCAATTAGACAATGTCTTTGATGGCACGGCCGAATCCGGTGATCTTGTCGTAGTAGCGATCCCAGAGCATGACGCCGCCGTAGTTGGCATCGTCCTGCACCGACGATAGCACGCTCTCCCGCAGCGTCTGCGGGTCCACGAACCCGCTCATCTCCTCCATCGCCGGCCACCCCACCTGCACCCGCGCCGCCGGGAACCTCGACGTCCACGTCCTCCACGCGCCCCAGAACGGCCGCGTCTCGAAGTAGTTGTAGTCGCACGAGCTCTCGTTGTAGAACCGCACGTGCAGCCGCTCGAACAGCGACAGCGTCTTCATCGTCTCCACCTCGTCGTCGAACAGCGCCAGCGAGCACGCCGGCGACGCCGTCAGGCGCACTGCCGGCTTCTCGCGACCGAAGCTCCTCAGGCGCCTGGCGAGCTCGTCGTAGTGGCCCCACCGGCCGCGGTCGACGTAGACGTCGACGCCGTCGAGCACGGCGTCGCCGAACGGGCGGGACACGCCCCTGCGGCCGCCGCCGAGGTAGGCGTGCCACAGGTGTTCGGCCACGTCCTGCGCCGACTTGGCGGTGGGCAGCGAGTACTGGTCGCCGGCGCCGCCGATGGAGAGGAGGACGGTGACGTTCTTGGCCTTTTGGCAGTGCTTGACGTCGGCGCCGACGCCGGCGAGCGGGTGGCCGGCGAGGTCGGTCCGGTAGCGGCCGTGGCCGAAGACGGTGAGGAAGGAGATGACGACGGTGGTGTAGAGGCCGGTGTCGCAGGTCGAACGCAATGAGCCCTCGTCCTTGTTCCGGCCCCAGATGACGGTGAGCTCGCCGGTCTTGCCGGCAGCGGCGGCGCCATTGATGATGAGGAGCACGAGCAAGCTGCAATGCAGAGTAGCCAACAGAGGCGGCCGGAGTTGGAGCTTCGACATCTTCTCGATCGGGCCGATGATACAACACGCACACACTAATTCAGTTCATTCAGTACACAAATTGAAGTCAGTGACAGTCAGTATATGTAGCTCACTGATCACTAGCTAGACATACCGTACGTATGTACGGATCATGTCGGCGCCGTGTACAAATTGAAGTCAGTCGGTCTCTTCCTGTGTGCTGCAGATAGCACGGGATGCAGTAGTGCTGGTGCATGCATGTATACAAGTGAATGCAGAGAAAAAAAGATTGATGAGCTGGCTAGATCGAGAACGAAATAATCAGCTGCAACTTTGGTCATAATCTGGGTGGCATGCAATTAAGTCGTGTGCTGTACATAGGAAATATGCATGGAGTATCAAAGGTGGATAAAAATAAAAACCAAATACACAGTTTACGTGTAAATTGCAATACGAATCTTTTAAACCTAATTACGCCATAATTTGTCAATGTGGTGCTACAGTAAACATTTGCTAATAACGGATTAATTAGGCTTAATAAATTCGTCTTGCAGTTTCATGACGGAATCTGTAATTTGTTTTATTATTAGACTACGTTTAATATTTAAATGTGTGTTCGTATCCGATGTGACATGTAGACCTAACGAAATCTATAATTTGTTTTATTATTAGACTACGTTTAATATTTAAATGTGTGTTCGTATCCGATTTGACATATAGAGACAAAAAATTTTGCTAAAAACAAGTCCTAAATATTCCATTCAAATGAGTCCAATCTTTGGTTGCTTGGTTCTTGTTCATCTGCTTGATTTGAGGCAGGGGCGGTACCTTGACCAAACAAAATCCTACTACTGACTAAAACTTCAATTCGTGCTTGCGTGCGTGTTTCTGAGTCATCAGTGCGCGCGAGGAAGGGAAGCTTATCACAAATACTAACTTGGTAGAAAAAAAAAGTTTATTAAGTAGTGCATCCACATTGTCATAGGCTAAACATTGTATCTGTTTTATTGATTCCTAAATATTTTTTGTACTAAATGGCTGTAAGTTTTTTTTCGCTGTAGTATACTGCAAGACAGTACGGTACTATAGCACACAGCACATAAACCACTGTATATTGAGTGTATCTAAACGAAGAGATCAAGCAGCTGCAGGGAGGAACTGGGCCGAATTTCTGGCATGACGATCTGCTTATGGCCCAGATCAATATTTCTAGGCCGATGCCTCCTCATGTGGCCACCTAGGGCCTGGCCCATCTGAAAGCCCAACCCACACACCTCGCACGCGTGGATTAGAGGCTTGGACGGGCCGGGCCGCCGCTTGTTGGTAGTGGGCCGGAGGTGACTGGTCCGGTGGCCGCCGAGCGCCTGGTGCGACGGGAACCGCCGCCCGCACGTCCGGCACTCGAACGCCGCCGCCGCCGCCTCCTCGTCCCGCCGGCGACGCCGTGGCTCCGCGTCCTCCTCATCGCCGGACGATGACATCGCCGTCGTCGAGCCGCACGCCAGCGACAGCGAGAGCTGCACGTCGAGCTCCGCGAGCTGGCTAAGTTGGTTATCGTCTTCTTCTTCCTCGAGCTCAAGCTGCAGATCACTAGTGTAGTCCTCCTGCTGGTCCATGGCGGTGACGACGACGAAGACGTCGCTATCTCTCGCGAACGCAAAGGTTACACTTACACTTACACTTCACTAGCTTGGGTTAATTAACAAAAGATTAGATTCAGGTGAAGCGGCCAAGCCATCATAGCATATATTTATAGAGAGATCTATCGATGGATCGAATATATAATAATGCATGTGCAGTGTTAATCAGTGTGTGACATGCATATATGCAAGGGTGTCACGCAAGAAACTACTCGTAAGAGATAGAGATGGAATATGTTCCATTTCGGTTTGATTTACACGTAGGTACGAGAATCATGCAAGCCGCGTGTACCACTAGATCTATTAATTTCAGTGTAATTAATTACTAGCAGCGTCGTCAAGTCCTCAGTCCATGCTTGTACTTAAATTAGGATATCTGGATTTGGATAACTCCGGTCCTAATTAACTTAGTGAGCAAGTTTGTGGTAACTACTCCTATAGCAGAGAAATTAATGCGGAAGTACTTCCATTAAGTCATCCATCACAACACAACTGCATGCTAATTAACATGGCTGTAGTTATTAGTAGTTGGTAATCTCCTTTAATTCGCACTCCATAGCTTAGAGATTTCGAACCTACTATGTCAAAATATTAGTAATACCAAAACCTAGCTAAGTTTTGATAATGCTAACTTTTTAGTTATGTGTCTTGTTGACATACTTTGATAGTAAACCAAACACTAGCAATGTTACTATTTGAAGTGCCAATAATTCAATAGGTAATATTTTGGCTTCAAACCAAAATGGTCATTCAAGCTATCTTTGCCTGGGAGAAGCATGCATCAAAATGTTGATGATATCGTAGATACATGGCTCCATCCACCCAAGCCAAGTTGAAATTAAATCTAATTTTCACAAATATTACATGCACATGGATGTGCTTTTAATAGGATTTTAGTGACATTAAAGATTTACCGTTGGTTTTGTACTCACTAGCTAGTTAGTGTGCGTATACTAAGCGTGCGTATCTCCCGTGTAATAAATTTTTTTTATTGCATGCTTGTTTAATTTATAGATGTGTTGCAAATAATTAGTTAAGAAATATATGTGGTATGAAAAGAACATGGGACTAATTAATGGCATGAATCAAGACATTAGTTTGGAATAAGACAAGGAATTATTAGCTACTCTTTAGTGCTATAGGAACCTTGCTGTGCTAGCTTATGACTAAAGTTGTGGGTACGTAGGTCAAGCTAGTCTCCTGAAAACAAACTATACTTATTAAGCCATCACTCATGCAGGACCGCTCGTTACGTGTTGTAGATGAGATTCAGATCCATATCTTAGATTGTTCCTGCAGTGGGATGCCAACCAAAAAACGATGGGCCAATCGATCGAATCAAAATTAATATTAATTAAGAAAATTATCTGTTAGGAAGTTGCTTCGAAATTGCATGGTGATCTATCGAATTCGTTGATATTTCTTTTTGTTTTTTGAAGACTATTCAGCCATTCATTCATTAATAGTATAGCAGTACACAACTAGCTAGTGCCCAGTGACACAAAAAAAACTGACCTGTCAACAACAAGCAAATTTCATGGAAATTCTGCAGCATATATGCTGTACTCCGGTAGCTTCCATCGTCCATCGTTTAATTAGTTGCTTAATTAGATTTCCACCAATCAAACAACTGCGATGCGTCGTCGATCGCATGCATATGCGTTAATTAATTAGCTCATATGTTGATCGACGACGACAAGCTGATCAGTAGTACCATATACTGCTAGCTACTTGGCATTGTACTGTACTAGCAACGAACGTAATCTACATTGACCTTGTCGCATTATTTTAACTATACTCTCTCCATTTTATATTACTTATCATTTTAGCTTAATTTATCCTATATAAAACTTTCATATCTCTGATAATCAAATTTAGACATTCATAAAGTTTAAAATTATGAGTGTTATATTTTGGATTCATTATAGTAAGAAATACTTTCATAATACATCATTGGTATATATATTGTTAAATTATAGAAAATTTTAAAAATTAATGGTCAATATAAAAATGTTTAAATTAAAAAATAAAACAATAAATAATTTTGAACAGATGGAGTACTTAATTAGTTTAGGATAGCTACTAGCTGCTTAGCTTGTAGTATAAGATGTGATATGCATATATTAGCGTATTAATTAGTCACAGTTTAGATTTCAACTTTTGCCTTCAAACTTCTAACTTTTCCGTCACATCGAACTTTCCTACACATACAAACTTCTAACTTTTCCGTCACATCGTTTCAATTTTTTCAAACTTTTAATTTTGGCGTGGAACTAAACACATCCTTAGTGCGACAGTACATTACCGTGTTATATAGCAAGCACGTCGATCGGTCGCGTACGCGTACATAGTTCAAATTGAAGGATGCATATATATAAACAAATGGACAATTCTGTATTTTCTCTTGACTAGAAAAAATGCCCGTGTGTTACAACGGGTAAAGTCTATTTTAATCTTATTATTGTTATATGGTTTAGTTAAGATGAAATTCATTATGGGAGTGCGCTTGGATATATATTTTTAAAAAATCATGAGCTGTAGTTAGGAGTGCGATCGTCTCAAGTTAGCATGCGAGTTTTTTTTAAACAGATTTCTTATATGATTCCTTCTGTATTACCAAAAGTGAACGATTTTAAAAACCGACTCAAATACGGATATATATTTTCATAAGCAAACGAACTTAAAAACCGACTCATACACGGATGACGTACCAAAATACCGACAAAAACATCTTCAATTTTTATAATAGTAGAGAAGAAATATAGATTAAAACCAAAACATAAAATTAAAACCGACTTAAACATGGACGACGAACTGCGGATATGATAACAAATATCATGACGATCATGTCATGGAAACCACCAATAATCACATAACAAAATCTGTAACGAAAACAACCATTTTCAAGAGCAATATATATATAGTGGTTGAACTTGAAACATGTTCCATTGAACGAATACAATTAAAATCACGTGTATTTAATCATTGAAAAAATATAATTGAACATTACAAAATCAAAGACGAACTTAATTGGTATTGTATCTTGTGGCGTATACGTGTATATATATCTAGCTATAAGCATGTTGCGTGTTTGTATACCACTCCAGAACAAACTTAATTATTATTGACATTAATCACTGGTTTTATTCAATTCATATATTGATTTGTCCATTAGCCACTCACAAAAAGTGGATGAAATTATAATTGTGCACGTCGTCGTCGTCGTCGTCGTCACGCTCTTCCGACGAGGAGCCGGACATTGTCGCCGCCGCCGCCGCCGCCGCCGTCCACGTCGTGGACATTGTGCCATTACGACTCACCAGCGGCCGGTGGCGGCGCATGTGGCCGCCGAGCGCCTGGCCGGTGGCGAACACCTTGCCGCACATGTCGCACCGGTGCACTACCGGCGTCGAGGCGCCGCCGGCGCCGAGCTTGCCGGGGCGCGCGCCGAGGAGGAGGTCAAGGCCGTCGGCGCGCACCCGCGGCCGCTTGTGGCTGGTCCGGTGGCCGCCGAGAGCCTGGAACGTGGAGAACCGCCGCCCGCATGTCCGGCACTGGAACGCGCCGCCGTCGAGGTGCACCCGCTTCACGCCGCCGCCGCCCTTGGCGATCACCTTGCTCGCCGGCGACAGTGTCAGCACCAGCATTAGCTTCACCGGCGATCGTGTCGCCGTATTGGTGGCCACTTCCATCGTCGGTAAACTAATGAGCTTAAAGCTTAATTATATATATTAATTAACACCTTAATTGCTGCATGCAAAATTAAAGTGTTAATAGCAAACCAGCTACCGAATGTTCTAATGTCAAGAGATGGGATGGTATATATAGATCGAGAGGTTGGCCGGGGACGTTGACCGGAAGTCAACGTCGAGCTCGAGGCAGTACACATGTGTGAAGTTGCCTTGTGTTTCATGGAATTTTAGTTGGAGCGTGTAAACGCGCGCGAACGTATGCTTGTGACGACACAATCTTACGCACTAGTGTGCGCGAGGATGAGATCGATGCCTTCAGCTCGCATCCTACCGTCCGCTCTGCCTTGAGATTCGTGCGGTAGTTTCTGGGAAGCTACGTGCACATGGATTCTTGCACACGGAAATATTATCTTGTGGATAGCTAGTATGCAATGCCGTGTTTACGAAGACCGAATTCCCTTGGGTTTGCATATGTGTGGATACGATGTTGTCATTGCAAATGGGAACAAGAACTTAAGCGTGTGTTGCATCTTCAATTTCCTTGTTCGTTGGTGAAGTGACATGTGCCACATGCATCTTCTATCTTCCATAGTTGAAAAGTATTAATTTGTACTACTCAATATCCACTATCCAAAAAAAAAACAAATATTAATGACCTAGACTTAACATCGAATCATCTTTACTGGATTGGATATTGATCAAAGAAACGGGCTAACCAATTGACTCAGAATGAGAGTCAGACTTAATATGTTTAACAAATAATTAACAGAAATTGGATAGCAAAAACGCTGAACTAAAACTCTATTTCTTTGCTTCTAGCCGTGTTGTCTCCTAGAAGGAGGAAATTAACCATGTAAGATGTTCTATTGGCCATTAACTCGTGTGTCACATGATAACTATTTTAAACAATCCATGTTATCATCTTGATGTTTACTAGTTCAAAATTATAAAATTATTAAATCATGGAAAATATCATAATTGAGATTTCAGGACAACTTGGTATTTAGTATTACTTTTAAATGATAAGATACTAGTTAAAAACTGAATCTGCAGACTAATTACAACTAAACTTAAGCGTGTTGGATATTCAAAATGTTCATCTTTTCTTGTTTGTTGGTGAAGTGGCATTCATATCTTTCTCTGGTAGGAGAGTGTTAGTTTGTACTTAATATCAATTAATGACCAAGACTTAATTAAGATTTAGTAATGCATCTTGTTCGGTTGGTTGGATATGGACCAGAGTAACTTGTGTACTGGCTAAAACCAATGGTGAGACTGAGACTTTGTTTATCAAATCAGAGAAAGTGTATGACAAAAATACTTAACTTGAACACTGTTTTGATAATATATAAAAAGGCAAACAGTGAGCTAAATTTGCTTCCAGCCGTGTTGTCTCCCACAGGGAGGAAACTTACTTAGATTTGGTCCATGTTGATTTACATATTCAATCTTGCGAAGGAACTCATCAATTGTTTATGGAAGTGATACACAAATACGCTGTCAATCTATGTAGTCTGCAATTAATGATTATTGGTTTCGGGTACAGGTACCCCTTTGTTGAAATTTAAAAATTGCCTGATATTTTAGAAGTAACTTATGGGCAATTGGGCATTTTCACAACAGAACAATACAATGACTTTGTTCTAAAGTCACCAGTCAAAATTAAATACGGAACAAACCTGTGGCTTTTGCCTATCCAAGTGGTTGAATGCACTAGTGAATTTAGTTTGCCGTTTGGTAGCTACAAAACTGATCAAAGCCAAGTTGAGCATTCAAATACATTTGGATGCAATTAATTAATTAGGCTAGTATATTAATTGTTAGGAGTCGATCCTATTCCTATGCTTCCAAAAGAGCCAAAGAAGATAGTTGAAAAAGTAAGGGTTAATTGGATTTATGCCACTGCAAATATGACAAATTAAAAATATGCCACTACTATTCACGCTATCTGCTGGATGCCACTGTAAATTTCTAAAATTGAAACCATGCCACTCCGTCACTCTTTCCATCCTCCCCGTCAATCTTTCCGTCATCCCCATCCTCTCTCCGGCATGTTCACCACGTTGACCCGCTCCTTCATCTTGCCGACGGCCATGAGCTCGAGGAGGAAGTCGAGGAAGTCGCTGTCGTGGCCGTCCGGGTGCACGGCGTAGGCGGTGACGAACATGGGGTCACGGCCGGCGGCGATGGCGAGGGGACGCTCTCCCATGACCACCGCTCCGTCCGGTGTGCTACGTCGTCACCAAGGCGGCCGTGGTGTTCGGCGCGGCGCCTGACGAGGCCGGGCTGGGGCTGCAGGCCATGTTCCTCATGTCGCTCGCGCTCGCCGACACGCACATCGCCATGGCCTACCGCGCCAGCTGCCGTGAACGATGCCGCCTGCTCGTCTACAGAATCAACGTCGAAGCTATAAGTGATTGATTCCCTTATTTGCTCGTATCGTATCTAAACCCTGGATTTTGCTTAGTGGTAGCTTGTTGTCGAAACAAGATTTCGGCAATACTAAAATGGGTGGCTATCAAGCTAGAAAAGTCGATGGGTTTGGAAACAAGGAATTTTATATAGGTTCAGGCTTTCTTAATCAAGAAGTAATACCCTACTTGTAGTGTGGATTGGAAACATATTGAACCCAAAATATGCAAGCTTTCCAGATTCTAATCCGTGTTTTCGAGAGATTCTGGAGAACAATCGAGGCATACGCTTGCCAACCTTTTACTGGACATGACAACGGCCGGAAGAACCCGACGTCCCCTCACGCGAGGAAAGCAATGGTGGAGCGGTGGCCGGCGGACGAGGGCGGGAGGAGGCACCGCCGCTTCTTCTTGCCGCCGCCGGCTGCGGCGCAGGGTGTGGAGAAGGTGACCGCGGAGTTCGCGCGCTCGATGCGGAGCTCGGCGACGAGGTGCAGGTCGCGACGTACCTACGGTCGGCGAGGTGGCCGAGCACCGCGTCGGCGGCAGCGTCATCCGGGGCGGTGGAGAGGAGGAGAACGGGGAGAAGATGGGGAAGACGGAAAGATTGACGGGAGAGTAACGGGAGTGGCATGGATTCAATTTTAAAAATTTACGGTGGCATCCAGCAGATAACGTGAATAGTAGTGGTATATTTTTGATTTACCATATTTGCAGTGGCATGGATCCAATTAACCCAAAAAGTAAATGGTTATCCAGAGGAAAAGTACTTCAGGTAATTGATGAGAGTAAGACCAGGCAGCTAGTTAATTGTAGACTCAATTGCAGAAGTTACAGAGAAATACATTCAGAAATAGCTGTAGATGTGGTAAAATATACGGCCAGTGGTAGTCAACGAGCGTACGCAGTCGTATGTATGTATAATTGCAACGAATTGAAACAATCAATCATGTGAACACCAGGTAGAAAGAGACGTCAAATTATAGGTTAAATCGACCTTGCATTAGATATTTACAATGAGAGATCTTTACAGTGGAGTATGCTGGAAAACTGCGTGAATGATGCTGTTAAATTGTTAGTACTGAATTAACTCCAATTGGGCCGTCTTGGCGATAAATTTCTAATGGGCTTTTTATTCGTCGGCTGCTTGATCAAACACAGACTGGCTGAAAAGGGAAAAGTACACGCAAGGTCCCTCAACTTGTCATCGAGATACAAAATCGTCCCTAAACCGCAAAACCGGACATCCGGCATCCCCCAACTTACAAAACCGGTCATAAAAGATCCCTCGGCGGTTTTCACCCCGGTTTTGCCCCACGTGGCGGTTGACTCAGCGTGGGACCCACGTGGGCCCCACATGTCATGGAGACCACGTCAGCCTCCTCTCTCTCTTCTCTTTCCCTTCCTCTCCCTTCCTCATCTCTCTCTCTCACTTATCTGTAAAGCTAGCCGGGGCGAGCAGGAGAGGAGGAGGGCGGCGCCACGACGGCGACGGCGGCGGCGGCGGCCATAGTGGGGAAGCACGGCGGAGGCGCGGGGAGCCCGGAACCCTGCCGACGACGGCGAGCCCGTAGCCCTTGAGCCCGACAAACTTTGCTACCTAGGCGCCGATGCCGTACTCGCGGGAGTCGACAGCGAGGCCGAGCTCGACGTTGGCCTGGACGGTGTCGTGGCCGTCGTCCAGGAGGTTGTAGGCGCAGTGGCCGTGCGACCAGGGGAGCAAGGTGTCGGCGGCGACGACGCGGGAGCAGGGGAGCAAGGCGGCGGCGATGGGCGCGGCCTTGACCTCGCCACGGTGCGCAGCCTCAACGGCGTCCGCGTGGCCGACGAGATCCTGCGGCTTGTCCCTGACGCTGCCACGTTCCACACCACGCTGCGGTGCGTGAAGGAATCGACAAGCTGCTCAGAGGATTCGACGGCGCCGTGCCGTCGCATCATCCGTCGTCGTCTTGTAGCCAGCAAGGAGCTGCGGCGGCAGCGGCAGCGGGAGCGGGAGGACATCTCCGCCTCGGCCGCCTCGACGCCGAGGATCTCCAGGCGGCGCGGCCGACGGGGAAGGAGCGGCGGAGAGGATATCGACCGGCCGGCTCCCCACCCGACGAACGCGAGCGCGAGCGTGAGGTTCGTGCTGGGTGGTGACGCGGCGGTGGAGACACGGGACAGCAAGCTCGGCGGCGGCAGGCGAGCGCGGCTGCGGATGGGGAGCGGCGGCGCCGACGACTCCGCGCCGCTCGGCCTCATCGTCGTCGGCGGCTCCGGGCGCGGGCGGAGGTCTCCTCTGATAGGCGATGGCGGCCACGGTCACCGCGCCACTGTACGCGGCGGGGGCGTCGCACCGCCTGCTTCTCGTCGCTCGTCCACCATCACCGACCGCACGAGGGGGACGAGGAGGCCGGCGAGCTCGCGCCGCCCTGAGCCCGCGCGCCGCCACCGAGGAGCCGCCGTCGCCGGCTGCACCACCCTCCGGCCGCGCGCGCCGCCGCCTGTGCGAGAGCAGAGAGCGAGAGGAAGGAAGGAGAGAGAGAGAGGAGAAAAAGAGAGAGGGTGCTGATGTGGTCTCCATGACCTGTGGGGTCCACGTGGGTCCCACGCTGAGTCAGCCGCCACGTGGGACAAAACAGGGGTCAAAACCGCCGAGGGAACTTTTGTGACCGGTTTTGTAAGTTGGGGGACACCGGATATCCGGTTTTGCGGTTCGGGGACGATTTTGTATCTCGCTAACAAGTTGAGGGACCTTGCGTGTACTTTTCCTGGCTGAAAAAAACGGAAGTATTGAGGAAGATAGGCCCAACAAGAGGAAGGCCTAATATAGAAGCAGCCCAAGAGCCCGGATTCTTCTGGTCGGGTGACCAACGCAATACATGGCATTTTCTTTTTCCAGATAGAATGAAATGGAACGGTGAATGGTATGATTTAAAAAACTTATTGTTACAATACTTCTTATAAAACCCATTTAAAAATTTATTTATGGACTTGTAGCAGTTAATTTATTGTCTTCACTCCTAAATAATTATCGCAAAATCACTCAGGTTTTCAGCCAATTTTTCGGGAAAAGTATACATTGTGGTACGTGTAGTTGATCTCAAACTAAAACCACACAAAGTGATCGAATTCGTGCAGATGAGGCCCATCCATTTGTGCGCATGGCAACATACATACTCCATATATTTGCTGCTTGATATGATCGATATCGACTTATCTGAACGTCAAGATCGATCGTGCCCCATGAATGACGGATCGATCGATCAATTTATTATTGTTTCTTGTCTCCATCATATATAATCCTCTTCTGTTCATCAAAGCCTTTTTGATACACAACAAGGTGACAAGGATAAAACGGACGCACACAGCATATATATCCATCTGAAACCACGCTTATACGTGCCACAAGAATCCACAGAATACGGAATAAATATTTCCTTCTTGTCGAATAGTTCCATGTATATCCAGAAGATAAAATTAAAAATTGAGGAAATAGATATCCAAATTAAATTGTCAATAAACATGAAGCTTAATTAATAAGGGTCAGTTTGTTTTTTTTGGGGGAGGGGTAGAAGAGATTAGGAGTTATATGGAGGGCTAGGCATATAGCAGTTTTGGTGGGATAGAGATTGAGAGAACTTCCTACTTTTCAATATCTGGAGGGAACTGCTCCTTTACGTTGCCTAAACAATACTTAGCCCTCTCTTTTCTAAGCAAAACTTAATCTCTATCTAAAGTCTGTGTCGATTCCCACCATCTTTACAAATAAAAGATTAAAAAATCAAATTCCCAAACATCACCATCAATTCTCTCGTCTAAACTCTTAATATTCTTACTCGTCTTGCCAAACTTAGTGCTATTATAGATGATTAGTATATATTTCCCCTCTTTCGTATCATATGTCCCTTTGGTTTGCCCTAAAGCGAACCTTTTTAATTTTTTTATCAAAATTATAAAATAATAAGGCAACATTTTAAAACAAAAATAAATATATTACAAAATATGATCGATAGTGGATTTTATGAAACTAATTTGGTGTTGTAAATGTTGTTATATTTTTTTATAAACTTTGTAAGGTTTTATGCCCATAGCTTCTCGGAAAGAAGAAGAGTCATTGTCGTTACAACAAACATAATATGAAACAGAGGGAGTTGAATGATTTCACTTCACAAATTTTGCCTGTGGCAGGTATCCACCAATTTATTCCTGTCCACTTCAAGTCTCAAACTTGAAGCTTAAATTTTGTCAAGTCATCTGGATTCTGTGATCTACAGAACCTTTTATATACTCAGAAGTGTAGGTTGGAATATGAATGTACATCTCTTTGTATTTTCCTCACTTTTACCCCTATTTACTATGAACTTTATATTGTGTTGGTGGTCATTAGTTTGTGCATCCTTTTTTGTTTTGTGCTCTTTGTTAAGAGAATGTTTTGTGCTCTCCGAGAGGTTTGGTTATGCTTTTTGTTAGACGAATATTGTAATAAATGACCGTAGGATTTATTCCATCGTCCAAAAAAATTCTAATGTTTTTACTGAGAACTCATGCAACTATAAATTTAGTGCACAACGTGTAGTGTGAACCACGGCTCTTGGTTGGTGCAAGTCACGGTGTGAACCCTTTTTTCTCCTTCACAAACTTGGATAATGGCAATGATCAGCTAATGGTGACCCCAATTTTGTTCAATAATAGTATATTCTTTTGTGACAGAGACCCAATTGTTTGTCATGTAATTTGAGTCCACATCATCACAGTACCCTACTCTTATACTCCTCTATACAAATACAACTACAATATTCATCTATACTTTTATATGTCATGGTTGTTAACCCAAATCTCTTGTAATGCAAATATAACAACGAGACAAAAAAAGAAAATCACAATTTTATAGTCAACTAGTACCAAATAAGCCAAAAATTACCCTTATCGTAAAGACACATCTACATCGTCAAATTAAGCGAATGACATTTCTTATCTTAATTAAATCATTCTACATAAAATCCTCGATCCGACTCAAATTATTCCCCATTTAGACAAGATCGTCTAAGATAACCTCCATTTCTTCACAGAATACACTCAAACGTACCTCCATACATATTTGTATACACATACAAATTGATTATACACAAGTTCCTATAGAAGATACATATAACATGATACTACTACATCTACAAATAAAGATAGAGGGGGAGAAAGAGAAAGAACTCCATCTTCCATAGTTCCATCCAACATCCAGGCAGAGGCAGAGCCATCCTTGGCTTCCCAAAAACTCTCTTTTTTCTCTTCTCCCTTCCTTTGTTGCTTCTCCTCCTCCTCCATCGTCTCCTCTTCACCTTGCGTCCTCCCCATCCAAAGCTCACAACTTGACGACACACGCACACGCGCTCCCATGTCCTGTAGCCTCCTCTCCATGTCAAGCCACGCCGCCCCCTCGCCGTCGCAGCCGTGAGACATCCCTCCGCGCCGCGGCGAGACTTCCCCTGTGTCCATGTTCGCCGCTGGTTCTTGATTCGTTCAGGTCTCGTGACAAACTTGCTTCTCCTCCTGATTTAATTTGTCCGGTGCGGGAAGGGAAGCCTCCCTCTGCAGCATGGCGCCGTTGCGCGGGGCCAAGCGCCGGAGGAAGGCGGCGGCGGAGAAGAAGGCTGCAATGGCGGCGGCCGCTGCGGCGGGTGGCGCGCCCGGAGCAGGCGGCGGCGACTGGTGGGACGGCTTCTGCATGCGGATGTCAGGTGCGTGCATCTCTCTGAGTCTGTCTGTCTGTCTGCGGCGGCGGCGGCGGCGGTGGTGGTGGCCGCCGTACGTCTCGGTGAGATTTGTGCAGATTGCGTGGCACGTCGGTGGCTGCTCTGGTGCCGATTTTTTTTTTAGATCTAATTTGCATCGGGTTCGAATTCTTGGAGAGCTGAAGTAATCTTGTGCTTTATCGATCATATCAAGGAGCAGTTATAAACTTGTTATAAATGGTGGTACTGCAATACCACTGTCTGTCTGGTGATGCTGCATTCTGATGGATGGACAGCCACTTTAGTCTTAGGATTTGTTTAGGACACCTGCTGCTGTTGCTGCATTATATCAGTTCCGAATCGTAGAGAATTTTGAGCTATCAATTCAGATCAATCGATTATTCTGATTACTATCAGCAAGTTGATATGCTCGTGCAGTTATCATGTCTAGCAAATCGAGTATGGTTTCAGAGCAAATGCAGGCTGCAGACACCATGAAATTGAAAGATAATTGCTTGTTTAATTACTGATGCTAGTCATTGCTTCTTCTGTATGTTCCCATTTTCCAAGCTAAATGTGAGAGAATAATTCCTGTCACAGTAGATGTGTTCTGCACTTCTGTATTGGCTATATGGAAAGCTCCTGATCAGTCCATAAAAAGGCGAGATGTACTATAGCTACTCTTCCTCTAAGTATGCCGTGCTAGTCAGTGGCGAAGCCAGGATTTAGAGATGGGGGGTGCCATTTACGAGACGTGGTAACTCACTTAAGGTTAAGTGAACAGTGATATTGTAGCGTTGATGTATGATCACTAACTCGACATCATACATGTTATAGCGATTAGCTAGAAGAGAGAATGAGAACCCATAGATCATAATTTGCCAATTTAAACAGTTTGTTCCATGATTTTAATTGGAGTCTTGTAATCATTTTTAAAATGATAAATCAGTTAACTAAGTCATTTCATAAGTCCTATATATAGCTAGGCAGTTATCCTATATAGTTAGTCTCATCTGCAACTAATGATGTAATTAATGGCTAGATTATAAGGGCTAATTATCCTTGGGAGAAGAGATGGGAGGGGAGGTCACATAGGGGTTAGGGGGGTGTTGGCCCTCCCTGGCCCCTACGGTGGCTTCGCCACTGGTGCTAGTTGCAGATCATGAAGTTATACATGTGATCCAACCATATGCAGCACCAAAGCAACTGTTGTTCTAAACAATAGCCAGAATTGGTTTCGAACTCTTTCTAGATGGTAGGGGAGTTACATTTTTTTTTGGAGGACCAAATTACTGCAGGGATAGCCCCCACAGTATTGTGGTACCATTTTCTTCCAAGTTGCAAAGTTTCTTTAGTCCTGATTTGGTGGTTTAGTAATATCACATTGAGAGAAGCACATCTTCCGCAAAAGGGTAGTATTGATTTTTCTGACTATCTTCAGACTTCAGCGAAGGGAGATGGATTCTAAGTTATTACATATATCTAAACGCAAGCAACCAAAAGACTTAGGAACTTACATATACTATTATTCAATGATTGAGCTTTCTGCTAGTTGTATTTGTTCAATTAACTGCAAACAAGTTTGTAAAATAGCTTGATGTTTATCCAAATCGCAACATATACTGACCATTTTTTATTTCCTTTTCAGGAACCTTGTCTGGTATACAGGATGCACAAAGATTTGAGTTTATCTTCAAAATGCCAAGGAGAACCTTCAACTACATCTGTGGTTTGGTGAGAGATGAAATGATGGTGAGGTCTAGCAGCTATACCTTTCTTGATGGGAAGGTGCTGTCTTTAGAAGATCGGGTGGCGGTGGCTCTGATAAGGTTGAATTCTGGCGGATCACTAGTGACTGTAGGATCTGCTGTTGGTGTAAACCACTCAACCGTGTCACTGATTACTTGGAGGTTTGTTGAGGCTATGGAGGAGCGAGCAAGCCACCATTTGCGGTGGCCAGATTCCAGTGAAGTGGAGAAGATCAAATCCATGTTTGAGAAGATACATGGTTTGCCAAACTGCTGCGGTGTTGTAGACACAACACATATCACAATGTGCCTTTCTTCAGCTGAGCCAAACTGTAAGGTCTGGCTAGACCATGAGAAAAATTACAGCATGGTCTTGCAAGCTGTTATCAGTCCAGATATGAGGTTCATGGACATTGTGACAGGGTGGCCTGGTAGCATGAAAGAGTCGAGCATTTTGCATAGCTCTGGTCTTTTCAAGATGTGCGAGAAAGGAGCACGGCTTAACGGCAGCAAGATGGTAGTGTCTGATGGGTCAGAAATTGGTGAATACATAATTGGTGATGCAGGATACCCCCTTCTTCCCTGGCTTCTCACACCGTACCAAGAAAAGGACCTCTCAGATTCTAAGCTGGAGTTCAATAAGAGACACGCAGCGGCCATAACAGTTGCTCCAAGTACATTGGCGAACTTCAAGGACACATGGAAATTCCTGCATGGCGAGATGTGGCGCCCCGACAAGCACAGGCTGCCTCGGATAATCCATGTGTGCTGCATGCTGCACAACATAATCATATGCCTTCAGGATGCAACCATCGACGAGGCAGCCATGTCGAACGATCACGACGCGAATTACAAGCAGCAGGTGTGCCAGTTAGCAGATGAGAATGCTGTGAGGGTGAGGGACAAACTGTCTGAGCACTTGGTCAGCAGGTGAGGACAAGAGAAGAAAGAGGGTGTGGATGTCCCGAAGAAACTGAACCTTCTTAGTCTGCTGCAGCCTGCAGCTGAGTCTTTTAGCTGTGAGTTTCAGTTTTGATGAGTTTGTTTATTTCTTTTAGGGGAGAAAGGGGTAGTGCTAAACTGCTAATTAGTCAGTCAGTTGTGACAAATGAAAACCCAACTGTAACCGTAGAGCTCTCCAGCTCGCCCCTGTGATGTGAATTACATTTGATTACTTTGGTTCTGAATGAAAAATATCATACAGATCAAAGCTAAAGTTGAACTGCGGAAACTATCTATGAAATCATTGGCATGATTAATATTTGTGATGAACAATTAGCTTTGCAAATGATTTAATCAATGAATTTGTTTGAGAATATGTGTGCATGTTGGTGTGAGTGCGTGTGACTAATGTGGGTCAGGTTGTGATATTTGTGCCCAAAAACGGTTGTTTTGCCTGATTATATGTAGGTAACTTGAGGTCAGCCTTGGTCAATGGTGAGGACCAAGACTATGCTCATGGAGGAGCAAAGGTCTAGTGTGGTCGGGATATCATGTGAAAAAGTGACTAGTCAGGATTCTTAGAGATTAATTTTGGTCAACGGTAGGGATCGAGACTAGACTTAGGGAGGAGTTGAGGTCTAGACGGTCAAGGATGCTGGGTGACGAAGTTGGATACGAGATGGCACACGTTGGATGGACACACTGTGTGAAAGAGATATTCGCAACAGGCTTCACGAGGTGTGCGTGCAAGCGTCGATGTTCACGAAGAAAATTGGTTAAAGAAAATTGAGCAAGAGGATATGGTGCTACAGTCCATGTGACACTGTAGCGGCATGTATGGATGGCATCGATGCATGCATGTGTGTGTTGGCTGTTTGGGAGGCAAGCAGCATGCAGCGGCTCGGCAGGCAGAGTCGGGTCGGTTGGCTGCAGGCCGAGTCGGCAAGGTGGCAGTCCGACTCGGTTGGCGTTTGGTGTGGCTGCAGGTTTCGGAGAGTTTGAGAGAATTACAAATTTGGTACGTTGTAATTTGATTTGGTAATCGACGGATAGAGTCATAGTGAAACTAGGGGGTCCTATTCCTATTTTGAGTAGGAGATTTTCAATATAAATAAAGAGGGATGGTATGTCTTGAGGGTAAGCAAGTTTGAGAGGTTAGACAGGGTTTCATGAGAAACTTACGAGAAGTGTTGTGGCTGCACCTTGTGAACAATATACTTGAGAAATATAGATCATATTCAATCATTAAGGCATCGACGATCTCTTCTAGCTTCGTAAGTTTTATGTTTATGTTTGGTTTTGGCGTTAGCTTGTGAATGTTAGTTTTGCTACGATTTTGTTAAAGTTAATCCATCCAAAACCTTTTTAATACTTCATAGATCAGATCTGGAAAGTTTCGTTAGTTGGTTCTTGCTAGATTCGAATTTTGCTTAAGTTTTAGGTTTTGTTTAGTTTTGCTGAAATTCTGAGACAGCTGACTTTCGATGGTGTTTTCTCTTAAACCGTCCGGTGGAGTTGTTACTTGGTTTGTCTAGTTTATTATATCAAGTTTGCAACTCGATCTAACGGTTGGTTTAAGAGAAATCGTGTTTTTACATAAGCATTGTCGTGTTGTTTTTAGGCTGACAGTCAGACTGCGAGAATACATGCGGTCAGACCGGCTAGGCTTCAGTCAAACCGATCCTAGAAGGTCGGATAGACAACCAAACGTGTGTGTGTTTTGATCAATCAAGTTTTGATTATTTGACTTCCGCTGGCGTAATCTACCATTCACCCTCCTTTCTGCTAGATTTGGTTACTTGTGTTCGATTCTGCACTATCCTTTTGCCTCATTCGGGAGTAAATTTGTTCATTTCCATTGTAATCGGTAAAGAAACAGAAATTGGAAAATACCATCAGAAACACCTACGCGTGTATGTATGTATGGAGGCAATTAAACTTGGTGTGGTTAGTATTAGTGTTGATTTGTTCCCTTTTAAGAAAAAAAAATCCTTCATAATATTATTATGAGTTTGCTGAATCTTATAAACAAAATTTAGTAATCAAAGTTACTCCATATGTGGATACGGTTTCAAGGGAAGAGCGCTTGAAGAAGACGTACTCCGATTCCTTATAAGTTTCATGAAAAAGGGCCATAGATGATGGATCAAGACCCAACGGGGAGGTAATCCGGCCATGGATCAAGCCGACCGCCGCCGCCGCCGCCGCCACCAGGAGCTTGAACATGCGGCGGCTGATGATGATTACGGTGGTGCCTCCTCTTATCACCTCCCGCTGCCCTCCGGATTCAAGGTACATTTATCTTGTCATTTTTTATTTTTAAAATTTTTTCATAACTCTTTAGTTGACATACAATAAATGGTTTAAATTTTTCACAACTATTTTTTATAATTATTTAGATGCCATGCATCTATTTGAGTATTTGAGTTTTGTTTGTTACTTGTACAAGTTAAATTTGTACTTGTATGCTTGTGAAGTGATATATTATATATTGATCTATCTTATCAATTTTTTTGAAAATTTTTTATAACTTTAGTTGACATGCAATAAACGGGTAGATATCCACTCGAGTTATTAGAATCCATCTTATCTTATACAATTGATCAAACCAATAATCCACTTCGTTGTGTGACTGTGATATAGTATGCTTTGCTGTTGCTTATACAGATTCCCCGTTTGCCTACTACTGCCTGCGCCTTGATGAGGAGGAAGAAGACGCACAGAACGAAGCTCTCGTTGGAGAAGCTCAGACTACCGTCCTTGCTATATAGGAGTATATTCATTGGTAAAGTGAGCTGATAGAATGTTAATCGACACAGCTGTTTTGTATGTAGGACCTGCTATGCAAAGTGGTATCACAACTCACATTAAAAGAAGCAGGGAAGACAAGCATACTTTCTTCTCGGTGGAAAGATCGATGGACATATCATTCTAATCTCTGTTTTGATCACTCCGAGTTTCCAAGATACACCGCAGACAGATTTATCAACTATGTTAACCATGTGTTGCAGCAGCACAGCTTCTTGGCGGTGGACAGGTTCGAGATCAGGTTTCCACTCCAGAAACAGCAGACAAAACATGTGGATAGCTGGGTTGCTTTTGCCTCTGCATCAAGAGCAAAACATTTTGTGCTTGATTTGAGCCCAGCTGTGCACACCAATCACCAAAGTGAAGAGCACATGTATGTATTTCCAGTTGATCTTCTCGATGGTCAAAATGGCTCTCCTATCATATCTCTCCGGCTCGGCCTTGTGTGCTTAAAGCTTCCTTCTGATTTTCTTGCATAGTTTGGGGCATTTTTCCCTGGTAATTAGGAAGGTTGTAACTGCTATAGCCAATCATAGCCTCTGTTTGTACTAACTATTTTCAATTAACACCCTGTTCTAAAAGTACGATTTCTCCAAAATTCGTAGTACATCAGCATTGTTTAGACAACTTGTTCAAAGCTACAGTGTTTGTTAAGTTTATAATATATAATAGTTGATTTATCCAGCGTTCTTAAGCATTTCTCAACTAATTTAAACGGCCAAGTGGTTCTTGATTCAATTGTATAAGGCAGTTGTACATGATGTGTCAGGCAGGTTGCATTTCAGAGCATGCTTTTGCTGCTATTGAACTACCTCTTTCATTTCTATCTTAAATATACGTAGTCAGTAAGAATTCATCACATCAAGGAGCTAAGCTAGCCAAGTAGTAGCCATGGCTCTGGCCTTCGCCGTGCTCGCCACCTTCGCCGCGGCGGCGACGCCGACCACCACCACCAACCTCACCCTCCACAACCTCTGCACCCACCCTGTCTGGCCGCTCGTCACCGCCAACGCCGGCCTCCCCGCCATCGCCGACGCCGCCGGCGCGGCCACCCGCCTCGACGGCAACGGCGACGGCCTCGCCACCCTCGCGTTCCCGCCGGGGGCGTGGTCCGGGCGCGTGGTGGCGCGCACCGGCTGCAGAGGCAACGGCAGCAGCAGGTGCGACACGGGCGACGCGCCGCCGGTGACGGTGGCGCAGGTGAGCGTGCACGGGGCGGGCGGGCTGGCGGAGTACAGCGTGAGCCTGGTGGACGGGTTCAACGTGGCGGTGGTGGTGACGCCGCACGGGTTCGAGCAGGGGCGGCTGTGCCCGTCGCTCGGGTGCGCCGTGGACCTCGCCGCGGACTGCCCCGGCGACGGGGGCAGGGGGGGGTGCATGGCGGCGGGGCAGGCGGAGGCGTTCAAGGCGAGGTGCCCGGACACGAGGACGACGCCGACGGACGTGGAGGTGACGCCGCAGCGGTGCATCCAGCCAGCCGAGCTCAAGGTCGTCTTCTGCCCGCCGGACAACACCTCCTCCACTCACTGACTGATTCATTGATGGTTAGCAAGGAGGAGTAGTGATTAGTCGCAAATAATAATCCTAATTAGCACGTAGTAAGAGGCTTCATGCGCTGATGGTGATTGCATTAAGAAGGCGCGCGTCTGTTCGTCGCCGGTAGCTACACTTGTTACTGTTAGAAATGCATGCTGTACGTGTGATTCATTCAATAAATGGTTTAACTCCGAATCTGCCAGTTCAGACCTCAATCCGATTTATTTGAACCATCACCAAATTGAATTCCACTAGCTACATAGCTAGGCCACAAACAATGCATGGTACAAATTCGTAAGGTTATTATTAATCTGTGTGGCTGAGGATTGAGATGTAGTACAATTAGTATATGGCATCTGCAATATGCTACGCATGTCTCTCTCCATCAGTGCCCTGCTTAATTGGTAGCTCAGGCAAAATAATTATATTTACCACCATTGCCGTCAGGGCTCCGATGCATATATGCTTCATTTTCATTTCGACTTTATAAGAGTATATTTTACTTTAAGGGATACTCCTTCCAATTTCATAATTCTTAATGCTTTAGATAATGACAAGGTTTTCAAAATATATCTTTGACTATGTTTTTTCTATTATAACATGTACAATAAATTAAATATATTTTAGCTTTAGTAATTTGTAAGATAAATCTATATATATATATATATATATATGTTGTTCTAGTGAATTAGAAATAAATATTTTTTATATTAATAGTTAAAATTATAAAAGTTTGATCCCAATCTTATCGAAAACGTCAAGAATTATGAAGCCGGAGGAAGGATTGAGATATGATTGATTATTATATCATATACTCTAATAGACTTGCTCTCGTTTTCCCTAATGCTAGTGCTACGTCCGTGGTTTACAACGAAATTGCGAGGAACATCAATGAATAGTTGTATGGGTTCAATTTTTATCTATGTTTTTCTGCGGGCCGGGTTGGTTTGTTTCCTACGCGACCAGGAAAGTAGGATGGTGGAAGAAAAGATGTCCGCTTTTAAAGTAGTGGAGCAACGAAGCACTATGGAGTATATAGGTCCATTTTTAATATAAATCAATATGGAGTATATAGGTAGTTAGTGGTAGTAAGTAGTTAACCTTATGACGAAGTAATCACCAAATTAAGGCCATGCATGGACGTCTCCTCTTCCTCTTCGTATATATATACCACACGACAGCGGTTGCATCCATCCATCGATCAGAGGAGGCATCATGAAGGCGTCCATGGCGTTCACCGTCCTCGCGCTCGCCGTCGTCGCCGTCTCCGGTGCGGCGGCGGCGTGGACCACCACCTTCACCATGCACAACCTCTGCCCCTACACGGTCTGGCCGCTCGTCACCCCCAACGCCGGTCAGCCCGCCATCATCACCGGCGGCGCCACCATCCGCCTCGACCCCAACGGCCTCGCCAGCCTCGCGTTCCCGGCCGCCGCCGGGTGGTCGGGCCGCGTCGTGCCGCGCACCGGCTGCACCGGGGCGGCCACGTGCGCCACCGGCGACGCGCCGCCGGCCACCGTGGCGCAGGTGAGCGTGAACGCGGCGGGCGGGCTGGCGGAGTACAGCGTGAGCCTGGTCGACGGCTTCAACGTGCCGGCGACGATCACGCCGCACGCGTTCGACGGGAGCCAGACGTGCCCGGTGCTGGGGTGCGCCGCGGACATCAACGCGGCGTGCCCCGCGGACGCCAGGGTCGGCGCCGGGTGCAGGGCCTCGCCGCAGTTCTTCAAGGAGATGTGCCCCGAGGCGAGGACGACGGCGACCGACGTGGAGGCGACGCCGCAGAAGTGCTTCGGCCCCGGCGAGCTCAAGGTCGTCTTCTGCCCAACCAATTGAATGACTGATCGATCAAGCCATCATCCATATATGTGGTCAATTGGCGATGGAATTAATAAGCTTGCGATTAAATTATTTGTGTGATTTCTGTGTACGTGACCATGTAACAAAAATTCCTTTCAAAATCTAAAAATAAAAAAAATCGTGGCATTTGGTTCCAAAGCACAAGGCTACAAATGGCGGCATCACATCACATCAGCCATTCCAACCTCGTAGCAACCGTCGAACACCTTGTCTTGTAGTCGCCATGGCCAACAACCATGCCTAAGCAAAGCAGAGCGACACCTGATCGCGATCGGGCTCAATCATCAAAGCCTCGTCGCCCATGTCTCTCCCGGGGGTGAGCGCGTCGACGTTCAAGTCGCCGGTGTTCATCGGCCTCCTGGCCGTCATGTGCGTCGCCGTCGTGCTCCTGCTGCACCACTGCGTCCTCGTCACCTTCTGCGACACCAGGAGGCGCCGTCGACGCCGACGCCGCCGGGGCACCTCCACGCAGCAGCAGCACGTGCAGCAGGGGGAGGACGACGACGACGACGACGACGAGGACGACATGATGAGCTCGTCGTCGCAGGCGAAGCTGGTGGTGTGCCCGTACAAGAAGGCGGAGGAGTGGGGCGAGGCGATGTGCCCGGTGTGCCTGTCGGAGTTCGGCGACGGCGAGGCGGTGCGCGTGCTGCCGGAGTGCATGCACTACTTCCACGTGGACTGCATCGGCACCTGGCTCCGCGCCAACACCAGCTGCCCGCTCTGCCGCGCCGACACCACGCCCAGCTCCGGCGATCTCCACCACCACCTCTCCATCTCCGTCTCCCTAGAAGAAATCCTAGTGCGCACCTAGCACCCACTTCACCACCGCGATATTATAGCTGTGGGCGGGCGGCTCGCCGGCCTAACCAAATGGCTGGCTGGTGCCGTAGCGGAGTGTAAGCAGCTGCTCTGCTTCAGTTTTTGGAGGGAGATGCAGAAATGAAATTCGTTTTTTGCCTGGATTTGATGCAATCCGATCAATGATGAAATGTTTGTCTGCAAATCAATCTAGCAGTAACTGTTAAATTCTTACTCATTCTTATGCACATCTGCAGGTGATTTAGATTGACACCCTGACTTTCAATATCCTATTGAAATGAAATGCAGAACTGTACACAACTTTGCTCATGGTTTTTCGTATGCAGATGAAAGTAGTCTAATTCTACGAATTGAGGATGATGAACAAAGAGCAATCGTGCTGCAAATAGTAAAGATTTGGACATCTCCCAGAGCATTGAGAGTAACCAGAGAAAACGATAAAAACGATATGAACTACAGATTTCCACTCGATAGTAACAAGTAAACAATCCTTGTGACCGTCGTCAAGCCTCCATAAGTAGGAGTAGTATGATAAGTAAGTTACCGCTAATCACTTTGCCCACGGTTAATCTAGCTAGCCAAGCCACGCCACCGACTTCCGGCGATGTCCAACAACAACGGCAACCCCGGGTACTACAACAACAGGAACGCCGGCGATCAGTCGGACTACAAGGCGACGATCGCCATCCTGTTCAGCGTCTTCTTTGTCGTCATCCTCATCAGGCTCATCCACTTCATCATCAACCAGTCAAACAACCGCGCTCCGGCGAACGGTGGCGCCGCCGCTACTAGCGACAGGCGGCTGGGAGGCGGCGGCGGCGTTTCACGTGTGCCGGCCAGACTTCCCCGTCAGCGTCCGGGCGGCGCCGGCGCCGGCAACGGCACCGCTATGGCGTGGCAGCCACCGCCGTGCACCAGCACGTACCGGAGGGACGACGGGTGGAAGGAGACGGCGTGCCCGGTGTGCCTGTCGGAGTTCGCCGACGGCGAGCTCATCCGGCTGCTGCCGGAGTGCATGCACTACTTCCACGCCGCCTGCATCGACGAGTGGCTGCGCACGCGCGCCACCTGCCCGCTCTGCCGCGCCGCGCCCGCCGGCGATGTCTCCACGGCGTGACATAATGCTAGCTCTTGTCTGTGCATCTCTTTACTGTTTTTTTACTTCACAGATAACTCATTCATCAATGTACATTCATTCCAATATAATTTGATCATATATATTCCGCCAACAAGAGATTAAAAAGTGCTTCCCCATTTAGCATCCGATTCCGCAAAATTCAACCTGAATTCGCAAACTGCAGCACTTCACAGTGCAATGCACGCACGCACACTGAAAATTTTCAGACTCACCAGCAGAGAGAAGCAGTCGTCAGGAAAATTATTCAGAACAAAAGCAACCGAGGGCTGTTAGCTTGTTAGGTGATAATATGACCTTCTTCTAGGATAATAAGAGCTTCTATATATACAAGGGGGCTAGAAAATCGAAGCCTGCAGTTATGTGCCCAACAATCTAAGAAAAATGATGGCATAAAATGTCTATATGCTGATTGTACAATGACACCGTATAGTTATTTCTTCCAAGCCCTATATGCTCACATCTTCCTCAGATTATCAAGCCGGGCCTGTAGGTCGTCATCTATCCCACCGTCCCCACCTCCAGCGGCTTCAACTTGAGCGGCAACCTTTCCTGCTCCAACCGGTGCAGCAACAGCGGTTGAAGGAGCCCCGACAAGCTGTGTTTAGAGCACAAGGTTGTCAATGTTACATTGTGAATCGAAAATCCCATCCATACAACTGCTAAGTTAGTGTATCCTATCGTAGACTCAAGAGAAGAATGGCATACTAGCATGATGCTTACCTCTGAGTTGACGTCGATGCCAATTTCGTCAAGGACCTGGTTTACCAGTTCTTCTGTTTCTTCCTCCTCCTCATCGCCCTCCAAAGCATCGTCAATGGCATCATTCATTGTGCTACTGACTATCTCCATCTTCTCGTTTTGTATCTCAAACTCCCGCATTATCTTCTGCAGAGCTGGTAGATTCATCTGCCTGTTCATCTGTCTCATGGCTTTTGTGACACCCTTCATGGCCTCACCCATAGCTTGTGTCGATTTCAATGTCTGCAAGCATTCAGTAACAGCCATTAGGAGATTTTGCACAAAAATAGTTTGGGTTGTTAAGAAAAAGGTCAGTTATCTGAATTTGGTAAGACTGTTCTTATCACAATTTACGGATAGAATAATCCGCTTAAATGCCCGAACAGAACTATAGCACCTGCTTGACTGAGATAATTACCTGAATTCGAAGAGATACACCCTGTAGCTGGGACTTGAGGGCATAGAATTTTGTGATCTGATGTCTTGTGCGGATAAGGTCCTTTGCCATAATTTTTACGGCTCCCTGTGAAAAATGTTAAAGGGCATCAAAACATATGCCACAACCGATGATCACTAAAAGCAAGCATTTGGAGTTCTTTTTCTCTTTTTAATTTCATGTTGGGCTTTGAGTTACAAGCAGCACAAAAACTATAACTTAGCCTTAAGGGGACAAAGGTAAATTCTATGAAATAGAAATTCATCAAACAGATCCTGACAGAAATTCTGCTTTCTCCTAACAGAACATGTCAACAACAAACAAAAGCCTGTAACTGATAATCTCAACCAGATTAAATTGGTTAGATTTAACCAATGTGAAGCAATCCTATGCAAATAAATGTAAGCAATGGGAACTGGAGAGTAGAATAAGATAATGTGTATGATACATTTTTAGACCTCATAACATCTGCCAAGCTACTGTGCGAAATTGCCTAATCAAGGAAGAAATGTAACACCAAGCCATCTATTGTATAAGGTATGGTGGGGATTTTTATCAGACATAAAGCTTAGTATGTTGGCATTCAGTAAAGTATGTGACAAGGTTGAATCGAATGAAACTATTGATGAATATGATGGGAGTATGAAATCATAAGTGAGGGAAGGCAATGAGTTTGGGGGGGCGCACCATCTGTCCTTGCTTGGCCACCTTCTTGATCTCGGCGATGAGCTTCTTCTCCTGAGCCTGCAGGCCCTGCCTCTCCCTCTCGATCTCCCTGATGGATTTATCCAGCATCCGCTTGTTCTCCCGCAGCAACTCTGCATGCCGTTGACCAAAAACGAATTCAATGAACACAAAGACTTATTCTATTTCGCTCCAAGAACCAATTCCGACAAGATTAACGCCGTTGGATCGGAAGGAAGCTATTAGGGTTCTTCCGGCGACGGGAGAAAAATCTCGAGTTTGGATCCCAATCGGGGGGGAAGAAGCACGCAGATGTGGTAAGGAGGAGAAAGAGGAAGGACGAACCGGCTGGGGTCTTCCGCTTGCCGAAGATGAAGCTCATGGCGGCTCGATCGATTGGATTCGGGTTTCGATCTGCTCCGCGATTACCCCTTTCCCCCTCGCTGCGATCGATGCAATAACCCTTCTTCTTCTTCTTCTTCTTCTTGGGTGGATTCGGTTGGGTTGGGGATTCGCGATGGATTTGATAAATTGGGTTTCGATTGATTCGTCACCAAGTAAACCCCGTAACGCGTTTTAGTGAGTTGTGACGCGATGCGGCGGGGTGACCTTTTCTTTGCGTCCGTGTCAACGCGATACAAATAAGTTTATCTTTTCTCCTTTGAGTTGTTTCAAAAAAAAAAACTTTTCTTATTTGAATCCCAAACGTATTCGGTTGGAAGCTAATTTTGATTTGTTTAAACCGAAAACAATTAGTAGCTAGTACTACTCTAACCCCTTTCTGTTTATGCTAGACTTGTGGCCTTAGATTTTTAAGTCAATTTTTTCCTGGTTTATTAGTTGATTTTCTATACTTGCTAAAATACTCCATCCGTTTCGTAATGTAAGACTTTCTAGCATTACTTATATTCATATATATGTTAATAAATCTAGATGCGTATATCTGACTAGATTCATTAACTTCTATGAAAATACAGGCAATGTTAGAAAGTCTTACATCGTGAAACGGAGGAAGTAGTAGCACATAAGCTCAAGCATTTTTTTTCTTTTTTTCTTCTTCGAGAAGTCCAATGCAACCTTCCCTCCCTACAGTCCATCTAAATTTATTTGTTATTTTGTTGTGAATCATCCAAATAAGTCATCAATCATGTTAAGTTCATGTGTTTTATATTCCTGTAGGATCGGTACCTTTTTCTGTTTTCATAGTTTCAAAATATTGTGTTCGAAAAAAGACAAAGTATGTTGTGTAGATTTTCTAATCTTCTAAACATAATAAGCCTAAAGATTACCCCGATGTTAAATATTAGGGGTAACGGCCTAACTGGCCATTTGTTTGACATATTTGCGCCTGTTTTTTATTTAACCAGAGGGAAAATAGGGGGACGTTGTCCCTTGTACCGCTCTAATGTTCGTCGACGTATGCGAGGCAGTCATAGCAAGGCTGCAAGCAGTGTTGTATGCGAGGCCACTGGCTTGATCCCAAATGGGTCACCGGCGATCAACTGCAGTATGGCGTCGTCCTTCGGAGTGCCACCTGCATTGATCTGGAACCACCCTTTGGATATGTTCCATCGCTCTCTAAGGATTGGGGTTATTCGTCAGCATAACACAACACCGGCATCCTCTATTAATATTTCGTTATGGATATTGGGGATGTAAAAAAAGAAATTAGCGCTATTGATCAATGCACGTGAATAGAGAAATAAAGTCGCATGGGCAACCGGTGGAAATGGCCATAGCGTGATTTTCTCCCAGTTTTCATGCCGAGAGATAAATTTCTCAACACGTTGTGCTAAACTTTCGTGTACCAACCAATTATGCTTGCATTAGTAAAAAAAAAATTGTATGGAGACAGGCAGAGTGGTGTTGGATATGGATTACAGAATATTGGTAAGCGTTAGATATCATATTCTACCATTAATAAGTAGATGCCGCGTTTGCAATGAACTGAATCGATCTGTACTCCGTGTGTATCAGTATCATCAATTCATCAGTGTTGTATGTCCAGGATATATGTATGATCCATCCATGGATGGATGGTTCCAATCTTTGTCAGCAACCAAGCGATCTAGCTATGTGGATCATGTATATGGATGCGTCCTACAAAAGATTAAAGTAGACGCGTTGCAGGCAGCTATCCATCCGCTGTGTGCTAGCTACTTGTTGTTCTCTGTATGCCATATGCTGATATGCGTATCATCCACACAAGATATATATGTCTCTCGATCCACTTGCCTGCCAACATGTACAAATCTTGTTCAGGATACTGTTACTGCAAGTGTTTTCAGGTAAGGAGTTCAGGAAGAGTCTCAACTCAAGTAAAGATAAGTCATATGAACCACAACATGCAGGATGCAGCCTAATTTTTCTGATGAATAGCACAGTGCACAAGGACAGAAAGTGGCATTGCTGTCATGGGACAAGCATATATGTTGTTTTGCTTTCGGTTTGATTTCTAGCACTAGAAAAATTCAGAGGCGCTCCTGTGCAGCAGCCTGCAGGCAAAGCAAGGCTCCTTCCATTCCGTCAGATTCAATATCGTCACAGGCATGTCATGCACACTCAGCTCTCCATCTCCATCGGTGATTCATCAGAGGAGTTGAGTGAGGTAGGTAGCTATCCGTCCGTTACACTTACTTAGCCATCGATGCACGCGTGCTTCAATTTATGATTCTACTGCATCCACTGCAAGAGCCCATGGCGATTGGCCGTCGTCTCTCCTCTCCTGAAACCTCAAACTGAAGGTTAGGTTAGGTTAGATTAGCTTAGCTTAATTGGATAAGCTCTTCGATCGTCTGCTGAACCATGGTCGTGGTCATGCCGATGGATGCCGCGCCCACCACATCACAATCTTGCCTTTTGGTTTTTGCTGCAGATATGCTAAACTCATCTGTCTCTACTCTTCCCTTGCAAGCTGCAAAATCCATTACCAACCACTACCGGTTGTTTTCTATTAGTCTTCTCTTCCCCCACTCCACTACTAAAAGTTAGTAGTAAAACAAAGAAGAAGAGTATCAATGACTGATTGACTGACTGATGAAGAGAGATCATATTGGCCTGCCAGTTAGTTGTTGCATCTCAGCTTTCTTGCAAATGTTCAGACCTTCACTGCATGCCCAATAACCATATGAATGCCCGTTTATATGCGCAACATGAAGTGGAACTGATGGTTCCAATTATTGTGATATCTTCTTTTATTATGGTTGGTTTTTCTGTCTGGTTCTAACATGATGAGAGCTAGGGAGAAATTATTTATTTATATATGGATGGACAATACAGATTATATTTACAGATTTTTGGCTGGTCCGGTCCTTCTTAACAGCTGATACAGTGCATCTCGTGTTTAGTCATCTCCAGTCCACACCACAAGCAGCAGCAGCTACCCGGCAAAAACAAGCAGCAGCAGCAGCTAGTGATTGATGAAGAAGAGAACAGAGGCTGGCTGGTTGGTATGCAAATTCCAATTAAGCCAGGCTACAACCTTCAGAGTGTGGTCCTTAATTTCCTTTGCTTCATGCAGGATTTCAGCATAAGCTTGCTGATTGCTGCCTACATTTGCCTAACCAACAGACCTTCTAAGCCTGCCATGTGGCCCACTCGCCTTGCCGGGCCCACCTGTCAGCGAGACACTGTGCAGTTAACAACCCCCTCTCCTCCATTTGCATCTAGATTGCTAGCAACATGATTGATGTCTGACCTAATGGTATTTTGTTTCCATGAGGAAGCAAATTTCATTTCTTTTTTTTTTTCTCAGCTGGCATCTGTTGTGCCTCGTGACCTGAAAATCTGTAATTTTGTCTCCTCATCAGGCAAGGTATTACTCTACATTAGGAGAAGAATGGAACTTAATTATGCATGGATCTTCTCTACCCTTCATCCAGCCCTACCAATCTGTTTTGTTTTTCATGTGGTCCTATGTATCTGTGATATGCATGCTACTGGTAATAGTGTGGGGGGAAAAAAAGAAAAGAAGCTGCTCATCTCAGTGGTGAGAAAACACATTGATGGGCATATCCACTATGCACTTGTTGTATTCATTGCAAATGATGGGCCTGTAAAAGCCATCTTTTCAATTTCATGTCTCAGGATTTGTTGCTAGCCTTTCATGTGATAAACTTGTAAGCATTGCACCTGGGGCTCATTATTGAAATTCTGAAGCTAACAGTATCATCTGCAATGGGGAAAGAAAGAAAGTCCAATGTTCTTGGCTTCTTGCAAAAAGGAATAAATACATTTGTTCAGGGAAAGACCTGCAATCAGGTTCTATAATTCTCAATTCAACCTGGCTTTTGATGGATTTTATTCTTTAAGATGACTCAAAAGACCTATCTTTTGATGGTGCAACGGTTATAATTGAGGTCACAAGTAGCATATGCTTTTCTTTTAACTATACTAGTTCATCTTTGCTAATCCTTGTGCAAGTAAATGGTGTACCCCATGCTTGTTGATAAGTTTATGTTACATCCATATTTGCTGATAAATTTTGCTACAAAAGGTAGGATAAAACTTTGCACATGGGTACATCTTTGTACAAGGAAGACTAGCAGCCAGCTTACTAGAACGAAAAACTACAAAAAGGACCACATATTTGTATCCTGTGTCTGTATGCACGGTCGTGTACATCCATATTTATACGGTTGGTGAGAAAATGCTGAAGAATGAAGCAGAGAAACTTGTTTGTTTCCCGGCAAATATGGTCTATGAAGCAAGGTTGTATGTACTATACTCTACTGAGGACCAGACAAAGACGCATCTTCTCACCTACTAGCTATGCTACCTAGCTTCATTTCCAGAACATATTGGTATATCTTTTGCAATAGTATGTCTGAATAATACACTAATCTTGACGTAGTAGTAGACCAGATCACCAGAGGGTCCGGTGCCATGGATTGAGGCTACAAGTGTCATTGTTAGTGCAATTGATTATGTCTAGCATGTATAGTGTACATGTATGATGATATAGCCCATGTCTCGAGGTGATTAAAGCTTTTAAGCTCTCAAGGTTGGAAAAAAAAAGGTGAGACCATGTGTGTGTACAGTAATTTCAGAGTAACTGCAACGGCAAACTGAAACAAGTGTGAAAGTTTTCAGTTGTCAATTTGGGGTTCAGTTTTGTTTATTGGAGAGAATCCTGGAGTCAAGTGGAGATTCCAACAATCAAAATTTAAAAACAAACATGACCTGAAAATCAATTCAAGTCCTCTAGAATAAAACTAATGTTGTGATTCCTTAACACCCTCATTTAGCTCAGCTAATGTAATCATCATCATCATCATCATCTCTAATCCAATCCACAAATCCCTCCAAAGGCCAGCTTAAATATATAGGCTGTCTTGAGGACAATGTTGATTTGTTTTTTGCAGAAGCAAACATGAGAGTCCCTCTCTCCCCTTCCACATTCCACCTCCCCATGTGATGTGAAGCCCTCCCCTGTCCCCTCCCTACCTCCATCTCTCTCTCCCTCTCTTGAACACTGAGCCTCTTTGCTTACATACAATTCAGTAGTGTAGTAATTCACTGCAGCAGCTGCATTTGTTTTGGTGCTGCACTCACTCACTCGTCTTTTGGTTTCTTGGGGGTCAACTGTGCTGTGCTCTTCCATCTTTCCTTTCTCCTCCTCCTCTGCTTCTTTGATTGCTTTGCACTGTTTCAGCTGGGTGTGTGCTTCTCCTCCATTCCTTGGCTCCTGCAACTTTTCACTGTTCTTGGCAGGTTCCTGTGTTGCTTTGTGTTGTTGCTCTTGTTCTTTCTGACTGTTCTCTTGTTCTTCCATAGGATCGGATCGGTACAATACAGCCATTCCATCCATAAAGGTGGCCAAACCTCATCTTTCAGATTCAGCTTGGTTGTTTTGCTGCGTGTGAGCAAGTTTTCTGAGCTTTTCTTTTGTGCAAGAAGCAAAGAACAAGACAAGAATCTGGCTTGCTTGTTCTTTATCGTTAGAAGGAATCTCCGCTTGCTGCTGCTTCGTTTCTGCATCTGTTTCTGTTCTTCTAATGGTGAATGAATAATCCCTAGAGCGAGAGAGAGAAAGCTGTAGATAGAGTTAAAGATGAGAGCTCTGAGCAGAGTCGGCGTCGGGTTGGCGGTGGTGTCCGCGCTGCTACTGCTCGCGCTCGCCGCCGAGCTCTACTACCTCTTCGTCTACAAGCGCCGCCGCTCCGCCGCCATCTCCGACGCCGCCTCCTCGCCCTCCTCTTCTTCTCGCGAGCTGCTCCAGCTTTTCTGCTTCAAGAAGCCGCCCGCGCTCGCCTCGACCTACGCGCAGGAGCCGCACGCCGGCGAGGCGGTGGTGGCCGTGGCCGTCGACGACGACGACGACACGGTGGAGGCGCAGCTGATGCGGCTGGGCAGCCTCGTCGGCCCCACGCGGCTGCTCTTCACCATCAAGGAGGAGACCAAGGAGGACCTCGAGTCCGAGGACGGCCGGAGCCGGTGCGGGAGGAGCCGGAGCCTCGCCGAGCTGCTGCATTCGTCGGAGACGCCGTTCATGACGCCGGCGTCATCGCCGCTGCCGATGGACAAGTCCTTCAACCCTCTGTTCGAGCCCACGGTGGCGGCGGCCGTGACGGTGTCGCCGCCGCCCAAGTTTCAGTTCTTGAAGGACGCCGAGGAGAAGATGTATCGGCGGGCGCTCGCCGAGGAGGCCATGAGGGCGCGGAGGTCGCCGCAGACGAGGTCACCGGCGGCGGCCGGAGAGGAGGACGGCGGGTACATCACCATCATGGTGGGGAAGAACAACAAGGTCATCCCCTTGCCGTCGCCTCCCAGCAATGGTGATGGTGATCTGCAGTAGTGAGTTCTTTGCAAAATTTTAATTAAGAAGGCCTTAATTAACTTTGTTCATCCAGTGTTCTAGTGTAGCTCTTTGCCTGTAATTTTCTCTCTCTCTCTCTCTCTCTTTTCTTTTTGGTTTATGGTCTTCTGATCATGCCAAATTGGATGGTTGGATGTACATAACATGAATATTATCAGCAGCCAAGAACTTCAGATCAATATATTTTTCTTCTTCTAATGTGTACTTAATGACAGTAATTTTGTTGACGTTTAACTTGGTGTAATTAATGTTTTGATAGAGTTCTGTCATTGTTTTTTCAGGGTGTTTGATTGTAACAATTTTTATGATGTATGTACTACGCGGTTAGTTATACTACATGTTACAAACATTAAAGGATTATCTGAAAATCAAAATTCCTTCAGTGACATGTTTATTAATCTGGTTTAACCAACTGTGAGCTCAGATGAACTTTTTCCCTTTTTCTCGTGAGCTGTATGGGTGGGGACTGTATAGAATACTACTGTGCACTCAATTCATCCATCAGAACAGAGGAATGGAGAAAATAATATCTGAAAGCTCCATGCTGACCTGTCTCAAAGTGTAACTTTATACTCTCGACTATTAGCTAACTTATATAGGGTCTTCAAAACAAATTCCTTGCAACTTCTCTCAAGTTACTTAATCACCTTTTAACTGTCATCAAGTCACACCTCAGTCACGCGATTAGCTTTAGTTAGTTCATAATGCAAAATTCCTTGCAATTTTTGACAAGTCTTCTTGAGTCCTTTTGAGCTGTCCTTTTAGTCACAACTTTATTCATACTGCCTTTGGAACAACCAGGGCACAGAGGGAACAATGTATTCTAGGCCTTTCTATAAGTCCAAAGTGTGGAATTCTTTTTATTTCCACAGTGAAAGCTATCAGGGAAAGATACTATATTCTCATTGCTGTAATTATGACTTCATGTGAAGTGATTCTGTTTGCACTTTATCCACACTGCCTTTAGTTAGTCTTTTCATCCAGCCAACTCTTTTGAGTTTTCAGTTCATAGTGCATACCACAAGCCCTGACTGCCTGACCCTGTCATCTTTGTTTTTCTTCATGTGTTCTTCTCTGGTTTATATTGATTTTTACAGTCAAAGTTTACTTGAGAGGTGCAGAGAAAAGATTCCTAGACCAACATCAGACTTGCAGTGTACTTTAATCAAATCCGTAGGCTATTTCTTAGGAATGTGATTGCATTTCTGATTATAATCAACTAGCAGTAGTGTCAGGTTACATCATATCTTCTGATTATAGCACTAAAGTTATGAAAGAAATGGAAAGAGAAATTCACAATGTACTAAGACTGTGTTTAGTTCAGCGCAAAGTTTAGATTTTGGTTGAAATTGGAGATGATGTGACTGAAAAGTTGTGTGTGTATGATAGGTTGATGTGATGGAAAAGGTCCGAAGTTTAGATCCAAACTTTGGATCTAAACACAGACTAAGTATAAATGAGTTAGTACCTGTCATGTCCTGTCTGGAATTTTCAGAAGTGCATGCATAAATGGACAGAGAAAAATTCTGGCGAGCAATTCTACGGTCCTTGAGAAGGTACCATGAGGTACTAAAAAATTAGTGTAAAATTTGGTATCTCATGGTACCTCATAGTACCTAGGTATCAAAATGTACCAAATTTATAATAGAAAAATTGGTATCTCATGGTATCTCCTCAAGTACCATTGCTCTATTCTGGCAGTTAGGCATTTTTATTATCAGTGCCATGTTTGGTTAGTAGAGCACTCATCACATGTACTAGTAGGATCATATTTGGTCTAAGATACAAAAGATGAATTTGGGCATTCGCATTGAGTTGTACTCCGCTTCTTTCTTAGGGCCCCTTTGAATCGTAGGGTAGAAAAAACGGAGGAATAGGAAAAATACAGTATTCTGATAGGAATTGAAGTGTAAAACAGAGGATTGCAAAACACAGGAATGGTCGTTTGATTGGAGCGCAGGAAAAACGCAGGAATCGGATGAGAGAGATAGACTCAAAGGAAATTTTCCAAGAGGTTGGAGCTCTTGCTAAATTTCCTCCAAAATCCACATGCAATGTGCCATTCTATAGGAATTTCATAGGATTTGAAAAGCTTCAATCCTTTGAATCAAAGGGCCAAATAGGAAAATTTCCTATAGGATTTGAATCCTATGAAATTCCTACATAAATCCTTTGGTTCAAATGGGCCCTTAACCTGAAACCATCACTTTGATCTGAATCCTAAACTGCAGTTGGTGAAACCTACCATTTCTGACAACCTTTTCTCACTTCACTAGCTGAAATTAATTTACACAGACTTATCTGAACATACATGTGGCAATGACTTCTCCTACCATTCCTTGATCAATATATATAGTCTTGTGTACACCAAAAGAAGAAGAAAAATACTGTCTTGTGCAGACACATCTACTTTCATGTATGTACAGTGTTTGTTTCAATAACTGAAAGCCCTAGATAGCCCTGTTGACATTGCAATACTAAATCAAAGTAGTCACTGTGCCAGTATGCAAATGATGATGGGTATGTTCTAACTTGAGATTAGACAAGTAGGGAGGAAGCAGGCAACCGCAATTTGCTGGCTCTCTCTGCAGGAGTTAATGTCGATCGATTGCGTACGTCCTGATCTGGCTCTAATACCCCGGCCCCTGACATTAGCATCAAGCAAACAACGTAATTAAGTGTGGTCATAATCCCCCTTAACACGTAATCTGCTTCTATAATCAGAAGAGGTACAGTGCTTGTGATTAGGTGCCGTACGTGCAGTAGATTGGTCGCCTTTCTGTAGGCTTTAAGCGTCAGAATTGTCTGGTAGCCTAACAAAAATGGGGCTCCTGGCTGGCAACTGTTGTTGTTGATAAGCATCCAAAAGGAAAAATCCTCGCCATGACAAGATTGTGGTTTGCAGAGCAGTTTGTTATCATGTATAGTAATTAACAGCCTGCAAAATTTGCAAGAAACCAAGACATTAGATTTAATTTGTTGGTGAGGCACCATCCGTGTATTAATTCTCCACTGATGATGTTGTTGTTCTAGTATAGATGGATTAAATTGAGTTGTGTGTGATATACTTTTATTTATTTATTTGGTGTCGATCTCATCCATTTTGACGTGTTCGATCAGTCAGGCAAAATTAGGATGGTGGCGTTTCTAGTGATGTGCAATCAACTGTGTGTCAAGTGTTGTGCTTCATTCAGTGCATGACCTACTACATATGGCTAATTGGCTATCTACGTAAACTTACATACTTACATTACCTACAACTGCATTAAGGGCCCTCATTAATTATTTTTTTCGATTAAGAGCCCTGATTGATTAAGTTGCGCGGCACTATATAGATGGTTATATATGCATAATGATTTCTTTTTTTAAGAATACACTATAAACACAAGCACTCACAACACACGTGCACTCACCCTCTTGTAAAGTTTTCTATGTGCTATGTTTGTGGGCATCGTAGAATCATAGACATGACGTCGTATTTCGTAACCTAGCGCTAACCCTGAACGATCTTATGAGGAAATGCATTCAAGAGGTTGTCTTGTGAATAGAGCAATAGTTCCAAATTGGAAAAATCTGTTTTCTTCCCCCCTACAATTTCTAAATAGTACAATGTAATTTCTGTTGTACTACCCGCTTATTTTCTAATGAATGAAATTTAGAAAAAAAAGAACAATTAACTAGCTAGCTAGCTAGTGTGACACTGACATTCGAGTTCAGTACGAGTCCTAAAGAAGGAAAATAAAATTGAGCCACCGTTCCGACCATTCTGATCTACTGGTCGGGCTCATCGACAAGTGCGAATAAAAAAATGTGTCATTGTAAGGATTAAAAATATTTTTTATATCAAATATTCAAAATAGTTGATTTTTATACTGCTAGGAACTGCCAGTAGTAATTTAAGTAAAAAATAATAATTGAATTTGTTTGGGCTTAAAGAAAAATCCTAGCTCGGTCACGGGGAATGGCCTGGAAGGAATAGGGTGCATAGGCAGCCTACACATAGAGTCGAGTTTGCAAGGTCATATTAATGGTGTTTTCATATGACTTAAAAAAACAGCGGAATTTGCGGGTAAATGATGGACATGGATGGTCCTTTTTGCATGCATGACAATATGATAGCGTGTTGACAACAGCCCATTTGCCTAATTTTGTGGTTAAGGTGTTGTTCACATCGTCACCGAAGAACACAACTAAATGCTTATTATTTCAAAGGACCATGCTCCGGAACTCATGGGTTGTGATTGACAATATAATGCACCCAACCATGCATCTGAAGTTAGCTAAACCCTACTAGATTATTGTTTTTTGCAGCTACACTGATATACTCCCTCCTATTGTAAATATTTAAAAGTTAAGATATTTAATTGGCTAAACTTTTAAATCTTTGACAATTGTTATGTCAAATTAAGTTTCTAAAACCTAACGAGTTTACGACATTATGGTAGTATTATGGTAAGTTTATAAACACCATTTGTTTTGTATTCCAAATCAAGTACTCAAGAAATTAATTGATGGCCAAAGTTTTCAAAGTAATTAGCTAGTTTTCAATCTAGGAAGATTACTGTCTCATGAGAAGTCACGATGCAAGTTTGACCTCACGATCAACCTGCGCAATATGGTTTATCGAAAAATGGGATCGATCAGGGGATACTATACAATTAGCGATTAATTATCGTTAGTCGTACTTACGGTGTTAATTAGTCCGTGACATGCATGTATGGATATGACGGTACGTGTAACGTACGTAGCTATATACTATGTACGTATTCATGTGAGCTGGATGGTGTAAGATCGACGGTGCCGTATATACGTATGTTTCTTGCAACAGCAAAAGTACGTAGCGTACGTGGCCTGTTCCAACCATCGATCGAGCAGAAGCTGCTCCCATCTAGTTGCAAGCTCGGTTAATTTTGGCCCTGTTTAGATGCTCACAAAAAATTTAATCCCTTTCATAGAGACTTATATTTATGTGAGTCCCTCCCATCCAAACAACCCCTTATTATTACGATCAATTATGATAATCTCAAATGTTTAAACTTTCACTATTTGATAAATGAAAATTTCCTTTGGGCATTTTCAAAATATGTATAATTATCCGAAGGACACCACAAAATCGTGTCATTAAAGAGGAAAAAAAATCTGTAATTGGTTGCCCACATTTAACAACTGAATTTAGTTCTACATCGCTGACATGAACAACTGACTCTTAACCCTCCTCATCGTCAACAGCTGAGGAGCCATTGCCTTCATCAGATCTAGTTGCGTGAGATGTGCCTGGCAACCAAGGGCAATCTTGTTATTTTTAATTTATCTCTCCAAGCTTTTACTTGGAAATGATAAAATAATATCTCCAGTTTAGTGTAGCCAGTTACACAAGTCTCTCAACAGTGACACGATCTTACCGCATCCCCAAGCCAATTACACAAAATTTAAATGTCATATAGTAAAATCAAGACAATTACAAGTGTCACATACAACACGACAAGAAATCAAAAAACAAAACAACAAGGCAACATAGGACCAACCATTTCGCTTATAACTAATTATACTTGGTAACGCTTATTAGCAACAAAAATAATTTATGGGTATAATTTTATATATGCGTTCTTTCTTACTTAAAAGTAAAAAAATATATAAAAAAGTAGTCTTCTAGTAGTACTTAGCCGAAACCCTTTTTCTCGTACAAGTTTGGTTGTTTTGGATGGAATCCAAAAATATACCCTACCAATATTTTGTTAGCGGTTTTTGTTTAAAGCCAAATTATTGGCATTGCAATGTCTAACTTGGCACATTCTAGATTATAAATCAGGGTTTTGGTTTCTTATTGATATCAAATCAAACACCATTTTATCCTATCAAATAATTAGTAGTGCTAAAACTTAGCTAGGATAATGAACCAAACAAGTCCGTTAAGTAGGGTAATGAACCTTACTACATGGGCCGCGGCTTTGGGACATCCACAGGGCTGACAGGCATGCAGATGCTGATAAGGAATGGAATGGAATAAGTCCATTTTGCCTCCCTCATCTCTTGCGCTTGCGTGAATAACATCCCTCAACTGGAAAACCGGGTATAACGCCTCCTTCTTCTCTGAAAACCAGAGCAAATCACCTCCCTCAGTGGTTTGGCTGGCGGTTTCGTCCGACGTGGCGTCGTTGACCTGTTGACGAGCTGACTCTGTGTGGTGGGACCCACATGTCAGTGCAAACTCTCCTTTCCTTCTTCCTCCTCCCTCTCTCTCTCCCTTCTCTCTCTCCCGTGGCCTCTCTCTCCACCTTGGCCAGAGCAATGGCGGCAGCGGTGGCAGACGACGTCGGAGCATCGGTCGCCGTCGTACCAAAGTAGCGAGAGCACGCAGGACGTGGAGAAGGGGAGAGAGAGATTGAGAGAGTCGTCCTCGTCACCGCCGGTGCCACGCGCGAAGAAGAAAAGGAAACCGAGGATAAGGGGAGAGAGAGAGTCGTCCCGTCACTGCCGGTGCCGCCGTCCTAGAGATCCCTCGCGAGCTGTGTCCCGCCACCACCGCCGTCCACCACCGGTCGCCGTCCCGTGCTCCTTCGCTGTCCCCGGGCGGAGAAGAAAGGAAGACCGGGGAGAGAGGGGGCAGAGAGAGCCATCCGTCACGGCGAGCTGCGCCGCCCTGGAGCGTTGCGATGCTACTTCTGGCTTCTTCCTGCGATGCTACTGAGGATGAAGAAAGCCTCTGTCTAGGTAATTCTTTTTCTTCTTTTCTCTCACTCACTCCATCAGCTGCTAGCTTTGCTAGCTAGGAGTAGCTAGCTGCTTGTGCTCTTGCTGTCGAGAGGAGGAAGAAAGACTCGAGGTGGTTGGCTGTCGTGTTGTGCATGGCTGCATTCAGAGCCCCGACGGTGATGTCATCGACAGCGTGCCGCTGCACCTGCAACCGGCGTTCGACCACCCGAAGCTCATTCATTTTTGTTTCAATTTGCAGTGATCGTTTCTATCTCCAGCGACGTTTCTTGATCGTGTTTGTGATTGTGTGCGCGTGCAGGTTGAGCCGGAGCCAGAGGAGAGGCCCAAGGTCGGTGGCGCGGCGGCGGCGCATGGGGAGGCGGCGGAGGAGGAGGTCGTGTTCCCGATGGCGTGGACGGACGACGACGAGTTGTGCCCGGAGGGGACGGTGCCGGTGCGGCAGACGACGAAGCGCGACGTGCTGAGGTCCAGCTCCTCTCCCTGTTTGGGGATGAAGCAGCCTCGTGCCGGCGTGCCGCTGGTGTCGTCCGCGTGAGGAAGAAGATGGGATGGGGGGGCTACTGACAGGTGGGGCCCATAAGCTGACTCAGCAAGTCAATGGAGGGGCCACCGTCACGTAAGTGCCACGTAGGACAAAACCGCCTCCGAAACCATCGAGGGAGGTGATTTGCTCTGGTTTTTAGAGAAGATGGAGGCATTATACCCGGTTTTCCGGTTGAGGGATGTTATTCATCCAAGTACATGAGATGAGGGAGGTAAAATGGACTTATTCCGAATGGAATAGCTAAAAGGAAAAAGTACACCGAAGGTCCCTCAACTTGTCATCGAGTTACAAAATCATCCCCAAACGCAAAACCGGGTATAACGCATCCCAAACTTACAAAACCATTACAAATTAGGTCCCTTAGTGGTTTTGATCCGGTTTTGTCCTATGTGGCAGCTGAGCCAGCGTGGGACTTATGTGGACCCTACCTGTCAGTATGCCACGTCAGCAGGTACCTGTTTCCCCTCCTCTCCCTTGCTCCTCTCTCTCACACACACTCTTCTCTCTGGGAAGGCCGGCCGGCGGTGGGGAGGAGGTCGCCGGGCGAGGAGGTCCGACGGCCGGCCGGCGATGCGGCGGCGGCGGCAGGCGTGCGCGCCTCCTCCTCCCCGGTTACTCCCACGACGCCGACTACCTCACCGCCCTTCCCAATCCCTATCTCATCGCCGATGCCGTCCGCCGGGCCCCGCCACCTTCCTCCGCCCTGCAGCCTCGCCACCCTCACTCTGCCCGACGCGGTGGAGCTGGTCTGCGTGCTGAAGCAGGTGGAGGAGAGGCGGCTGCCCGACACGGTGGAGCTGGTCTCCCTGAGCTCCCATCTGAACCTGACACCGAAATGGCATCAAAGCTGTTGGAATTGTGAAGGTGATCGACAGGCCGTCAGGCCCACGCATGTTTCTTCTCGCTGTAAACCTCATCCCAGGAGGTTTGTTTGTCACCAATCTATCCTGTAAAAGAGATCACCACAAAAACAGAGGAAAGTCAGATCCTACATCCATTGTTCAGTTCCATAATCTCACCCTTATCAAGCAAAAATGAAACAATATGATTCAGGTTCAGCAAGAGAAATTCTGATCCCAAACAGTTCAGCACAAAAAATTCTTATCTCAAACAAAAAATATCACACAGCAACACAAAAAAATTGATACAGTACGATTCAAGTTCAGCAAGAGAAATTCTGATCTCGAACAGTTCAGCATGGCAATTGCTGATCTAAAAAAAAACATGATACAGCAACAAAAACTTCCCAAATGATCAATCACAAAAATGTAAGCTCCCTTTCCCCTATATTTCTTTAGCAATCTTCTTTGCATGCCAAAAGCCTTCTTTCTTATCCATCACCAAAACGAAACAAAGCAATGCAATGATGATGCACTGAAAAGAAAAAGCTCTCAACAACCCGGAGCAGGTGCTGCGCAGGATGGAGCAGGAGAGGCGGCTCGTGCGGATGGGCACCGCCGGGAGCGTGTCCATCCGCGTCCTCACCAGCGGCGGTGGCGGCGAGGCCGTCTCCTTCCTCTTCAACGGTGCCTCGATGGCCTCCTCGGGAGCCGCCGTCGCCGGCCGCACCACCCTCCGGGCGTGCGCGCCGCCGTGGGGGAAGCCGACGAATGCGGCGGCGGAAGGAGGATGAGGACGGGAGCTATTGTCACTCCTTGCTACGATGAGGACGGCCTCGAGTCCGCCGAGAGCGGCGGCAAGGCTCGAGAGTCCACCTCTGCGCCCGGCCCGCCGCCGCCTCGTCGCCATACCACCCTGCCGCTCGTCGCCGGCTGCCCAGCTCCTCTCCCGCCTCCCGCGCGCTGCTCCTCCCCTGTCGCCCGCCGCCGCATTCCCACCTTCCGTCGTCATCTTCACCACCGGCGGTGAAGCACCATCAGACGCCGCCACATCTCCGGCGCCCGTCGCCTCCTCCATCCCTCCCAACTCGCTTGAGCGGACACGAGCAGCCGCAGGAGCTCCTCCAGCTCCGGCCACCGGCGTGGTGCTCGTGCTCCGCCGCGGCACTCTCGCCGGAAAAAGAACGAAGAGAAGAGAGAGAGAGGAGGAACCGAGGAAGAGGAGAGGGAGGGGAGAGATGACATGGCATATATGTGGGGGTCCCACGCTGACTCAACTGTCACATAGGACAAAACCAAGATCAAAACCATAGAGGATCTATTGTGAACGGGTTTTGATTAGTTAAGAGACCCCAAATATTTTTTCAGTTGAGGTACGATTTTGTAACTCGATGACAAGTTGAGGGACCTTTGGTGTACTTTTTCCTAGCCAAAAGGCCTCGGCCCATGTATTAAGGTGACGGCCCACTTGTGCCGTCCTCGAAGACGGCCGACAGACCAACATTCATTTACAGCCCAAAAATTACGAAAACCTAGCTGCATCGCATCTTCTTCTCCTTTCCCCAGGCGGAGCACCGTCCGATGAGCATCCAACGGCTACGGTCAGCACCCTCGGAACCTTCGAGAACACCCTCCCCGCTATAAATTCCCGCCTTTCCGGTAGCATCTAGTCTTCCTCTCCCACTCTTCCTCCTCCCCAAACCCTAGCCGCCGCCGCCGGCGTACTCGAGAGAAACATCAGCATCCATGGCGGGCAAGGGCGAGGGTCCGGCCATCGGCATCGACCTTGGCACGACCTACTCGTGCGTGGGCGTTTGGCAGCACGACCGCGTGGAGATCATCGCCAACGACCAGGGCAACCGCACCACCCCCTCCTACGTCGGCTTCACCGACTCCGAGAGGCTCATCGGAGATGCTGCCAAGAACCAGGTCGCCATGAACCCCATCAACACCGTCTTTGGTAACTACTTATTCCCTGCTCCTCAGTCCTCTCTCTTTCTCTCTCTCCCCCCTTAGATCTCATCTCTAAGGTCTTCGTCGTCGTCGTATGCTAGATCTACTCTTGCCCAGCTCGTTCAGATCTGTTAGATTTGTGTGGGATGCTCTAATTAATTACTACCAACTTAGTAGATCTGGAACTCTTTTGACTTGCAGATCTTGCTCCACTCCTGTTGCATTTTGAATCTGTGTTGATGTGATTTAAGTTGTTGGCAGTGCTTTTTGCATACTATTTGAATTTGTGGATGGTTAGCAGTCAGTACACTAGGATTTATTACTGGATCTGGACAGATATGCTCGTTTCAATCGGCTCGATTTGCTATGTTGATAGCTAACATGTTGTGCTTGTCCTACTGCCCTGGCGCAAATTTGATCCATGCATTCTTTTCGTTAAATGATTTGTCAAGTAGTAATGCTTGTTTGAAAATGATATTATTATTATTATTATTATTTTAAATAAATATAGCCTGAAACATTCTTAGTTTCGAGGAGAAGTGATGATGTCTTATCCATACCACATGTCTGCATCTCATATGATGATTAATCTACATCATGCACTACCATCTGATCTCCTCTAGCTCATACAGCTTTTAACAAGTTAGGCGATAGATGTTTGCTACAAACAGTCAACTGGATTTGCTTTCTTGAAAGAAAAAAAATGAACCGTGTAGTTTGCAACCTGTGATGTAAATTAACCCATTTACTGAACTACATTGATTATTTCAGTAAAATCACCATCTTTCGGCTGAGGTTGCATGCTTAGTTATTATATTTTTACCAATGATGATTTTGTTATGTAGCCAGATACTGTACTTTCTTATGCCATTTGGTATCTGACTCATTGTCTACTTTTGTGACTATGTGTCTCGAAATATGGCATATAATAAGGGGGAACGGATCTTGCGACATTGATGGCTCCTGTATGAGCCTCCAATTACTATATAGCCGTTTACATGTTCTTATCATGTTACTTTTCCAAATTAGTGCTGCACATCTTGTCTGTTTGCAAGTTTGGGTTCATTCATATTGCTGTGGGCATTTTAATACATCTTAACTATAATGTAAATTTCTTGTACATCGCTAAAATTTTCTGCCTTGATTGAGTAGACTCTTAGATGACATCTATCTTACCTTATGCACTTGATTCGTATTTCTGTTACAACATTTTGATTACTTGATGTAGTTCACACAAGCATGACACATCTCTTTGAAAAAAAGATTTCATTTTTTAAAGCAAGCCTAATGCTTTAGGGTGGGAGAAGTGATGATACTTAATCCATACAACATTTCTGCATCTCAGATGATGATCAATCTACATCATGCACTACCATCTGATCTCCCCATCATACAATTTTTTATTTTGTTTTGTTGGATTATATAACTTTAACATTTGATAAAGTGCCAACAGATTTTTATACACAATTTCTTATAGATATTACCATGACAGCTTGCAGCCTGTGATGCAAAAGTACCCATTAAACTGAATTACACTGATTATTCCAAACAAATCACCATCTTTCGGCTGAGGTTGCTTGCTTGTTTAAAATTATGAATGCTTCTTGCACAACCATTTAGGACTTTCGGTAGTTTGTAATGCCATTTGGTATCTGACACATGGTCTGCGCTTGTGACTATTTGTCTTGAAATATGGCATAAAACAAGGGGGAACGGATCTTGCGACATTGGTGGTTCCTCTATGATCCTCCAATTACTATATAGCTGTTTACAATTTGTTAAGTTAGGAGCATACCTTTTGCTTTGTCATCAAAGTCTTGGTTCCTTTGTATTTCTAGTTCAGATTCATTTTTCTTCAGCTTTTGAAACATAAACTCAGTATATTTTTACTGTAATTGCTGACATTGAGTCTTCTCTGCAGATGCCAAGCGTCTCATTGGCAGGAGGTTTAGCGATGCTTCTGTTCAGAGTGACATTAAGCTCTGGCCCTTCAAGGTGATTGCTGGACCTGGTGACAAGCCTATGATTGTTGTCCAGTACAAGGGTGAGGAGAAGCAGTTTGCTGCAGAAGAGATCTCCTCCATGGTCCTCATCAAGATGCGTGAGATTGCTGAGGCCTACCTTGGCACCACCATCAAGAATGCCGTTGTCACTGTTCCTGCCTACTTCAATGACTCCCAGAGGCAGGCCACCAAGGATGCTGGAGTGATTGCTGGTCTCAATGTCATGCGTATCATCAACGAGCCGACTGCTGCAGCTATTGCCTATGGTCTTGATAAGAAGGCCACCAGCGTTGGTGAGAAGAATGTCCTCATCTTTGACCTTGGAGGTGGTACCTTTGATGTCTCCCTCCTTACCATTGAGGAGGGTATCTTTGAGGTCAAGGCCACAGCTGGTGACACCCATCTTGGTGGTGAAGATTTTGACAATCGTATGGTCAACCACTTTGTGCAAGAATTCAAGAGGAAGAACAAGAAGGATATCACTGGCAACCCCAGGGCTCTCAGGAGGTTGAGGACAGCTTGTGAGAGGGCAAAGAGGACCCTGTCCTCCACTGCCCAGACCACCATTGAGATCGATTCCCTGTATGAGGGCATCGACTTCTACTCAACCATCACCCGTGCCAGGTTTGAGGAGCTCAACATGGATCTCTTCAGGAAGTGTATGGAGCCTGTGGAGAAGTGCCTCAGGGATGCTAAGATGGACAAGAGCTCTGTTCATGATGTTGTCCTTGTTGGTGGCTCCACTAGGATCCCGAGGGTGCAGCAGCTCCTGCAGGATTTCTTCAACGGCAAGGAGCTTTGCAAGAACATCAACCCAGATGAGGCTGTTGCTTATGGTGCTGCTGTCCAGGCTGCCATCTTGAGTGGTGAGGGCAACGAGAAGGTCCAGGACCTCCTCCTGTTGGATGTTACCCCTCTCTCTCTCGGTTTGGAGACTGCTGGTGGTGTCATGACCGTTTTGATCCCAAGGAACACCACCATTCCCACCAAGAAGGAGCAGGTCTTCTCCACCTACTCCGACAACCAGCCTGGTGTGCTCATCCAGGTTTATGAGGGTGAGAGGACCAGGACACGTGACAACAACCTGCTGGGGAAGTTTGAGCTCTCTGGAATCCCTCCTGCTCCCAGGGGTGTTCCACAGATCACTGTTTGCTTCGACATTGATGCCAATGGTATCCTGAACGTGTCTGCTGAGGACAAGACCACCGGGCAGAAGAACAAGATCACCATTACCAACGACAAGGGCAGGCTTAGCAAGGAGGAGATTGAGAAGATGGTCCAGGAGGCCGAGAAGTACAAGTCAGAGGATGAGGAGCACAAGAAGAAGGTGGAGTCCAAGAACGCGCTGGAGAACTACGCCTACAACATGCGCAACACCATCAAGGATGAGAAGATCGCCTCGAAGCTCCCGGCAGCGGACAAGAAGAAGATCGAGGATGCCATCGACCAGGCCATCCAGTGGCTGGACGGCAACCAGCTCGCTGAGGCTGATGAGTTCGATGACAAGATGAAGGAGCTGGAGGGCATCTGCAACCCCATCATCGCCAAGATGTACCAGGGCGCTGGCGCGGACATGGCCGGCGGCATGGACGAGGACGATGCTCCCCCGGCTGGCGGCAGCGGTGCTGGCCCCAAGATCGAGGAGGTCGACTAAGCGCGAAATTTGCTAGTGATCCGCGCTTCAAGTTATCTTATTGCATTATTAGTGTCTCTTTTATGTTGTGTTAAAAAACTTTGCTGCTATGACTTATGATGATACCCTTGGTCTGTTTGGGCAGTCCTTTTGAATTGAAGAACTGCGTTGGGAGCTCTATGAGAACTATGAATTGCGTGAGAAATTTAATTATTGTGGTGCTTGCAGCGCCTATTATTTGGTCTCTGTCCCACGTTTATTATTTGCATGTGCGCATTGTTTGCTAGCAATTGCTGTTGTGCTTCTCAGCCAACATGTAAACTGTTTGGATTGTTTCTGATTTTTGGATGCATTTTTTAAAGCGGATAGTGAAGGACGGATAGTATGGGATACGGAAGCAAATATGGATGATTTTTTTTAAACGAGAATGAATATCCGTCGGATATCGGGAACGTCCTCTGGATATGCGGCATATGCGGCCAGACCTTCCAGCAATGATCTTTGATGTAGTTTCAAGTTGTGAAGAGTTTTATGGATGCGAAGGCGATTTCAGGATTAAAAAAAAAAGGTTATTCGTTGTGCACAAGTTGTTCTGTGTGCATAAGTGTTATTCACAGCATTAACAGATGACCCTTTGATAAGTTGTCGTGAGCTGCAGTTTTGTCGCATCAGTATGCATTTGCTTCAACTGAGGTGAAACTAAAGCTCTGTCAACTTTTATGATACTGTGAGGAATTAAATTATTTCCACGTCGTCTGTTATTTTGTGCTGCTTCTCTCTTGGACGTGCATCTAACTGTGCATTAGCAACTGATTAGTAGCAACTGTATTGGTCTCGAGTACTTTTTGGAGGATATCTAGCTATCGTTTGTATGATCTTTAGCCTAGTCAATCCCCGGTATGAAGATTGTATCTCCCTTCGTTTTTCCATGAGACGAACTGACATTTCCTTGTTTGAATCTGCAAGAGTGCTAGTCACAGGCTCATGCCCCCCCTCCCCCCCCCCCCCCCCCCTATCTCTCTCTCTGCTTTTTTCTTTTTCTGAACCAAAAAAAAAAGAAGAAGTTAGTAGAGCAAACTGCTGGTATTTCACGATGGGCCAGTTCGGAGTTTGGAAGGCCCATACATCGATTCATTAGGGCAGCACAGCACAACACAACCGTGTTCCCCCAAATTGAGGCGGGAAGCAGTCCACCTCTCGCGCCTTTTTCTCTTCCCGGCCCCAATTCCAACAGGTCAAAGTCAAACCCACTCCCTCCCTTGGAGAACCAACCCACCGCACCCACTCTCGCTGCCGGCGATGCCTCCTAAGCGCAAGTCCCCGGCGGCCACCGCGGCGGTCGGGTCACCGAGGAAGACACGGAGCATGGCCGTCGGTAAGCAGCGCGCCGAGGCTCCGGCCAAGGCGGCCAAAAAGGAAGCGGCGGCGGCGGCGGCACCACCCGAGCAGAAGGGGAGGAAGAGGGCCAAGAAAGAAGATGCACAAGTGGCGGCTGCGGCGGAGAAGGATTCCGGCGCTGTGGTCAGCGACGGGAAGCGCATCGTTGTGGAGGCATGGTAAGTGCCCCCGCGCTCGGGTGAGGTTTTCTTTTAGAGATTAAGAATCTGGACTATGTTGAGGGGATTACTAGTTCATCTTCATCCTTGGGATTTAATGGCGTTATGCTGTGGGCTAATGATTGATTGATGGAAAAAAGGTGAAGCTTTTAGGTACATGCAGTACATACTATGGATGGTCTTCTGTGCATGCTTAAGATTACGATACCCGAAACCATAAGGAAATCATTTTCTAGCGATGTCAGAATTCAGATTCAGAAGAAAAAGAAAAATAACAATGTTCTCTTTGTTCCTAAGTTTAAATAGTTTGCTTGGACGCTTGGAGATTATAGTATTCTGGCTGTAGTGGTTTACTTCTTCTTGCGGATTATAGTTTTCTGTGATTTTCTGTGAAGTTCGATCCATTGCTTTGCTATCTAGGTTTCCTTTTCATTGGTCATATACTCTGCTTCCTTCCTTGATACTTGAGTTAAATAAAATGCTAACATCAGCACAATCTGCTGTATTTCGTACGTTCAAGTAGTTGTAGTTACTGTAACTGCAATAACTGGCGTTTTGTTTTTATGAATTATCACCGAAAAGAATTCCTTAATGTATCTCTAATCACTTAATCAGTATGTAAATCGACCTTCTTTTGTGGAGTATTTACATATAACAATGATGATTGACCATACTCCCATATGGTGCAATAGATCTGTTATTGAACAGACTTATAGTTTGTTTTTTCACATTGGACAAATTGTTCTCCTTGCTTAGCTGAATTATTCTAGATAACTTGTACATCATTCCTTTATCTTGACATATCTAAAAAAGTCCTATTGCATTAAATGAATTATTGGTAGCAATTCTTATTGAATTTCCTTTTATCCTTGCCTCTTTGTACGATTCTCCAGCACTCAATGCAGACAGTTCAAGATTAGAGCTGCGAAGGTAAAGGAGGATCTGGAAAGTTCTGTTCCTGGGGTATCCGTGGTAATCAACCCTGAAAAGGTATCTTCATGGTGTTAAATCCAAGTAATTGTTTTTTTGCGACAATCAACCCTAAGCTAGCTATTTGGTATCTCACTGGCTTCCTTTGTTGTCATCATTGTTTTCCTCTTAATTCTCAGCCACGACGTGGTTGCTTGGAGATTCGTGAGGAAGGTGGTGAAGTGTTCATATCGCTGCTGGTAATCTTTGTTTACTACTTCTTGGTACCTGAATCATAAGGGATTTTTCTTAGCTTTCTCCATCTGTTGTTTGCAAGCTAGCTATCCTTTGGTTTTCTTTAACTTGCATTGGCAGTTCTTTTCAGTGACGATACATTAATTCACCTATGTACTTATTAAAATCAACTGTGTTGCATTCCAGTTTGAACACTGAATCCAAGAGACCATTCTATATAATTATTACCGTATTTCCCAGGAATTAGGCTGTATCATGATTTATGTGTGACTGAACACACTCCAATTTGTGTGCAGAACATGCCACGACCTTTCACAGAAATGAAGAAACTTGACATGGATGAGGTCATCAAGGACATAGCAAACAAAATCTCCTGAATCCAACCAGCAACTAATAGGGTGAAAATCTTTAGGTGGCTTACAACTAGTAGTAAGCCTCCAAACCCACCTTTCTGTTGGAGCTTCATCTTGAACTGTTATTGAATGGCAGTCCGTGTTGCATGCCCATGGTGTGTTGATTCAGTGGCCCTTTCTGTGCTCGATGTATCTATAGACATGCCGAATTAATCGCAGTAGTAACAATGGAAAAGAACTGGTACCTGATGCGCCCCTGTGTTAACCTGCATACCACTCGTAATCTCTAAGATTCAATTCACTACTGATGTTTGGGTGTCATATGTTTTGTTCTAGTCACAGGTTTGAATTGCAGCTGTTTTTGATAGGCAATAAGGTTACCTTCTTAGGTCTTTCCTAACCTTCTCTCAATATAATAGCCAATATAGACCAGGTTGTATTCAGGTGAGAAGCTAAGTACAAAATTAACATTGTGTTAAGTCACTGCAGTCCTCAAATCAAACAATGTTGGCTCAAATAGTAATATATTTGTTTCTTTCAGTGCATTGCAGGAGCTAGTAGAATATGTAGCTATATAAGTAAGCTTAACAAATCAAAAATACAAATCACAAACTCACAGTCCCATCTCATGTACAGAGCTGCATAGTTTTCCTTATGAATGTTAGACTAGGCATTATATAAATAATGAATGTTAGACTAGGAGATTTGCTGACAGTAGTGGACCGCAACAATTTATAGTATGTACTGACTGCTGTCTTTAGCAATGTCTTCGACAGTGGATGGCTGCCAGTTACCCCTTGGGTGCCTTGAGCCGTCGAAGTATTTGTCTCCTACTCATCCTCTGAAGCTGTCCATTAAGCGAAATGGAAACAGTAGGGAGGTGCATCATGCAGTTGAAAGATGGAACAAACATGGGTAAAAATAAGGAAAAAAGAGTATTATGGACAGAAATCAGAAGAAGCAGCTGGGCTGATTTACCTCCAGAATTGGAAGAAGGGCTGTCACCGATATTTGTCTCGAAACTGTAGGGTTCTCTTGTGTATAACACATGCCACTTCCTTTTATCGTCTCCTTGGTCAGCATAGGCCTTGACATGCTGGACATGGCTCAACTTGCCCCACTCAGGACCAGATTCTCCAAGGGCTATGGATGTGAGCAGCTCTAAGCTGCAGTCCAACACCAGATGCATAGGACTCACACCTTGCTGTAGGTATCTCGGGAGTTGTTCCATGTCGCAATCCTCCAGCGCTAGCTTCCGTAGCTCAGGCACACCCTCCAATGTCCTCATCTTCGGGCAGCCTATGATGATGAGCTTCTGCAACCTAGGCATTGAAGTGACCCTCTCTAGGTCAGGGTTATCTTGCAGCTCAAGCTTGACAAGAGAAGCAAAGCTCTCTACAAAGTTGAGATATTTGATGTCACATAGACCCATGCTTGTCAAAGCCGTCGCTTGTGAGGAAAGGCCAGGAGGAAGGCATCTCAGCTTGCAGTTTTCGAGCATAAGCTCCTCCAATTCAGGCATGGCCGGGACATTATTCAGTTGATGATCCCACTCCCACTCCTCAAACTCCACCATGTCGATCAGCCTCATCTCCTTCAACTTTGGGAATGCATGGGCATGGCGGAATTGGCTCGATGATGGCTGCATAGTAACAAATTTAGGGCTAACATGCTTGATTGCAGGGGCACGGGTGACCTGAAAGAAGTTGAGGCATGGGAGCTGGCAGAGGCCGTCAGGGAGCTGGGTGCAGCAGACCAGGTCATCCATCGTCACAATCAACAACCTCATATATGCACCTGCTGCTCCTGACATCATCCACCTTGGTAGCCGCTGTCCAAAATAGCCTGTGATATCAATATTTTCTAGGCACAAGGGTGGGGTAAGCTCATCCAACACCTCCTCGATTCGCCGCTGTTCTTCCTCAGAGACACCTTTCTCATCTTCTACTAACCCATCTTCACCAAGTCTACTGCTACACTCTAATCTCAAGTAGCGAAGATGCAACTTCTCACCAAGCCTAGCCTCTCTAGCCAAGGAGGTAACGGGTACATTCTCTAGCTTTCTTAGTGCAAGTCTCCGTAGCTTAGCAAGAGGACCCAGCTCTTGTAAACTACACCAGTCACCATCTGCTTGTACAGGAAACCCATACAAATACCTCAAATTTGTCAGTCGACAGAACTGTCGGGGTATGCCACTTATGCTTATGCCTAGAAGGTCAAGATGCCTAAGCTGCCCTAGCTTTACAATGCTGTTAGGAAGTCTGACCAAATTTTCAGATATAATCTCAAGGTACTGCAATAATTTGAGTTTGCTGATGTTCTGTAGTAGTCTAGCTATGTCGCTGCATTCTAGGAACAGATACCTCAAGTGCTTGAGTTGGTGCAAGGATTCAACCAAGGATGCACTACAATTTGTGTCTTCTATGTGCAGAGTCCTTAGGCTTGTAAAATTAATCAACGAATCCCCATGGTCAATCTTGAGCTCGCCAATCACTATTAGTGTTCTAAGTGATCCCTGGCCTTGTATGAGTTTCCACTCAAGTTCATCGTTCGGTTGAAAATCATTGGTTTCTACAGACAGCCTAAGAAACTTTTGTGATCTAAGTGCACCTTTGCCTCTTTCATCTGAAGTTGAAACTACAAGTGCTTCATCTCTAGAGATATCTTGAGCAAATGAACGAATGACATCATGCATGGTGCTAACACATTGATCAGCGTATTCTACATCTGGCTCTATTAGGTTTCTGTAAATTAACTCTTGATAGTACCTTTCTCCTAATTTTTCTAAATCATCAGTGTCCCCGTGAAGAAATCCTTCACTTATCCACATGCCAATGACCGTGACATCGTAGAATTCTACATTTTTTGGGAGGAGGGAGTAGTGCAGAAAGCACTGCTTCAAACAAGAAGGCAAATCTTGATAGCTCAGGTATACCGCATCATTTAGTTCACCAGGAGGTACTGACCATATAAAATCTTGCAGAACTTGTTCCCAATCGGCTCTCTGTTTCTCCCTCCTGCGCAACAGTCCTCCCATTACTTTTACAGCAAGAGGTAATCCGTCACATTTGTCTATTATTTCCATTCCGATGTCCTTGAGCATGTCGTCAATTTCAAGCTCCTCCATATCACTTGACGCTACCTGAACAAGTCAGATTATTTTAGCTTACTATATATTCACAGTTGATATTTGTTATTTTTTATGTATTGCATAAGCTAGTCAAATATGGACTTACATGTTTGTAAGGTGTATATATCACACAAATATTGATGTATCTTATCAATTATTCTTTTTCAAAATTTTGGGTAGGTTTTTAGTTAGGTGACATGCACGAAATGAGTGTATGTCCACTTGAGTGGATAAAAACCACTTTATGCAAGTAACATACATGTACGTTGTTGTATGGGAGAATAACACGACGGACCTGTTTCTTGAGGAGTGACCAGGCATCTCGAGGATACAGTTTGTGGACGTGGTGGAAGGGGCGGACGGCTTGCATCCCTCGGGCAACGTCGTCATGTCGAGTGGTTATGAGGACACGGCTGCCGACGGCGCCATGGCTGAAGGGCTCCCTGAGCAGGTTCCACCATGCCCTGTCACTCCACATGTCGTCTAGCACAAGGAAGAACCTCTTGTTCCTGATGGCGTCGACAAGAAGGGACTTGCTGTTGCTGTCTCGAGCATCGCCGGCGCCACTGCCGCCGCCGGCGGACTTGATGGCCTCCCTCAGGAGCTCCACCTCGTTCTCGTCTTCCGTCACGCTCAGCCATATCTTCTTGTGGAATGCTTTCTGGATGGTCTCGTCGTTGAACACCTTCTTCGCCAGCGTCGTCTTGCCGATCCCGCCGGTGCCCACCACGGCAACCACCATGATCGTTGTCATAGCCGTGTTGCCGTTGGTGAGCCTTTGCACCAGCGCGCTGGTGTCCTCCTCGATTTTCTCCCCAACAACACCCGATCTCTCCTTCCCCAGCACCGGGTCCGTCCTGCGGTCGGTGGCGCTGGACCGTCGGGGCGCTGCCATGTCCTCGTAGGCCTCCAGCTTGAGGAAGCTGAAAGCGGCAGCGCTCTTGCAGATGGCGTCGAGCCTGGTGTTGAGCGCCTTGATGCGGCTTCCAATGTCGTGGGCGAAGAGTGGATTGCGGAGGCAGAAGAGCAGCGAGTCCAGGCAGCCCACAGGGTTGGAGGAGGATGAGCTGCCACCACCGCGCTGGCGCTGCATGGCCTTGAGGTGGCAGAGGTCGAGGATGTCGGTGGCGTCGTACATGGCGTGCTTGAGCTTCGTCACCCACCCTTGGACACTCTGGTCGGTGATACGTCGGCGATCGGCGTCAGCGAGGTAGTCCTTGAGGATGCGCAGCTTGTCGTGGAGGGTGGCGATCTCACCGGAGACGCCGAAGAGGAGGTTGACCTCGTCCTTGGCCACCTGCTTGAGCAGGTCGCCGACGTATGACGCGAACGCATCCAGAACAATGGCCATATGTGAGTGGTCGACACTAACACACACTGGAGGGCAGATTGGTTGATGAAGTAGTCAGTGCCCGCGCGTACGCGTATATATAGCTACCAGCAGACATTTTTTCTTTCCTTTTTTAAAATAAAGATTATCCCTGCCTTGCCTTGCTCTTCATCATGTGCTTAGCTTGCTTCTTCTGCTTCAATCTTTTAATTTGTTTTTAGCTCTTTTTTTCTTTTCTTTGTTTTTCGGTCAGATTAATTGTGATGCAAGGAAGGGCTCATTGCAGGGTCCATCTTTTTCCTTGTCATCATTTCCTTCATTTGCTTTCTTCTACCCTCTTCTTGAGTAAATTATACCGTGGGTACATAAATATTGGTTGTTGGCTGTGATTGAGTACAAGATAATGAAACCTGACTATGTTGGTATTAAAACCTTGTTAGTGGGTGCAATTTAAGTTTTTTTAAAAAATAGTCACTTAGGATATCTGCACATCAGCTTGCCACCCTAGCAAAATGGTAAGTACGTTGTACATACCCCTTCTTAATAAAATTTGGTCGGCCTTTCTTTCGACCGACCGGGCAAATGCATATCTTTGAACCATGGAAATCTTCATACACATCAATATTGTCGAATCACCTATCCCGTTGGATTAACAAACTACTACTCATCATGTCAGATTCAACGGCTTACTGATCCACGCAGTAGCTTATTAGCGCATATATATATATATATATATATATATATATATATATATATATGCAAGCACACCGTACTGCGGACTCTAGCGACGACTAGCATCACTAGCCTCTCCAAGGTGTGCATATGCACCATGCGACTGCCTGGGCAAAGAAGAAGAAAATATTGATGTGATATACACGACATAAGAAATAATTAAGTAGTACTAACCACATTGTACACAGGATCTGATCGATCTCGTATGGCTATCGCCGAATGCATTGTCGCCATCGAAAAGACTTTGCGCGAGATCGACGAGTGATTGATGCCGCCTGGGTTAGTTCAACTATTGCTGCATCGCACCGTCGACTAGTCCCGTCCCGTCGCGCCGAGGACGATGACCTGCAATTCCGCCGCACGATGTTGCCGATCGGTCGACACCGCCGCCGCGCCGCGCGTGCAGGTCGCCACGCCGATGCATCACGCCATCACCTGCAACGCAGCCATGGATCGACGATGCATCTCGCTGCTGTTGCGGAATCGACGATGAATCGCCGCCGCCTTCTCCGAGTTCTGGTATATCGCGGTCTCTCCCAGTGACCTGATTTTCGGATCCGATGCACTGGTGGGAACGAGGAATTGTGCGAGCTCAGGTCATTCCGGTTTCCGTGGCTTAATTAAGGGGTACGTAATTTTTTTTCTCGTCAAAAAGTTAAACGGGTCCGCTCGTTAATCCGATATCAGGATCCATCGAAGCTAATCACATATCGACGGTGGATGAGAGCAGGTGTACATCCTCCCAGGTGTATAGAATCATTTTCATATATATATATATATATATATATATATATATATATATATATATATATATATATATATATATATATGATTAATTAATTAAATCTAAAAAAAGTTAAAAAATATATTAATACGATCTTTTAAAAAACAACTTTAATATAGAAAATTTTTCAAGCTCAAGAATGTATGCACACGGAAAACAATATAATAGAGGTCGGCAAAGAGTCCTGAACACACCCTAACAAGAGATTTGGAAAGCAGTACTATGTGACATCCTCCAATTCTAACAACACAGTATTAGTAGTTGAAAAAAAAAAATCTTTCTGATTCTCATGGCTTAATAATTGAGTTTACCAATAGCTAGCACATTCAACAATATTTAGGAGAAAAACCTTTTCACTTTAATTACAGGTGTAACTAGAGTGTAGATTTGTTTTGAACGTAAAACCCGCACTTGCCCAGTGGTGGAGAGGGCTCGCCAAAGAGGCAGAGCTTGTGCAATTGAATCCCGCGCTGTCGATTTTATTCCCAATCTCCACCCGCATGAATTTTATACATAGCCTAAATCTTAAGTACCTTTGCGCTGGTACCTTCTATCTTAATGTGTTGGATTTAGAGCAATCAATGGCTCTAATATATCACAAGCACTGTAGAAAGTCTATTTTTTTAAAACAAAGTTTATCCTTGCCTTGCTCTTCATCCTGCACTTAGCTTGATGCTTCTGCTTCGATCTTTAATTGTTGGCTTTTATTTTCTTTTTTTTTATGCGAGATTGTGAGGCAAGGAAGGGATTGTTGAGGGATCTTCATCATTATTTTCTTCATTTGTTTTCCTCTTGCCTCTTCTTTTCCTACCCAATGGGCATTTAGCTCTGCATGCTAGTTTACACATCCTCCCTCAGGTATCAAAACGAGATCAATTTACTTCCTTTAGTGATATGCATCTTGGTTTTGTCCTAAGTGACCTGTTGGCCAGTTAACCCAGCTAACGTGGCATCCACTTTAGTGCCAACATGAACATATAATAATAATAAGGAAAAAAGTACGAATTATACCCCTGAACTATCGTGGTCGACCGTATTACCCCCTTGAACCTGAAAACCAGACATTACTCACCTTGAACTTTTAATACTGGATGAATTACACCCCCTCGACCCAATTCAGAGCAGTTTTGTCCAACACAGCGTACGCGTGTCAATTCCATCAGCATTTTCATTTAAAAAAATTGGTGAGACCCACCTATCATGCCTCTTCACCCGTCTCTCTCTCTCAGGCGCAGGTGCGCATGATGGCGCGGAGGGGCGGGAGGTGGACGGCGGACGCCGTCGCGCAGGGGTGCGGGACGCCGAGGTGGGAGCGGCAAACAACCACCGGCCACAGCAGCTGCCACAACGGCGCACCCTCTGCCGCCGACATCGTGGTGGAGGGCGACCTGGAGGCCGGAGGTGGAGTTGGGGTGGATGATGGAGATGAGCTGCGTCATGCCGAGGCCCTCCGCGACCATCTCATGCACCGTCCTCCGTGTCGCTGGTACGAGGACGAGGAGCAGAGTCGGTACGAGGAGTTCACGAGGAGCGTTGCGTCACCACCGCCTCGTCTCGTGCCGCTGCCTCCTCGTCTCGCGCCGCTGCGCACCGCCCTCTCCCGCGCACCGCTGACCACCACCTGCACCCGTGCGCCACTGACCACCGCCCACCCCCGCGCGTCGCCGTCCGCCACCCACCCCCACGCGTCACCGCCCGCCACCCACCACGTGCCGCCATCCACCGCCCACCCCCCGCGCGCCGCCCGCCCGCCCGTCCACAGAAGCTGGGCGCGGAGGAAATGGAGAGCGGGGGAACGGCCTCCTCCTCCACCGCCGCCATCACCCTCTTCCTCCTCCTCCCCGTCCTCCTCCCGACGCTGCTCCAGCTTTTGGTGTTCGCCACTCCCGCCTCCACGTCTCGCACCCCCGTGCGCCTCTGTCCGCCCCGCCGTCTACCGCCCGCCCCGCTGCGCCGCCATGCGCACCTGCGCCCAAGAGAGAGAGAGAGAGGTGGACGCTGGCGGCCCCGTCCACTGCAGTCGCCCTGGTCACCGCCTTCACCTCCTTGGTCACCGGTCGCACAGCCCCCTCACCCCGTCGTAGCCGCCGGTGTGCCGCGTCGAACCCTTTCCCCAGCCAGCGCGCCACTCGTCCCCGCGTCGCTGCTCACCGCCTGCCTCACGCGCGCCACCGTCCACCGCCCACCCTGTGCGCCGCCGGGCACGCCTGTGCCTGAGAGAGAGATCAGGATGTGAAGAATCTAATGGGTGGTGGAGAGAGAGAGGGGTATGACAGGTGGGGCCCACTATTTTTAAAAAAAGAAAATACTGACTGGATTGCCACACGTACGCCACGTAGGGCAAAACCACTCTGGATTGGGTCGAGGGGGGTAATTCGTCCGGTATTGAAAGTTCGGGGTGAGCAATGTCTGGTTTTCGGGTTTGGGGGGAGGGGGGTAATTCGGTCGATCGAGATAGTTGGGGGGATTCATACTTAATAATAATAATAATAATAATAATAATAATAATAATAATAATAATAATAATAATAATAATAATAATAATAATAATAATAATAATAATGAAAATAATAATGAAAATGTACGAATTACCCCCCGAACTATCGCGGTCGAACGAATTATCCCCCCTAAACCTCAAAACCGGATATTTTTCATCCCAACTGTGCAAACCGGACAACTAACCCCCCGCCTCAATCCATGCTGGTTTTAGTCCTACGTGACAATACAGTCAGCAATTCTTTTAATAAAAAATTGGTGGGCCCCACCCCTCTCTCTCTCCCCAATCTCTCATTCTCTCTCTCTGTTCTCCCTCCCCTCGCCAGCGGAACCACCGAGGACGGGGCGAGGGTTGTCGGAGTCGGGCTCGCCGAGGTCGTTGTAGACGTTGTAGCGGTAGACGTGGTCGTGCTCCTGGTACGGGCCCTGCTGGTCGTCGTTGCGCAGGTTACGGAGCTCGTTGTCGCGGTACGGCTTCAGCGCCGCCGGCATCTTGCTCGGCAGTGAAGTCTAGTAAAAAAAATATGGAAAAAATCGCGCCAAAAAAATCACGCAGAAAACAGAGAAAAAAATCACTAAAAAAGACACGTGGCCGGTGGAGGGCCACACGCGCCAGATACGGATCTAGCGCGCGCCAATTAGCAATCTCAGCTAGGGGATGAGAGGCCATATAAGACCCTGTTTGATTTAGCTTAGGATTATTAGGTGTAAGCTGAAACAAACAAGTAGATTATTATGCTAGATTATTTTAATCTATAAGCTAGATTACTATAATCCAATAATCACCTCTAGAGAAGCTTTTTCCAGATTATTGAGTGGCTAAAGACCCACTACCCTTAGATGCCTCTAATAATCCAGAGAAACAAACAACTCGTAGCTTATTTTATGTTAGCTTATTATAATCCAGTTTAAAGTAATCTGATTTAATAATCTAGATTACAATAATATTATTAAGCTGAAACAAACAGGGGCTTAAATTGAAGTCTACTTTTCTTGTTTTCCTGTGGGATATGGCCCAATGAGAAGGAGAGCCCGTGGGCCGAATCTCACAGTACGCCAGGCCGCTCGTCTTCCTCCTCTCCACTCCCCTGCCGTCGCCACCGCCGCCGCCGCCGCCTCCGCTACTCCGTCCACGACTTCCGTTCCACAGCCAAGATGTGGAGGCGGCAGCATGCTCTCCTCCGCCGCATCTCGCTGCCCAAGCCTCCCGCGGCTACTGGGATCGGATGCTAC